AGTGTGTGTGAATGTGAGGAGAAGAAGAGGCTCTTGGGAGGCTGTGATTCGCTGCTGATGACTGAAGCAGGGAGGGAGGTGTGAGCATGGATGAAGCCAGAGAGGGAGGCAGAGAGAAGAAGAGCGCTGTCCCTATCAGCTTCTTTTTCCGTCTGCAACTCAGGCAACCAGCTCTCCTCTCCTCTTCCTCCTCCTCCTCCTCCTCCTCCTCCTCCACAGCAGCGACAGCAGCAGGGAGAAGAGAAGAAAAAAGACCTGCATTCAGAAAGATCACAAAAAGCAAGGACTTAACAATCAAAGACAGGGATGAGGGGCATCAGCGTGTTTTTGCCTCAGACACCCACGCCTGCCGAACATGCGATGAGATCAGATAGAGTGTGAGGAAAAAGACGAAAGGAATAATGTCAGCAGATCTTTACTCGTGGATGGAGAGCTGGAGAAAGAAGTGAGGCAGAAAATCTGACAATCAACTCTGGAAAACTGGAGTGGATTTATTTTGCAACGGGAGCAACAGGAACACCTGACCCTCTTTCAGATGTGCCGATGCTTTTTTAACGTTCATATCTCTGAGCTTGTGATGAAATTGCGTCCACTCTTTGGAATCCCTTCTCTGAAGTCCGAGGGTGTGCATCACCCCCACCCCAGCCCCGTATTTCCCTCTTTTGTGTCCTTTTACTGTTTACATTTATGTAAGCATCAGAAGCTCCGCTGCACACCCTTTTGTGTCTATCCATTTCCTCATTTTGCACCCATCTGTTTCACGCTGGCTGTCCGTTCACACCTCTGCCATCTGTGAGGGTGCCGCTTTGCTTTAAGAGGAGGTTCGGCGTTTTATTTCCTGAGACCACGTAAAATTTTTATCCTACAACCTGCCAAAAAATTGGGGTTTAATTTTTATTTTCTCACAAAAAGAAGAAAAAGTTGTGAGTGATCCTCGGATGCAGGGGAAGAGTCTCGCCCTCCAAAAGGATGTATAATACGTGGCTGTCTGATTAATAATTCAGCATCAGGTGTGTTGCCTGGTGAGTGCTGACATCCACAGATGACACTGGGCTGGTTTGATCCCTGCTGATAGCGCCGTCTGACGATCTCTACAGCCGCTTGATGATGTGTTTCGTCCCTCTGCAGCCTTCGCTGATCACCAGCTGCTCTCACTAACAGCCCAGCTGTCTGCTGGCCCACCAGCCTCTCCATCCATCCACAATCATTTTGTTTTTTTATTTTGTAAGCAGAACACATAAATCCTAAATCATCGGTGATCTCTGGGCTCAGCTGTGTAATCATTGCTCTCCAAGCATGATCGGTGTTAACAGCCTGCACTCGGCGGGGCGTCTGCGCTCACGCTCCCTTTGCACTGTGCGCTATGGAAGGGACTTCCGGATGATGGACCCATTCCGATATCCCAGAACCCCACGCTCACGCTCCCTCAAACCTCTCGTGTTTCCAGACCTGCTGGGCAAAGCTCAGGATGGACAAAACCACCCGCAAGCCAGAAAGAGGAGAAAGGTACTGAAACGGTCCTCATTCTAAACAGTCAGCGCAAATAAAAACAGGCTTTTGCTTTATTACACTGGGTGAAAGAAGGTTGTTATTTACTGTAAATGTAGAAAATCTTTAAAGACAGAAGTTATGAGAATTCTGATTTGATCAGATGACCAGCCCGTTGACAAACCTTTGTTGCTGTTTGGTGGTGCTGATGAGGCAGCAGCAGTTGAAGGTGGTTTTAGCTGATTCTCCTTGCTGTTACAACTCTAAACTCCCTCTGGAGACTCTGTGAGGAGTGATGTTTTAGTTTCAACACCATTCCATTAGAAACGTCCAGTCAAAGAAAAGAAGGGCCAACAGTGAATAGAAGAAACATGCATTCTGAATGAACTTCTCATAGTTTTTGCAATTTGCTCTCCAGCTCCTCCCAAAGGTGTTCCCACCGGTTCTGCAGAGCGGAAGCGCCTGTCTGGGGGGTGAAACTTCTTCAACAACAAGAAAAGTCCAGTTTTCTATTTTGACTTTTGTACTTTCGTGGCCTTTTCACACACTATGTGTGTACCTGAACCCTGAAGTGTGCCTTTTACACCGCAACAGATGATCAGGGGCTCTAGTGTAAAATAGGCAGAGGTTTCATAACTTATAGTGGAGATTAATATAATAGGTGAGCAGAAACAGCTCCTGGTTTGTTTCATGACTCCCAGCTTTAATAAGGTAAATGTCTGTTAAAAAATTAAAACACTCCTCTATCCTAACTCGTAACAGACAAGGAGAGCAGCACGGTGTGTGTGCGTGTGTGTGTGTGTGTCTGAGAGAGAGAGAGAGAGAGAGAGAGAGAGAGAGAGAGAGAGAGAGAGAGAGAGAGAGAGAGAGAGAGAGAGAGAGAGGAGAGAGAGAGAGAGAGAGAGAGAGAGAGAGAGAGAGAGAGAGAGAGAGAGAGAGAGAGAGAGAGGAGAGAGAGAGAGAGAGAGAGAGAGAGAGAGAGAGAGAGAGAGAGAGAGAGAGAGAGAGGAGGAGAGAGAGAGAGAGGAGAGAGAGAGAGAGAGAGAGAGAGAGAGAGAGAGAGAGAGAGAGAGAGAGAGAGAGAATCATAAAAATCCAAAGAGCAGTGTCTGGTGATGGAGCTTAGTTTCCTAACTGGCCACCACCTTAAGCTTGGTGGGGGGGTTCGGAGTGCCTGTTGCTGTGTATGTGTGCATAACAGCAAACCTAAATGAACTTTGACCTCAACATTTTTACTGCATGGAGCTCCTCTGTGCTCGGGGCTGCTCTTTCCCAAAACCGTTTTTGCTTTGAGCAGCATGACCAAACGGGTTTCATATTAAAACAGCAGCTCTTGCCGCTTCTGCTTTTTCACACTGCGTTGTCCATTTACATCAAACCCTGGTCAGTCCCTCATCAACATAATTCAACTTCAATCCCGCAAAAAGGCCACTTGTATGCTGCAAACACCTCCCTGTCGCCAAGGTTGATCTTACATCCTGGGATTCAGGAGGAGGCACAAGCATCAGTAGCTAGCTGCAAATGAACTGAGGGCTCACATGGATAGTCCATGTTTGGGCAGATGACTAGAATGATCAGCTCTGACTCACAAAACACTAAAGAGTTAAACTGGTTCATGAGTGGCTTAGGCAGCGGGGGCTAGAGCGTGCTGTCGGCTAGCTCAGGATCTGAACACCGAATCCTCTGGTAGTCCCACCCCCAGACTCCCTGACTAATCAGAGGACTGAATGTTCTCACCTGGCTTATGCAGACACATTGAAAGAACATAAAGAACTGATTTGGAGCAGAGGAACTGATCTACGGGTGTGAAAATGGATTTAGACATCAACTTTAGAAAACAGACCACTGCTCCTCAACTGCTTACGATTCACATTGAACATTAATATCAAATGCGGACGACATATTTGCTAAAGAAGCAGTTTTGTTTTCTGCTTTTAAACCAACAGAAGCTCATCTGTATTTCAGTCAGGCTGGTTTTTAAAATGCCTCAAAGCTTTCAGTTTGAAATGTAGCTGAAAGTTTACAGTAAAGAAGATGAAACACAACCAAGTCTAATTATCTCTGCTGGATGAACATTAATATTCATGGTCCTCTTGATGAGTTTCTGATTAGAACAATGTTTGAAGAAAGCAAATGCTGGTAGTGAATCTGATTAGGCCCAGAGTCAAACATGGACACGAATCCAGTTTTATCTGACTAAACCCAACAAAATAGTCTTTATGGGTCTGAAACTGTAGCAGCAGGTCTTACATCTGAGATGATTAAAGAAGCTACCAGTTGGGAGTGGGAAGGGTGCTGGTCTTCAGGAGACTTAGGCCTAGTCCACACGTAGCCGGGGTTTTTTTAAAACGAATATCCTCCCCTCCAAAAACTTGCATCCACACCACCTCGTTTAAAAAAACAACTGTCCACACGTACCCGGATAAATACGTTGTTAAGGACATGCCAGACCTGTAGGCGGCAGTACTTCCCCCGTTCTTAACCTCGTCCTTCGTCTGTGGTCTTCCGCAAGCAGCAGTAATTCTGCTTGCAAAAACAAACAAGCAGAAAGCGCTTGGACAATTGATAAAGCGAGCGCAGCTCTGAGGGCTTCCATGCTGTCGGCTAGTGTAAACACAGGTCGCACACGTGATGTCAGCATTTTTTTGTCGCGGAAAGTGACGTTGCGGACCTTAAAACTCCGGTTTTGTCTGTCCACACGCAGACACCCAAAACGGAGAAAACGCAGATCTTCACTTTGGCCGGAGTTTCTAAAAAGATCCGTTTTCGTGTGAAAAAACTCCGTTTTCGTGTGGATGACAGGCCAAAACGTAGAAAAATATCTACGTTTTGGCAGATCCCCGGCTACGTGTGGACAGGGCCTTAAAGGTGAATGAGGTGGTGGTGAACTGCCTGGAGGTGTCTGTTATCCTGCACTCTAGTGACTGAAATAGGAACAAATTAAACAAAATTATCATCTATACTCAAATTATTACTTTCCTTTGGAAAACTTGGAAAAATGATGGAGAAACTGGTACCTACATTATTCTTCTTCACACACCTTCTCAGTGGCCTAGTGATATGAGTTTCCACAGAGATTGTGGTTCAAATCCAGTCGGGTCTTACCAAAGACTTTAAAAATAGGACTCAATGCCTGCTTGACGCTCAGCTTTAAGGGGTTGGATTGGAGGTTAAACCACCAAATAGTTCCTGAGCTGCAGCTCACCGCTCCCCACGGGACTTTAACGTTCTATCGTTTCTTTTTACATAAAATTCTCATGCTGCATTTTTCCTTACATTCACCCTCTGATCTTCGTGTGAGGGGGCAGTGCTGGGTTGACTGCCATCCTTCTAGTTGTGTAGAAATGTGTAAAATGTCCGTTGCTGTTGCGTTGATGCCAGCAGACTGATTACACGATCGATGGATTGTTCGGCAAAGCAAATTGGTTCAGCTGAGGCAAAGAGAAGTCTTAACGGCATGAAAAATGAATAAACCGGCAGTCCCTGATTAAATCGTTTGTTTTTCTCTGCAGGCCCTCTACAACTCGATCAAGAACCAGAAGCTTCAGTGGACACTGTGAGTGATTGAAATCCTTTTGCGTCTTGGTGATTTGGTTTGAACCCTTGTGGATTCTCTCCTCATGCGGGATATTGAACACCTTGTTTGCATCCTAATAATGACACGCTCGTTGTTTGGCCTTTGAAGGATACATTAATGTGTCAAGGGTTGCTATTCTGGATCGCAGCTTCAGAGCTCCTCGGAGATGCCAATTAAGTCACTAGCTTTCCAAGCTTTGTTGCCATAGCGACTGTACCGTGGATACGACTCCATAGCTACTGCATTGCTCCTCTCTGTGTTCTTTCTGCAGCAAACACACACACACACACACACACAGCAGCAGATTCAGAGCTGAGCACAAACATACACTACATCCTGCATGCATGGAGAACAGAAGCTGCTCTAGAAGACAAAACAGAGCATGAGTAACTCCATTTCAAATGGCTCTTCACCTGCATCCAGTACAAAGGTGTGACCACAACCTCCCACTACTTTTCCAAAAATAGCCTTAGTAGCAGCAGCAGTATTCCCGAAGCTGCTGAAGAAAAGTGGTCAGAGAAGCAGATCGAGGTGGTGATGATCCTCCAGTTCAAACATCTCAGCTGGCATACAGGCCGTTATTTAAACCTTGAAACTACATAAGAGGCCGCAGGGGGATGGAAAAGATGTCCGCTTTAGACACAAACACCATCAGGCAAAGGAGAATCCACCTCCAAACAAAAGCAGTCACAGAGAGGCAGCCCACAGCAGTGTGCGAGATTATGAAAATGGAGTAAATGTCTTTGTGGGGGATTTCTTCTCCGTGCCTCCACTTTCCCTCCCTGCTCCCATTTTGATGCATATTTAATCACACAGAAAACCCTTTTTTAAACCTACTGACTGACAGCCAGTGACAGCTGAAACCAGACGTTTGTTGCTCTTTTTTCATTGTGTGTGCAATGGTTTGTGTGTCTCTATGGTACAGTTCGGTGTGTATTCACTTCTTTACTATTTATAGTTGTGCTGGCATCAATTTATTGAGTTACGTCCAGCTTGTGGCTTAAATAACAGGACTTGTGATGGAAGTGTGATACTCCACCACTAAAGCAAACTGTTTGCTCTAATTAGACGAACACAAACTGTACGTGAAGTCTGGTGTCTCGTTACAGGTGGGTGTTGTTGTGGACGACGTGTTTTCTGTTGTGCTCCGACTCCGATAGAACGATAGATGTTATTTCACACCCACTCAGAGAAGCACACGCGGCCACAGTCAGTGGTGCAGTTGGATGCACCCACATGTTCGTCACTCACACACACACACACATACAGAGCAGCTGTATGAAATACACACACAGCTTCCTTGTTCAGGAGTGGGGGTGGAGGGTGGGGGGTGGGGGGGGGGGTCGAGCTCTGACAGGGACACAACAGTTTGAGGCGCTGATGGATACAGATTCTAGGTAATAGAAATGGCAGAAAAGACAATTTACTGTTCTGTTACTGTTACTTTATCACTCTTACCAGCTTGTACCTGAAGGTGAAGGCTAATACGGTGCCTTTCATTTATATCATGTGATGCTAAGGTAACATTTTAGTCTTTTATTATTATTTATCATAAAACTTTTGGGCAGTTTAGCTGGTCAAGCCACTTACATAGATAATAATAATAATAATAATAATAATAATAATAATAGTAGTAGCAGTAGTAATAATAATATCAATAATAATATTAATAATAATCATTATTATTATTATTATCCTGGAATGGGAGGAAATTCTCATGAAGGAGTCAAGCAAACTAAATGTGTTTCTTGCCCATTGACTGCTGGAGACTGTGGTGTGAATATTATCTGTGGTGTGAGTTAAAGAGAGCTGTCCATGCTCAGAAGCCCTCAGACCTGAATGAACTAGAGATGTTTTGTAAAGAAGAATGGTCCAGAATACCTTCAACCAGACTCCAGACTCTCATTAGAAGCTATAGAAAGAGTTTAGGGGCTGTTATTTCTTCTAAAGGAGGAGCTACTAAATATTGAGTTAATGTATTTGTTGTAGAGTCCAAATGTATGCACCTGCCTAATTTTGCTTAAACAATTATTACACACTTTCTGTAAATCCTATAAACTTCATTTCACTTCTCAAATATCACTGTGTGTGTCTCCTGTATGATATATTTAACAGTTTTTTTTATCAAAACAAGCAACAATTTATACAGGAAAATCATGAAGATTAACAAGGCTACCCAAGCTTTTGCGTCCCACTGTAGCTCCAAAGTTTGTCCATGGTTAGAGGCCAGAGGTGTAAGCTCCTGAGGTCCACCACCATCCTTTTCATCTTTTACACATTGAGGGTTTGGTTTTTTGTAGTACACCGGCCAGCCTGTTCTCTCAGTTGCATTAATAAAATAGACTCATACCTGGAGATCAACCAGCAATGTCATCTGTAAAGAGGATAGGAAGAGACACCATAGGTCTTAGGTGTGTTCTTACTGTGTCGTGGTTCTAATTCCATGCTTTCGTTCTTTTTTAAACACAGAAACAGTTTTGTTTACCTGTTTTGTAGCTACAGTTTCGCCGACGGCGAAACTGTAGCTACAAAACAGGTAAACAAAACTGTTTCTGTGTTTAAAAAAGAACGAAAGCATGGAATTAGACACCATAGGTCTTCACAGACTGTGGTCTGCTCTTTAGAAAGTCCAAAACCCAAGTCCTCATTGTTGGTGTCATGTCTGGCAACTGTAGTTGGCTAGTGTCTGTATGCATGATGTCCTTTATGTGGGTCAATAAAAACAGCCATTCCATTGATGTGAGAGCCACGAGAAAACATCTGTTCGTTCGTTCATTCATTCATTCATTCTTTCATTCATTCATTCATGTTGTAGCTGATTGTTTTGAGACGAGAAAAGCCATTGTTCTCTTAAAGCAGACCGGAGTCACAGACTGGAAAAGAGATGGCTGAAAATGGAAATGTCTCTCAGGACCAGAGCGAGTTCCTGAGTACACCTTCTTGGAACCCGTCCTGGAACCTAGTCTGGACCAGCTGCATTCTGTGGGTTAATCCACTGCAGAGACATCAGCAGCTGACACACAAGGTCAGGCTCCCTGGTGGGACTGTGAACTTGGTACAGTTAGAGGAATCTGATGACTTGAAGCAGAGATTGATTCAGATCATCGTGCAGTGACGGATCATGAGAGCAATCAGCATCCTTCTTTTTATACACTGTGAGGGTTTTTATTCCATCCTACGTGCTTCTTTGGTTGTAAAATGACTTTGTATCTTCTGGACAGATGTTACTTTTGCCCCTCCTTATGGCTGCATTCAGTGATGTATCTTGGCATTGTTGCATTTCCAAGTGTCAACGCATAAAAAATTCATGTTCACACTGGTTCCTTGTTTTGACCCAATGCGTCCATTGTGGCTCTTCTCTGCTTTACTAGCAGCCCTGCCTGTCTGTATGTGTTCATGTGATTGGACAGTTACAAAACAATGGGTTTTTTAGCTGGTGTTTTTATAAGCTTAAAATACCTCTAAAAATCTGAGCTCTGCCTTGTTGAAATTGGTGCCTGCAGCCCCCTCAAAATGTGAACTCTGGATTTTTTTAGGCTTTTCAGAATGGCCAGCCAATGGAGGAAACTTATACTGAGTATCTGTATTTGTGAACCTTTTAGTCAATAGGAATGCATCAAAACAAGCTGTAAATATGGAGTTTGAAAACTTTTAAATGACAGAAATTTCCTCATGAATGGTTCCTGCTTTGGATAGAGACAGCTTTACGCCTCCACAAGAATTTGTTTTTTATTCCCCAAACTGAGGTCACTCTGACTGCCGTCTACTGGAAGAGGATAACTGATCGTCCTCGCCTTAAAAAGGAAACCTGTTGTATTTAAGGGTTAGCTTGTTTCTGGAGTTTCTAGTGTTATTGTCAGTACTGCAGTGCAGTTAGATGCGCAGTTCTGTGCAAACGTTTTAGGCAAAAATGCTGTAAATGAAAAATGCTTTCAGAAATATAAATAATGATTGTTTATTTTATCAATACAAAGTGAGTGACTCCAATCGTGCAGCCAAAGTCATTGAGAACTATCTTCAGCATAAAAAAGAACCAGAAGTCCTGGAAGTGATCTGGCCCCCACAGAGCCCTGGTCCCAACATCACTGGGTGTCTGGGATTATATGAAGAGACAGAAGGATATGAAGAAGACATCCATAGATCTGTGGTTGAGGCGATGGCAGGAGAAGAGTTCAGTATTTGCTCTGTAACAGAAGGGTTGCAGGTTTTAGCCCCATCTGTTGCAGTTTTGTGTCCTTGGGCAAGACACTTAACCCGCCGTTCCTGCTGGTGGTGGTCGGAGGTACCGGTGGCACCTGTGTTGGGCAGACTCACCTGTCAGCGCGCCCCAGGGCAGCTGTGGCTACAATGTAACTCATCACCACCAGTGTGTGTGTGTGTGTGTGTGGGTGAATGACTGATTGTGTTGTGAAGCGCCTTGAGGGGTTGTAGAACCCTAGAAGGGGCTAAATCAAATATACAGAACATTGGAACAACCTTCCAGCCCAGTTTTTCAAAAGTTGTGCTCAAGTGTAGCTAGAAGAGTTGATGCTGTTTGAAGGATCTGATTTAGATTCCTCTTTTGTTCATTCACCGCTTTTTGTTAACTGATGAAAATAATTAACATTTAAATGTTTGAAAGCATTTTTTTGTTTACAGCATTTTCACACCTGCCTAAAACTTTTGCACGGTCTATAAATGTCTTTATAATGAATCAGTCACTGTGAAATAAAGTTGAGTTTAATAAAGTCAGGGATTGTGTATTAGTGTGTGTGTGCGTGTGCGTGTGCGTGTGTGTGTGCGTGTGTGTGTGCGTGTGCGTGTGTGTGTGTGTGTGTGTGTGTGTGTGTGTGTGTGTGTGTGTGTGTGTGTGTGTGTGTGTGTGTGTGTGTGTGTGTGTGTGTGAATTACTGACTGTGTTTGAGTGCTTCTGCCATTTGGTCCACTGACTCAGCATCACAGGTGAAACGTAGCCAATCTGTTTCCAGCAGCAACAGATTCAGCACCACATACCCAGCATGCACCTCTTTCAGCTTGTTTTCAGACAGGATCCACTAGTTTTTATGTGCTTTTACTTCATTTTCATATTTCTTTCAGCCCTATTTTATTTCACTTTTGCACTTTTTTGCTTTTCTTGAAGAATGAGTTCTTTCCTTTACTTCCTTTTGTTCCATCGTACATCTCTGTTTCTATTTGCTGTCCTGCTTTTTCCTCTCCATCCTCACAGCAATAATATGCTGCCATCTGAGAGGGATAAGGTTTGTGTTTTCCCCTTCTTCACTGCTGTCACTTCTCCATCCTCTCTCCGCCGTGTCTGCATGGAGACGGATGGATTCAGGAAAGGCCGGTAGTTACCAGGCAACAGCCTGCATGTGTGCTGGCGCGCTCTCTCTCTTTGAGTCCTACATGGGGTTAAACGCTGTTATGTTCTGTTGGTTACTCATAGCGTGGTCTCAGGAGGAGCATCCAGCCATTTTCTATTTTCAGGCTGAACTTTGCATGGGTGCCACCTGGTGAGGTAACAAGTGGAGTTGCTGTGTTTCTTTGCCGGAGAGCTGCTGAAGCACTTGACGTTGAAGAGTCGAGCGTACACTAATGAGACAGAACCCTTTACAAGGGTACGAACAAATCTTTGTAAGAGATCATTTAAAAGGGAATGAAATTACACTGGGAACGATAAGATTCACCATCTGTCGGAAATCTGTTGTTCTTTTGGTCGAGAGTTTTACCTTTATCTTTTGGCCAGTAACAAAAAAAAACTTTTTCCCCATGCTAAGTATTTAAGTTCCCTGATATGATTCACTGATCTCCATAATTAGTGATCTTTTGATGCACTCCTTAGTTCTTTCTCTTTGAGCTTTAATAGTTGGAAGTTACTGGAGTCAAAATAATTCCAAATGTTTAGCTGGGAACTTGTGTTTTGTTGTCCAGCTCAGAAGGCTGCTTCCACGGTCTTGTCACTTCCAGAATGCAAGGTTCCAGTCGGTTCAGTTCAACTAACCCGTTTACATGCACTTGAAAGGGTTTTTTAGGGCAATACTTCGTATTTTTGTTGTGCATGTAAACATACTGAGTGTGAATACCGACAGAGGTGTGCTGGTGAATCTGAAAGCTGTTGGTCCTCTGGGTAAAGATGCCGTTGTTTCCCACCACAAAGTTAGAACAGGATAGATGGTGCCACTTTTCCAGTTTGATCTTGCAGACTGGATTATTCTTTTTTCATCCCCTCTCCGGTAAAGTGAAGCTCTGTAAATGTCTTGAAGCAGTGACTGGTGTTTTTTTTTGTGTGTGTCCTGCGCTGTTTGTGTAACATTCATGATAGAACAGCAGACGGACAGGAAGAATGATGATGTGTTTATCGATGTTGCTAATGAGAATGACACGTAAGTGTTCATCGCCATGGGAATCTGTTTTTTTATGTTTTCGTCTCCATAGTGATGAGGAAGAGCTGCGGAAGTCGTTTTCAGAGCTTGGGGACAGCCTGTGTGACTCTGATGTCTCCAGATCGATGAAGGGGGAGGGCAGCAGCGGGAAGCTACTTTCAGATGGGACTAAGCCCACAGGAACGCTGCTGTACAAGAATGGATTCCTGGTCCGCAAAGTTCATGCTGACTCAGACGGCAAGAGAAGTACGAGTCCATGAAGGCTTTTTCTTTTTTCATTGAAACAAAATTTTAGCACAGGAAAGTAACTGTTGAAACTTTTATAGAAATGAGCAGATGTTAGAATTATACTACTAGAATGTTATCATATATATCATATAGATTTGTTTAATAGACTATTCCTACAGTAAAACATTGAAGCTAGTATATTGTCTCTAAAAGCAGTTGATAAAGTTAAAGGGATACTTTGCAACTTTTTCACATTTTTAAATCATTTTCGTGAGCCAGTGTGTGCTAAAATGACACTTTACATGGTTTATGAAAGGCCATCCATCCCCTATCATCCCCTGTGGCCAGAATATTCCACTTGCAACTTACGAGTGCCGGTTCGGTCTTTTGGGCATAGAAAATTTTTAGCTGACATACCTGGTGCAGGAGTCTGGTTCCAGAACGTTTCCTGCATGTTTTTGATCATGAACACATCTAATTTGTTTAATTTAGTGATTAATCACTCCTGTAGACACTAATAAAGGCTAGGAGACATTTCAGCTGGTAGATTAAGATGTTAACAAAAACGAACACACAGCGAGGAGATGACTTTTGCTTTCAGTTCTACAAACAAACACTAGGGTCTGCTAAAAGCAAGCCAAAACTGCCTAGTCTCTTTGCAACATTGCACAGATTTGGTTTTGGAAGCTCCTTCATAAACTGGTTGAAAACATTATACAGTTCCCCAACAGCATATGTCAGGATAAACCACCAAACATCAGCCAGCTTCTGTCTTCAGAGGGGGACCAGGCAGAGATGCCCACTCTTTCCCCAACTGTTTAGTATCTTTATTGAACCACTGGCAGCAGCAACCAGGCTACCTGAAGATACTAAAGGCAGTAAGTGTAAGAATGTTTTACTTTTTCTCCAGCATTCACAATACTTCCTCTTTTGGGGATTTGAATTAATAAACTCTTTCTTTTTAAAGTTTCAGATTATTCGATTAACTGGTTCAAATCTACAGTTCTCCCAATTTTTCTTTTCTCATTTTCCTTAATACACCATTGGAACCAGGGAATATTCAACACATTCTCACACCCAAAGCGTCGAAAAACGACGTGTGTGACCAAACGTCAAAATATGACGATCAGGGTGCCCCAGCGCGTCGGGAGAGGACGCGCAGGGACACGTGTCACACAGACATTCCACCTTGAACCTCTAGCGATTTAACCTTCGCCTCACCCCCATCCTAACCTTAACTCAGTAATTTTCAATTAAGCTTTGCTTGCGCACGCCGGTTAAGGTTAGAATGGGAGTGAGGGGAAGGTTAAGTAGGTCACAGCTCAGTCAAATGTCCGTGTAACCGCGGGCGTCGGATACCGACGCTCTGGGACAGCGCGTCCTTTCCTGACGCGCTGGGGCACCCTGAATCATCATATTTTGAGGCTTGGTCACACGCATCATTTTTCGACGCTTTGGGTGTGAGAATGTGTTGGAATATTACATACATTCAATTCAAAAATACTTTATTAATCACAGAGGGAAATTGATTGCTGTAGTAGCTCAGAATAATAATAATCAAGTCATCAGAGTTGTTGTATATTACAATGGCTGTTGGCAGGAAGGATCTCCAGTAGCGGTCAGTGTTGCAGCCAAACTGAAGAAGCCTCTGACTGAAGACACTCTTCCGTTGTCGGACACTCTTGTGAAGAGAATGCTCAGGGTTGTCCATCATTTTCTTGATTCTCTGGAGAATCCTTCTTTGCATTATCTCCTCCAGTGGTTCCACAGTCGTCCCCAGAACAGAACCAGCCTTTTTTATTAGGCTGTTGAGCCTTTTCAGGTCCCTGCTTCTGATGCTGCTACCCCAACAGACGATGGCTGAAGAGATTACACTCTCAACAACAGACTTGTAGAAGATCTGCAGCATCTTGCTACAGACATTGAAGGACCTAAGCATCCTCAAGAAGTGCAGTCTGCTGTGTCCCTTCTTGAAAACGGCTTCGCTGTTCTTTCTCCAGTCCAGTCTGTTGTCCAGGTGAACTCCAAGGTATTTGTGTTCCTCAACCACCTCCTCTTCTTCTCCCATGATGGAAACAGTGTTTGACTCCACCCTGTTTCTTCTGAAGTCTAAAATCATCTCCTTGTTTTGTTCACATTCAAGGTCAGATGATTGTTTCCACACCATGCCACAAAGCGCTCCACCAGCTCTCTGTACTCAGCTTCCTGTCCATCTCTGATACACCTGACAACTGCAGAGTCATCTGAGTATTTCTGTACATGACAGGTCTCTGATTTGTACTGGAAGTCTGAGGTGTACAGGGTGAAAAGGAATGGTGAGAGTACAGTCCCCTGTGGTGCTCCAATGTTACTGATCGACTGGTTTGATGTGCAGTTCTTCAGCCTCACAAACTGTGGTCTGTTTGTCAGGTAGTCTTTAATCCAGGCGATAGTTGAGGCCCCCACCTGTGTCTTCTGGAGTTTCTGGTAAAGTACACCAGGCTGGATTGTGTTAAATGCACTGGAGAAATCGAAGAACATGACCCTGACAGTACTGCTTGCTTTGTCCAAATGACAGTGGGTTGGTTGAAGCAGCTGGATGATAGCATCTTCAACTCTAACTCCATGGCGATGAGCAAACTGCAGCGGGTCCTGATATCTTCTAGTTTCCTTATTCAAGTGGACCAACAGGAGTCTCTCCAGGACCTTCATGATGTGGGATGTCAGGGCAACCGGTCTGTAGTCGTCATTGACTGATGGGCGAGTTTTCTTTGGAACTGGAACAAGGCAGGATGTCTTCCACAGGACTTGAACCTTCTCCTAGGCCAGGCTGAGGTTGAAGAGGTGCTGCAGAATCCCACAGAGTTGCTCTGCACAAGCCTTCAGTACTCTGGGGCTGACACCATCTGGATCTGCAGCCTTGTTCCTGTTCAGTTTCTCCAGCTGCCTCTTCACATGACTTCTAGAGACAGATAGGTGGGAGGGGGAGGTAAATGGGACAGCAGCATCTCCTGACTTGGTTGAAGACAGATTTATAGGACCAGAAGAGTCCATGTCTGTGTTAGAGGACAGAAGAGCTGGCATGTGACAGGAAAATGTTGGATCAGAGGAGGATGGGATGTCTGATTGGCTAGGGATAGGCGAGGAGGATGCTGGGTTTGTTCCTGAACTGAACTTATTGAAGAACTTGTTCAGTCCATTGGCTGTGTCCAGGCTGCCATCTGTGCAATCCTTCCTGTGCTTGAAGCCTGTGATCTTCTTCATCCCTGACCAGACATCTGATATTGTTCCTCTGTAGTTTGCTCTCCAGCTTCTTCCTGTATGCCTCCTTGCTGTCTCTGATCTTGATCTTCAGTTGCTTCTGTATACTCCTCAATAATTCCGTCTCCCTCCTTGAAGGCTCTTTTTTTCTCATTTAGCAGATTCTTCAGTTCACTGGTGATCCAGGGTTTGTTATTAGCAAAGCATCTCACTGTTCTTGTGGGTATGATGTTGTCCACACAGAAGTTTATATAGTCAGTGACACATCCAGTCATGGCATTGATGTCCTCTTCATATCCTTGGAAGAGAGTCATCCAATCTGTGGTCTCAAAACAACCCTGCAGGGCTTCTTCGGCGTCCTGTGACAATTTTCTCACAGTTCTTCTTGTCACAGGTTGCCTCTGAACAAGTGGTTTGTATTCTGAGCAGAGAAAAACAAGATTGTGATCTGATTGTCCCAGAGGAGGTCTTGTTTTGGACATGTATGCATTCTTTACATTTGCATAACACAAATACAATGTCTTGTTTTCTCTGGTGGAGCAGCTGACAAACTGTTGAAATGTTGGAAGTGTAGCAGAGAGCGAGGCATGATTAAAATCACCAGATATAGCCACAAATGCATTGGGGTGCTGGGTTTGTAGCTGCATCACATGCATTTTCAGGAGCATTAATATCTCTCCCACGCTGGAAGATTTTACAAAACTAAACTACATCCCACTGTTAAAGAAAGTAGAAGACTTAACAGATGGAAATTTCTAAGGATATCTTTCACGGGGAAGGTTGCTTCCATTAAAATGATTGCTTTACCAAGAATCAACTACTTATTTTTAATGATCCCAAGCAAGCCGCCATCTGACTGGTTTAGATCTCTGGGCTCCTCCATCACGAATTTCTTTACAAGGATAAATCCCCACAAACTAGCTTACAAACACTACAGAAGGCCAAAGATAGAGGAGGGCTGGATCTTTTATAATTTTATCAACTTTTATCATTATTTCTTAGCCTTTAGGCTCCAATACATACTAAGATGTTTGAAGCAAAACCCACTAGGTGAGTCCTGGTTAGATTTAGAACAGAGATTTTCTGACTTATCATTTATCAGCAAAACCCTATACCACAAAACTGCTTTAAAGGTTCTAATATCAGGCACATTTATCTATCAGCTTTGACCACAATCTCTGGTCTCAGACATGTTTAAAAACATCCAAAATAACAAGTAATCCCAATTTACTATTAATATACAAAGTCCTGCATAAAACAGGGTGTGCTCCTGACACTTACTGTTGGATGCTCCTATTGAGAAACCACACACACACACACACACACACACACACACACACACACACACACACACACACACACACACACACACACACACACACACACACACACACACACACACACACACATGTGTTAACAAAGGTGTTCACTCCATATGAACTCAGATGTTCTAAGACACACACATTAACTCTGGTTGACACTAAATACACGTTGAATTACTTATTACCATGTACATGTTTGTATTACATACATGTTGTTTGTCGCTTTGGTTTGTTTAACCATTTTCTTCTCTCCACAGCACCAAGAGGAAAGAGAGGGTGGAAGACTTTCTATGCCATCCTTAAAGGGCTAATTCTTTATCTGCAAAAAGTAGGATTCTCACATTGTTATACACTATACATAATACATGTTTGTTTCTTTAGATGATGTAAAAGGCTGTATTCATTATTCAACCGTCATTGATGGTTGACTGCATTGAAACATCCTGTTTGTTTTACGCCAGCCACAGATTCAAGAGCAGAGGGCGAGTCTGTGGTTTCAGTCAGAAAAAAAGGCTGCAGTTTCCTTTAAACACATCAGGAATGACAAAGCATTCTGATTTTGTTGTTATCCGCCCAGAACTAAAGGTTCTTCCTCTGCTGAGCTAAAATAGTTTCTCCAAATCAAAACGATAGACTTCTACTCTCCACGTAACTCTATAAAGTCAAACTTGAGAGGATTAATATAATTTGAAACCATCCGTGATCCATTTTTGCTTGAACTCTTTTTTCCACCGAGGAATTATAAGTGTAGGGGCAATGCTTTGTTTCAGGGGGAGTACCGGCCTGAAAAGCAGCTCTCCGATGAAGACCTGAAGAACGCTGTGTCCATCCATCATTCTCTGGCCATGAAGGCTTCAGACTACAGCAAAAGACCCAACGTGTTTTACCTGCGGACTGCTGACTGGAGGGTTTATCTCTTCCAGGCACCGTGAGTCTCATGTTTTCTCACTGACCTTTAAGGGAAACAGAACCATTTACTTTTCAACCTGAGTAGCTTTTATTTAAACAAGTGGTTCACTTGAATAATCAGTGCATTCGCAGTGGTCTCTAATAGGAATGAATGCATCATTTTTTGGACCTAGTAGTGACTCATATCACCATGGACGTAATTTGGGGGGGGGGGGACAGGGGGGACATGTCCCCCCACTTTTTCCAAAGTCAAGTTATGACCCCTGCACTTTTTTACCATCCAAAAACAATATTACTTTATATTAAATTGACACTGGTTGAGCTATAGGACCAAGCGGAAAACAACCGTTTGTGTTGAAGCCTGTTTCCCATTACAGCATACTGTAAAGATACTCCCCCCACCCCCACCCCGTGTCCCCCCACTTCTAAAGGGAAAATTACGTCCATGCGTATCACAGCTGGGCTTCAGACAGCAGGTCTTGGAGTTTTATTTCCTGATATTTGGACAACTCGCCTCGGATTGGATAACAACAACGCAACTCTGCCACTGACATGCAACGTGGATGCTTTATCTTCAGAAGCCTTGAAGAGCTTCTGCCATGAGGTGAAGTTGCTAATGCTAATAGTTAGCTTAAACTAGCCAAGGCATTAAACCAAAAGCCTCCCCCATCATGAGTCAAGATGGGTGAGTCCATGGATGTTAATGACAGTGTGACATAGATCTGTCAGTATTTTTTAATCCTCGAGTTTCACCATCTATTTACTATCGGAAGCTAATGCAGGAGTTAGTTGTAGGAGACTATTTTCATATTCAACCTGCATGAACAACTAAGAGTGACTGATTATACATTTATTTAAATAGCTTCTCAGTCAACCTCACCTTTGAAGCAAAACATCAAAGATGTATGTCCTCCATTCTGAAATGTGTTTCTGTGTAAAGGTTAAATATTCCCTGTCATAACTGCTGTAGATAGCTCCCTGGTCAGGAAAATTGTTTATGTCTCTCTGGACTGATGAGCTAACAGCTAGTCTGAGCTAACAGTTGTCCAGGAGGTAGAGTGGGTCATCCAACAATCCCAAACCCCAACTCTATCCTAGTTACTCTATTGTGGCCTCGAGCTAAGCATTTGGCCCAAGGGCCAGAGTTCGAACAGGGTAGCTAAGGAGTCCCTGGCTCACCTAAGATTGTGACGGGCTATTGGAAATGTATTTTTTACACCAGGCGTATGCGGTATCACTGTAATACTGCCCAAGCCTAGTGTAGTGGTATAAACCTACCTGCATTTTCCTTTTCAAACTCTTTGTTTTGTTTTCTTGTTTTTAATGTGACTATTTTCCTGTCCTGTCTGTCTCTGATCCTCCTGCATCTCCTCTCAATCCTCCAGAAAAAACTGCTGCCTGGGTTCCTAATTTTTCACCTCATGAGTTACTTTTGAACTGATCAGATCAAAGGGATCTACCGACCGCGATATTGGCAGAGTGTGCACTGCGCAGCTGCGCCAGTGAGGTGAAGTGACTGCAGTGCGGGTGATGAGCTCACTGGATTCTTTTGAGACTTGATTATTAAAGTTAAAAAAAAAATCCAGCTGCAAGTCAAGTTGCATTTTTAAAAACCAACCAGCCTTCTATTTACAGATACAAGAGTTGATGCTACAGTGGTGTTTTGTTTCTATCACTGATATAAAGAAAGAAAGAAGGAAAAAAAAGATCTTTTATATAGCGCCTCTCAAGATAAAAATCACGAGGCGCTTCACAAAAACAAAACAATTTAAATATCAAAAAAATATTTAAAAAAAATGATTAAAATATGTTTTCAATGAAAAAATATAAGGAAAAGGAGAGAGAAAATGAATAGGAAAGAGGGAAATCAGTGGATCCCGGGAAAGGCAGATATCCCTTTACAGGAATTCTGCACAGCAATACAAAAACAGTTTCCTTTGATTTACTAATCAGATGTCAGAGACAGTGATAGACAAACGGCTCTAATCATCTGCCAAGTCATTTTTGAGACTTTCCATCATCTTTCCAGCTGGTTTGGTGCTACAAACCATCTGCTGCATCATGTTCTGCCAAGCACCATTCACGTAATCTCAGACTCAGATGATGATGGTGATCCATCACAGATCTGCTGGGTCAGCCAATCTGTTGCACATCTTTTCTGGAAACAGAGAACATGGTTGTTGTTTTTTCTGCAGAATATCAAAGTTCCTTCAAAGTGTTGCAGCAATAAACTGTATGCTTCTTGTTTAGCTCTTTAGCTTGTATGCAAATGCTTCTTTATTAGAGAGAAGATTATTCTGACCATTTAGGTTTGCAGGTACATCTTTGAGCTTGTGCAGCCTGATAATCAGCATGACTCAAATATGAGGTCAGGATCTGAGCTGCCTGTGAAATTAAATTGAGGTTTTTTTGGATTTCTTTTTCACTTTTTTAAAAGCCCGACCTTTATAAAGAAGTATTAGTTTCTATCAGATTTTACTCCCATTATGGTGAATATTGAAGCATTTTATAAGACGTTTAAGATCTTAATGCTCATTCTGTTGAATGTGTCCCAGTCTGTACTGTTAGAGCAGCACAACTGTGCGCTGCCTTATTTCTGACAAAGTTTCTCCTGACACTGATGTGGTGAGAATTTGCAAAAGAGGAAAGGAAAAGACTTTTGCCTCCATCAGACTGGATAAACTTTAAACTGATGGAGATGTTTTTGTGGAAATCCTAAATCCTGAAGAGGTAAATAAATGTTTTCAGTCCCACTGAAGAAAAACCTCCAGCTGATCACCTGCTAAAGGTAATCTGAGACAGGATTGTTGACGCATACGTGTGACAAACAGTGTGCAAAGTGAAGGTGGAGGTGTGCAGAGTGTAAGCAGGAAGTGACACGTGATTGGCCACATGTTTCAGCCCCAGGAGGACAGGCTCTGTGCTCCAGTTGCAGCTTGTATTTGTCCCAGATACTCTTCCCCTCTCTTCATCTCTCTCCTCTTTGTCTCTCCATCTCCTTTTCTCTCTGTTTCTCCTGGGAGTTAAAGTACACTTTCTTATGGGCCTCTAATAGTTCTGTTAGAGTTTAACAGACTCTGTTCTCTGATGCATTAATTGGCTGCAAAGTCACTTTGCTGAAAACAGGGCTGCGTTTTGTCATGAATTATGATGCTTTGATGCTGTTAACAGCCAGTTTCTGATGTGAGTGTGCAGCAGCACAGAGAGGATGTGATTTATAACAACCGAATGTGTTTGAGGCTATTTATTTTGCTTATTCTGAGTGATTGCTGTGTTTGTATTTGATTCGTCCACCACAGGAATGATGAGCAGATGCAGTCTTGGATCACACGTATCAACACTGTGGCTGCCTTGTTCTCCTCTCCTCCGTTCCCAGCAGCCATCGGCTCCCAGAAGAAGTTCAGCCGGCCTCTGCTGCCTGGGACAATGTCAAAACTGTCCGAGGTAACACCGAGATCCGGTTGTGTTCTGGGATGAGTCTGTGACCCCTTGTTTTTCAGGAAGGGAGTTTGTGTGTCTGCTGAACTTTGCAGCGCAGATGTGGAAATGCACACAGTCCTTTTCTAGGTTCTGCTGGAAATGCACCACAGTATGAATGCATGCACAGACAGCCACAGACTGCAGATGTGTGATGTGTGTATTACACACACCTGACTGAAACTGCCTGACATGCATAGGAAAACAAAAGAAAGTAATTACAGCTGAGCAAACTGTTCTATATGTGGATGCTTTGTTGTTCCTGTTTCCTCCCAGGTTAAACGTCAACATGATGCTTTAAAAAAGTCTTAATAATCCAAAGAAAAGTCAGATTTTATACACCTGAAGCAACTAAAAAAATAACTAAATAACAGGATGGAATTTGCCATTAAGATTCTAAATATACACACTTCACATTCGTGTTTTTCATTCAGTTGTTTTAATGAAAGTGTTTCAATTCCAGGTGATAAGTTTGGAGTCGTTACATCCTTCACTTTTTTTTTTTTTGTCTGGCTCATCTTCCAGGAGGAGCAGATCAGATCCCACGAAGCACGATTCAGAGCCATCTCCACTGAGCTGGCTGAGCTACGTTCCTTTCCCCCTGATCGCAAGGTCAAAGGTCGTGAACTGGAAGAGTATCGCCAGCGAGACGAGTATCTGGACTTTGAGGTGAGTGGGACTCTGGGAGCCACATGAAAATATAAAGGAGGACGACGTTGTCTGAACTAGAGCTGCGTGCCAACTCTGCAGCTGCACATGCCGGCTCTGTAAAAACTAACAGAATAAAGCTCTTACAGGATGCATGCCTCACTAATGAACCTTTACCTTAGTCTCTCAGGCTTAAGCTTGGTTTATGCTTGACGCATTCACTTTCCGCTCGGTGATGCGGCTCGCCGATGAAACGCGCTTCACAACTCGCAGCGTTTATGGTTCGTGCGGCTCGTCTCTGCGGTGAGCCAATATTCTCCCAAACTGTAGGGGGCAGCATGGAGCTCTACGGCATGCATCCAACACTACACCATAGTAGAAGTAAAAATGACTGTTTACAACATGGCATTTCAGCATTTTTAACAGCGTCCTCGACTTTTGCGACAGTGCGAGCTATTTCTCTCCAAGAATTATTAACAACATGTTGATCACGGTGATCTCTGAGAGCTGAATCATACAAACGTCTGTATTTACGAACCTCTGCCATACTAGTTCTTGCCGGTCCGCCATGTTTTTCCACGTCCGACCGTCCGCGTGGTTAGAAATTTTCCTAGGTGCGCGTTGCGGAAATTTTGGGCCGTGCGGAGACGCGGTGGAGGGGTGTGGTTGTTAAAATGACGCAATTTTGCCATGCGGACCTCGCGGACGCGTCAAGCACAAACCAACCTTTATAGTCAGGCTGCATAGAGACACTTTAGCGTTTGCTGATGTTGGATTAGTGGCGGTGGCCATCTTGAATCAGGTTGACTCTGGCCAGCTGTAGATGTTTTTCCAGTGATTACTGTCTGAAAGTTTCATCCGAATCCATCCATAGATTTAGTAGCTGTTAGGTTATGATTTCACACACATGCACCCACAGTTAGAGCTAAATATTCTTTATTTTTGTGTCCCTGTTTTTGTGCTTCAACAGAAAACACGGTATGGGACTTACATCATGCTGCTGCGAGCAAAGATCCGAAGTGGCGAGGAGGACCTGTCTGTGTTTGAGTCCTTACTTCTGGAAGACAGCAGCCTGCAGAGGGCTCATTCCAGCCCCACACTGCAGGACAGCAGCCAGGCCAGCCAGGCCAGCAGCATCAGAGGGGGCGGGGACAGCAGCAAGGCCAGCGGCTACAGCAGCAGCAGCAAGCCTCGACAGGAAGGACAGAGACACAGCTACCGACAGGCCGTCAAGAAGTGAGGCGTGGCAGGGTGCCGGGAGCGGCGTGATGCTGCACTGCCAGCGGCAGGCTGTCTCCCTGCAAGCGTTTTTTTAGATCCTGAGGGGTCCGGAGCTCCACTTGGAGGGGAGAGCAGGAGTGAGGGTCTACCCCACGCTCTCTACCCCAACCATGATGCCCCACCCCAAACTACTCATCTAAAGGAGGAGGTGCAGATCCAGCGATCTTGATGATGCAGGATGTGGAGAAAACAGATGTGAGGTCAGAGATCTGCAGAGAGAAGGTGTCTTTCAGAATGAAGGCTGGATGCAGCAGCAGCAGCAGGCAATGGTTGCTTAAAGACAAACGGGACAGCCAGCCAGCATCTTCTTCCTGTCTCCCCTTCTGTTCCTTCAGGGCGCCTCTTCATCCACGTTCTCCTACCTTTTTCCTCATCATTTGCTCTTTTTTGGGACCAAACATGTTTACACGCGTAAAAGCGCCATCGCATTTTAGATGACTAATGATTTGGTTTTAGCTGAACTGCTTCTGCTCTGCTGCTCTGATGTAAAGCGCTGTAAGCCCTTTGAAGCGTCACCAGGTTTTTTGGACCCACAACATTCCAGCTCTGTTTGGTTTTGTTGTTGGTGTTTTGTTTTTTCATCGCATCATCCCAATGTGTTCACACTCCATACACGAGCGGGTGATTACAGCGGTTAGCTCCTGTACGTTCCAGCGACGAAGGTAGAACGTTAAAGCAGATGCTGATGGTGTTGCTGCAGTGCACTCTGTTACGAGACGATGAAGCTGCTTCTTTCTGCAGCCACTAGAGGCGATATCCGCTCACAGCGCTCGTGGGTACGCAGCAAAAACTGCACCGAACAGAAAAATGTCCGTTCGTTTCTACTTGAACATCTTTTTCCTGGTTGCTTTTGCCCGTGTCCCGTGATGTGCTTCATTTCTCTTTTTCTTGGCTGAATGTTGTTTTTCTGCATGCCTGCATCCAGCGCAACTTCTTCTATGGCGTTTACTACTTTGAGGCTAAAACCTGAGTCTGAATTGCTTTCTGGGTTTTTGAAATCATTCTCCAGCCTGTGCCATACCCAACGTTTGTAACCAGTCTACGTACAGCCGCTCATGTTGAACCCTGATGTCAGACTCACCAGGCAGACCCTGAATGTTGATATTTTTAAAGTATTTTACAGTCATGCTGATGTTGAACCCACCCCCTCTGTGTGTTTATGTCGATCAAATATTCAACATATAAAAGGGAAATGTAATCCATGACCACCAGGACTTGTACAGTGAAGCACCACCTGCTTATATCATAGGATATATGATGGTATATTTGCAATAGTTTCAGCACACTGATGTGAAGATGCTCCAGGAACAAACTGAGTTGTTCTTCTTAGTCCCTAAAGCGCTAAACGATAATCACGTACTTGTTATTTGTAGATACTGTGTAATTAGTAAGGTCTAGAGATTAGTAAAAATGTTTTTACAGGCTAGACTATGTTAAAAACGGATTTCATCAGCTTCAGTGGAAAGGGCTCTGATGCCGAAACCTGATAGCAGGATTTTGATTGGATCAGGTCTGATACTGTTGTGTGAGATGCTGAAGAAGTCATGAAACATAAAGAGTAAACCAAGGGAAATGCCTGACTTTTAGATGGACCTGTCCAGGTTTCATTGGGTAGCCTAGACGCCTCACAGCATCACTGATGCATAGCCATTTTCTACTCAGGCTTTTAAAAACACACCTTGAGCAGCTGCAGTGGCAGCGTGCGACCAGCAGGGAGAGCTGTCAACCTTCAGTTAAGTTCTTCTTTCAGCCATAATCACACGTGCTGCACCTGCAGTAAATATGCACGAGGTCTCCCACTCACCTGAGGCAGGGGATGGGTGTCGCAGGGCTATGTGACCCGAGACCTATCTGTGTTAACTGTTTGTGTTATTCAAAATGTGTGTGTGCGTGCGTGCGTGTGTGTGCATGCTGGGACTGTGCTGGATGACCCTCGAGAATGTTTCATTTCTTTGTGTTTGACTTTCATCCAGCATCAGCTCCTGTGTTACTCATTAAAAACCAGTTGATGCCGTGTGTACAAATTCAAAAACAGATGATTTGATGATCGTGCTTTATAGAATGTCAGTCATGCCTCTTCTGCGCTGCACGGACTTTTGTCAAATGCCAGTTTTGTTCAACCATTCAGACATTCCCTGATTTATGTCTTTTCGTTGTCTTATGTGACACTAGAACTGGTTTTTGCTGTTGTTGTTATTGTTGTTGTTTTTAAGGCTGGTGTCAGAAAAGAGGACTGTGAGGTGGAAGTTCTACACTTGCTGCCTGACATTTAGTTGACCAAACCAAATGTGAAGAGAAATGTAGTAAAAAGGGGTCTTAAATAATGACTACATGTAGCTGCACCATCTTATTTTTCTCTTTGTTTTCTGTGGCTCATTCAGATGATTTGAAAAGGTGTTTTGTGCACGTTGCCAAAACGGACATCTTGTAGCTCTGATCTTTATGTAACCAGAAGACCTACAGTTGTGTGTTCGGCTGTAAAGCAGGAAAACTGTCAGCCAGATTCAGAATAATATACAGTAACACCAGTGTTACAGCACCAAAACAACTCAGCCTAAAACATTTTTCCTTATTTATATCAAACAGCTACAGCTTAGGGATTTTTTTTTAATTTTCTAGTTTAATTTTACTGCCGACTCCAACATCAGGAGTGAATGTCCAAGCTCAAACAGAAACAAGGTTTCCAAACGCTTTAGCTTCCAGTCTTCAAACCAACAGGAGAGGCTTGTGGCCCCAACCTTCACCAAGTAAAAACTACTAAGAGCCTCAACATTCATAGTTACTACTGGTTTTATTTTGTATAATTTATTTACCATCAGCAGCCATTTTTATTCTAAATTGTTTCTGAAGTTGATCAACCCCTGATCCACGATCCACTGTGGGGTCCAGACACCCACCACCACCCCACTTGGGAGTGATGGAAAATCATTTTATCTGGTGAAACATCCTTTATCTGATGATTTTGTGCTTTTTTTATTATTATTATAGTTTAAATTTTCAGAATCCGCTTATACAAGCTTCCTGGATCATAGAAATTTGTGTCTGCAGCAAAACCCTTCCGAGATTAAACATACAACATGTAGACTAAGCAGGCACAGACAGGCCACGAGAGCAGCTATACAAGATGCCCAGTTACACTTTGCAACATTTTCTTAAATATCATTAAATACTAATGGTTTGTGAGTCTTATGCATTGAAAATAATAAAAACTACTAAAATGAAAAGACAAACATAAGAATATTTGAACTGGAGACCCCACTGACTGCTGTTGTGTTGGTTTAGATCTTTATTAAGATAAACCCCCCAACCCCAATATTTGCAGGAGATTAAAAATGTATCTTCCTCGTTTGGCTCTAGAAGATTGAGCTGAAGCCATAAAGTGAACTAAACTTTTGTGAATCCCTCCCACAGTTGAAACTAGAAGCTGAACTCCATTATGTTCAGTTTTAATACCTGATGTGAGCCAAAACCAAACCTAAAACAAGCCAGATGTTAGTCTGAACCGTGGCAGCAGTTGAAACAACAGAAATCAGCACCGGCTTCGTTTAATTAATTTATTACTGCAGTTTTTTTTTATAATTAAACTGATACATTTTGAATGTGGAACATCTCTAAATGGACTGATATCAAAGCATTGAAAACACAAATTTCAAGTTTGTCTCTGCTGCTTGTGTTCATCGGAATGCAGCTGCTGGTTTTCATGGAAACCACTGGTCCCCCTGATGGCGCTCGGCCCAGGTGAAAGTGGTGGGACGCCCCTGTGATAACACAGCAGCTCCGAACCCTGAGCGACTACACTTTACTTAAACCTGTTCTAATTTAATTTCATCATTCTTATTTCTAAATGTAAATAAAGCATGAGACATCATAGCCTGCTCTTTTTTATATTCTGGGTATTAAGGGTTGATATAAGGTCAGCCTCCTTCTCTCCTGGATTCCATGGTCATGTGTTTGTTTTCTGTTTTTTTTCTATCAATGTGAAAGAAGGAAATGGTTATATTTAATGCTGTCGTATTTTAGAGACTTGATTGAGCTCAAACAAATCTTTTTACATGTGGAGGTCTGATTCGTCTCAGTGTTTTTTAGACGGGTGCAGGTAAAGGCAAAGTTCATTTGATGCTGAAACAGTGAGCTACGTGTGTCACTGCCTTGTTAAATCTCACCAAGGAAGTGGTGTTTGTGAGCTTCTTATCTTGGGGGGGAATAATAGAGGAAATAAATAAAAGTGTTTTAAAAGGTTTGTTTTGTGTCACCTTCAATCTGTGGAATATTATTTCTGTATTCTAATGTGCTATCAATAGGAATAAACAAAAAAGTTTGAACAAAACGCCAAGCTACTGTCCTAATAAGATATTAGCATGCTTGCAACTTAGCATAATTTAACTTGTAGTGTTATACTTAGTTCTCAAGGTCATAAATGTTAATTTTTCTGCAGATTAATTAATTTAATAACTATGATGCAAGAAACAATTTAACTGCAGGATTTTGCACAGTGGTGCAGTTTCCCCCCTTATGAATATAAGTCACAAAGTGGCTCTATGCAACGGGAAATGTGTTGACTTGGGGTCCCTCTGGGAACTGAAGCCCTGGGGGCAGTTTCCTATTTTGACCTAATTTTGACAAACTAGCTGTGCATCCGATTAAAATAAACATAATCTCTCAGCAGCTGGGGAATGTGAAGGATCCAGTGTACCCACACAATACATTAGATTTGGTTCAATGACTGTTTTGCTTTTCTTTTTGCCCATGTGCAGTAGAACATGCCAGTTCATCCATGACCAAACCAGGGCTGCAAGAATAGTACTATAGTATAGCACTATAGGCAGGCCACTTGTTACTCTCTTGCAATGTTACTTCATTTAGATGCAGTATTAAATAATTATGAGAATGATATCTTCATGAATCCAAAGTAGACAATGTATTACTGGGAGCTCATGTTTTTTAAATGTGATCCTCGACTGAGCAGAACGGGGTTATTCTGAATGTTTACACATTTGGATTGAGTAAATATTTTATGTTCCTGTAAATCACACCCACACTGTTGCAAAATGCAGGAAAAAAACGCTTAAAATTTTATTAAAATACAAAAAGACATATAAAGCACATCCTAGATAGTCTAAAGATGTGTCACTAAACACAAAAAAAGACTCAAAATAACTGGTGATAATTTTTAAAGAACTTTTCATCTGTATTAGCAATACATAAAAATTGGCAAACAATAAAAAGGCGACTGTATAAATTAAATACTAATATTAATTTATAACATTGCTCGTGTTTTTGAACACAGCCTTGTTCGTTTATTGTGCATCATTTAAATCTGGGGACGAGAAGGCGCAACAGATGGGTGGAGTTTGCGCTTGTCAGTCCGTGTTTTAAGGTGACACCGCTTCTACCAGAAAAAAACTTTGCACACGAGTTATAGACCGGAGAACGGTAAAGGAGTTGACCCATATGTAAGCGACACAGTCGGGTTTCTCGTGACGTATGTGTGGGAAAGTATCAAAGTACACACAGCCTCGCTGAGCTTCTATCTGAAAACAAGATACATTTACTCCGTAAATAGCTCATGACACTCTCATAGACACCTAACGTAAGTATCAAACACTGATCAGCGACACTTTATCTAGAAAACCTTTATTGACGCGACAGGGCTTTGAAGCAACGCTAGAGTGAAGGGCTCTGGCTAGCTGCTGGCTAACTAGCCGCTTTGCTGGATAACTAATGAGCAGTCGTGAGACACCTCTTGCAATATCCAAGGCTTACTTCTTTTTGTCGAAGTAGTGTACCGAAAAATAGACGTGTGCCACATTTGGGGCATTTTTTCTTTCTTTTTCTTTTAGCGTTATTGTTGCTGGAAAACGTCACAGAATGCAGCCCTGCCCTTGTGTTTGGTAGCTTGGTTTAGCTAGGTGGAAACGGAAAGAGTGCTGTCATTTAAACAGCTAAAAGGTTTTGTTGCTTGCGTCCAGTTTTCGATCCAGACTTCGCTACAACGATGGAGAAACCTCCCTTCAAACAGAGCCAGAACTGCGGGGACTGGGAGCATAAAGAGAGGCTGGGCACGGGAGGCTTCGCTCATGTTTACCTCTACCAACACCGAGTGAGTGTCGAGCTAAATCCTGCTGACATTTACCTTTTCACCATTCATCTGTATGTTTGTGCAGGCCGATGTATGAAGCTAAAGTAAAAATCCAAGTCTCCTCAACAGTCAGTTTAATAATATTATCATTTATGGTGGACAAGTGCCACAGCTGTGTACGCTTAGCTTACTCAGTCTAAACATGTAATCAGTGGTATTGGAAGAAAATTAGAAATATACACAGTCTCCAAAGTATTTTCATTTGATCTAATTCATTGTTCTGTTAACACTTGAAATTCTAAAGAAAGAATTTGTCTCGTCTTTCAGGAAACTCATGAAAAACTGGCAGTGAAAATGTGTCGTCTGGAGCTCACGACAAGAAATAAGGAGCGATGGAGCAGAGAAATACAGATCATGAAAAAGTTTGTTCTTATTTAATATATTTCACAATTCTATCGTGTTTTTTATTTAAGTTTGTAAATTCTAAACTTTGACGAAAAGTTGTTTTGTAGCAAAAGATTGGTGAAAGAGTGTGAGATTGTGACGGCAGCTGTCATTCGTTTATTTTTATTTTTTTGGAGCCATGATTTGATGAATGTATTTGGATGTAATGATCACTGGGTTCCCATTTAGTTGAATTTTTTTGGGGTTGTCATGGTGATGTGCAACATGTCAAGTGGATGCAGGCGGTCAATCAAAGTTGTAAGTCTGTCATGTTGGTTTGACAGATGGAGGGGGGCTGGGTACTTGTAGTTTTTGTTGATCGCTACAGTTTATTACACTTTATTTGGTCATGTTATGTTTACGGAGTTTGACCTAAACAAGTTTAAGATGAACCCCTAAATAGCTGTAATTAACTTCATTGATTCCACCTCTGTGCCGTCTGGAGCTCACAACAAGAAATAAGGAGCGATGGAGCAGAGAAATACAGATCATGAAAAAGTTTGTTCTTATTAAATATATATAAATAAACTTTTACTTACTTTTACTTACTTACCTCTGACAGCTGACCGTGCGTTAAACGCATCGTCTGCCTGTAAGGCGACTGTGGAAGGTGCTACAATAACTTTCTTTTCTTTCACTTAGGTTGAATCATATTAACGTTGTAACGGCTCGAGATGTCCCAGAGGAAATAAAACCTATTGCTTTAAACGATCTTCCACTGTTGGCCATGGAGTACTGCTCCAGAGGGGACCTGAGAAACGTGAGACTTACTGACCTTTCTTTCAGATGAATGTAATATTAGTGTTTATGCTGCTGGAGATTGCCTGAATATTATCATAAAGAGGCTCTTGCTAAAAGAAAATCTGAGACAAAAGTACAAGATTTCAATGATCACAGACATCTGAGAGTACCAAAGTAACAATTTTAATATATATGACTCAAGAAATACATAGTTAACAAATCTAAGCTGAGCAAAGTTAACAAGATTAATCTATGTGATGTTAGAATTACGTGCGTGTGTGTGTGTGTGTGTGTGTGTGTGTGTGTGTGTGTGTGTGTGTGTGTGTGTGTGTGTGTGTGTGTGTGTGTGTGTGTGTGTGTGTGTGTGTGTGTGTGTGTGTATATAGATAAATGTACTTTATTAATCCTAGGCTGGGAAATTGCAGTGTAGCAGCAGCATTACATGCGTTACGGCAGTTCAAATCAATAGCAATATAAAAAAGTTTTAGTTATTGCTATTGCACTTTTTGATGGTGTACGGTAGGAAAAACTTCCTGTATCTTTCCCTTCGACAGTGTTTCATTAACTGTCCATTATTTTCGTATTTTCTTGAACTTTTTGGTTTTGGGGTTTGCACTTGACCTTCCAAGTACATGAGGTCAGATTGCATCACCAGAAAAGTGAACAGCATCACAACACATCAGCTGCTGTCTGTAGCATTAATGTGAATCACTTGCCGAACGTCAGACTAAAGTAGCTTCACCCAAGTGATAGAAGTTAATCGTGTTTATGGAGCTGAGCTCATGCTTATCTGGGCCCTGAGTCTTTAAACTTTAGTTGTTGTTTTTAAATTTTAATCAAACCTAGTTCATGAGTTTAGTAAAATATCAATCAATCAGATTTCAATCAAATTAAACGATAGTAATGACAACCTAGAAAGGCCAGTGGCGTATAGTTTGTCTAGAAGTAAATAATGATCAACTGTATATATTTTTCTGATTACAGCTGCTGAGCAGACCTGAAAACTGCTGTGGTCTGAAAGAGAGTGAAGTGCTTTCTTTACTCAATGATGTTGGTATGTCCATGCCTTTTTTAATTTTCACAGCCAAATATCCAGTTTTATAGCATCATATTTGGATTTAATCAATCACACATTTCTAATCTAGGATCTGGCATCCAGTATCTGCATGAAAACAAGATCATACACAGAGACCTTAAACCTGAAAACATTGTGCTTCAGGAATGCAATGGAAAGGTAAACGATGACATTTCAGTGTTCTGTTTGCTCTCTTTCAACTCTCACTTTAACAAGGGTCACATGACTACTTATTGATCTGCAGCTGGTTCATAAAATCATAGACTTGGGCTACGCCAAAGACCTGGATCAGGGCAGTCTGTGTACTTCTTTTGTTGGAACACTTCAGTACCTGGTAAAGCCTTCTTCTCATGTTTACTCACCTCTGCTTGATGTAACCTGTGTGCTAATATAAGGTGCTTTAGTTCATATTTTCATCAAAAATTACATTTTGACTGTAGGTAGTAGCTGATGTTTATGTTAAGTGAGGCTCTTCCTGTCTCTGCAGGCCCCTGAGCTGTTTGAGAACAAGCCTTACAGTTGGACTGTGGACTACTGGAGCTTTGGCACGATGATTTTCGAGTGCAGTTGTGGCTTTCGTCCGTTCCTGCATAACATGCAACCTGTCCAGTGGTAAGACGAGCTCAAGAGTTTTTATAGCAGACAGAAATCAAGGAACGGTTCATTTCAAGCTCTGACCGTTATAGGTAGAGAAAAGTTACAGACATTGCAGCAGAAATGTTAAAAATGTACAAATTAAAAAATATATATATATATATAAAATTCTCAGCTGCTTTAGCATCAAATTTTAGTTCCATATATGTTCCACTGGGCGAGTTGGAGACATTTTGGTGTTTGCTGATGTGAAAGAAGAAAGAAAACGATCTTTTATATATTGCCTCTAAAAAATTATTGAAATATAAAAAAGAATTGGAAAAAAAAGTTTAAAAATACAGTTCAAATGAGATTTTTTTTTTTTGGGATAAATGTGGATTCACTCTATTGTTTAATTGGTTATAGATGTTGATCCATTGATTACTATCTGAGAGCTTCAGGTCAGATCTGTTCAGGCGTTCAAAAGATTCAACCAGGCAAAAGCATTATTGTCCTTCCTTTGCTGTTTGGTGATGGTCAATAAAGATGTCAAAGCTTGCATAGCTGCTAAGATTGATCATCGGGACAGCGGTGATGCAGGGGTTAGGAGCCCTGTAATTAGTGGGTTGCAGGTTTGAACTCATCCTCCATTAGTCTTGTCACTTGTGTCTTTGAGCAAGACACTTCCCCCTCCTTATCTGTTGTCAGAGGGACCAGTGGCACCTGTGTTTGGCAGCCTAGCTTCTGTCTGTGTGCCCCAGGGCAGCTGTGGCTACCATGCAGCTTGTCACTACGTGAGTGAGTGAGTGAGTGAGTGAGTGAGTGAGTGAGTGAGTGACTGTAGTATAGGGATGCACAATATATCAGCATCATTATCGGTATCGGCCAATTTTAGTCATTTTTTAACATATCGGTCCAATAAATCAAACTGGGCCGATATTAAAGCTACTTTCCGGAGTTTTCCCCTTTCAGAAATTGTGTATGATTTATGATTTGTCAGAAATCCATAAAAGCGATTGTCTCATCATGTACAATGATAAAATGTAAGCGATACGTCTTTATTTTGATTTTTTTGCTAAGCACGCCTCCTGCCCCGCAGAGCTCCATGCAATAGGAAACAGAGCGCCAACCGGAACTCACCAATAGCGTTAGACTACCGCTTAGATGCTTAAAATTTAAGGAATACCTTGACTGATGCAGAGTTGATGAACTTTTCACAGACAAGTAAGTCTCTAAAATATAAAAATATGAGAACACAAGATGACATTAGAATAATACTTATAAAACAACGTGTTTTAGCTCTGTCGGCTACAGAAGCTTTTTTATAAACAGGAACGTGAAGTCGCCATCTTACACGGGAACAGTTTTTGTGTGATGTGCTTGTCAGCCACTAGATGGTTCCATCGAATAAGAGAAATACTCCGGAAAGAAGCTTTAACAACCGATATTTTTTCCATCTTGTTTTCCTTTGTTTATCTGTTTCGGAGGGTGACGTGTTTTTATTTAGTTCTGTGACAGTGATTGTAATCCTCTCAGAAGCGTAAATGTGTGTGGTGTCAAGATATTAGGCAGTGGAAGTTTTTAAAGCTAAGCTAAAGACGTACTTGTTTACCTAATCTTTTACACCTTGACATGTAAACAGATTTCTATTGACTTTTAATGTGGGTTTTTTTATATTAATGTAAATGCAAAAAGCTGCTGATTTTAGAAGCATTAATGTCAGTATATCGGTATCGGCAAATATCGGTTATCGGCCATAACAGTAATATTGATATTGGTATCGGCCCAAAGATTTCATATCGGTGCATCACTACTGTATTAGGGCTGCAACAACGAATCGATAAATTCGATGAAAATCGATTACTAAAAGTGTTGGCAACGAATTGCGTCATCGATTCGTTGTGTTGCGCAACTCTTCCAAAAGCCCCCTCCCCTCCCGCCCGCCGTTGCGCGCAGACCGGTGGAGAGCCGGCAGGTGTTTGTAAGAGGAACATGGCAGAAGCAGCGAGACCCCCAAAAACTAAAAACTTCTAAAGTTTGGGAGCATTTTCAGTTAAATCAGGCGAAGACATGCAACGTTTGTAGGTCAGACTTAGCATGGCACGGGGATACTACGGTGATGATGCAGCGTCTTAAACGCAAGCATGTCAGAATCATCAGCGAGGAGGGAGAGAGCTCGGTGTCTGGGTAAGTTAAAAACTTTTCAAAAGTGATTCACCCAAGCCCCGGATTATTACACAGGCTAGACATGCCCTAAGCTCGTTAAAAAAAGTCTATAAAATTGTAAGCGCGACGCTATTAGATAGGCGGGGGGGGGGTACTCGCGCCGCTGCGAACCGATTCCGCCGTCACATTCCCGCAGAAACTGGTTGATCACACTGGGGCCAGACTACTAGCATGTGGCTTTACAACCACAATGTCCTCAGAAGCGAAAACGCTTTTAAAAGGGAGGGAGGAGTCCTACTGTTGCTGCAGGCGTGTTGTGTGAGAGTGCAGTTATATACTGGTTAATATATTTTTGGGTTCAGTTGCTTTCATGTGGCCTAATGTGAGTCTATTTGGGATCATTGGAATGATCAGCAGCATTTCTTGATGTGACTTTATGGCAGTTGCCCAGGGCATCATCACAAGGAGGATGGCATTCATTTACTTTTGTTTTATTTGGTATTTTTCAGTCATTTTTGGAAATACGGTAGTGATTAATTTTGATTAATTCACAGCCTATGTTTAATTACATTTAAAAATTAGTTGTTTGACATCCCCAGTTATAATAAATGTCTACGGATGAGATCAAACAAAACAGATGAGAATTGCCCTTAAAGAGCAAGTCACCCCCAAATACTTTTTTTTGCTGATAGACTAAACAAACGAGTGTCTAATCATGCTGCAGACACGTGTCGTCAATAATTTGGCACTTCAGTGCATCTTAGTTCAAATTTAAATATTCTGCCTAAAACTGGCAGTGTTGTGCCGTTGTCAGGTAAAAACTCTGCACTGTATTTTAATTTAAATCTGCCACCGCTATTGGCTAAGAAGTATGCTATGATGTAAACTGTTACATTATGATGTCACAATGCTGTCGTGAGCCTGAGTGTGTGTGTATTTGTTAGCGGCTCCGCCCTCTCGGTCTGCCAGGCAACAGCATGTGTTGCATTTTTCAAACATGAAGCGGGAGTGGAGTTGGACTCTGGTAGGGGTTGACTTGCTCTTTAAGCTGTTTAACTTGGACCAAGCATTTTAGGTCACAGATAGGTGTAGCTTAGGGTCTCTGTCTATACACCTTATAAGACAATTTAGGTGATGGCATGTTGTTTTTCTGCTATTGAACTGTTTTCTAATAATGTTGTGTTTAATAAAGTGAGGGAAGGAGAAAAATAACGTTTCCCTAGCAGTTTTTAAAAATGTCCCTATGTAATCCGATTAATCGATTAATCGTGTCGAGACCCCATCCGATTAATCGATTATCCAAATAATCGTTTGTTGCAGCCCTATACTGTATAAACCAATTTGGAGTCCTCTGTCTCTTAAAAGACACTTTACAAGTGCGGGTCATGTCTCTGTAACAATTTGTAAATTCTGTTAGCTTTTTTTTATACCATTTTTGCTGCATTAATGTTATTCATCATTGTGTAATGTACAGGTCCTTCTCAAAAAATTAGCATATTGTGATAAAGTTCATTATTCTCTGTAATGTACTGATGTTCATATAAATTAGATTCATTACACACAACTGAAGTAGTTCAAGCCTTTTATTGTTTCTAATATTGATGATTTTGTATATTCAATGGCTGCTGCAGCAGAATGCTGCTGCTTGCACTTTGAAAAAGACTAGAAAATATGAGCACATTTCCCCAATACCATCTTCACTCAACTGGTTGCCTTGTCATGTTCGTGCAGACCATAAAGTCTTGCTGCTCACCTACAAAATAGTTGACTCCTGCCGATGTCACTGACCTGCACCCGTATGTCCCAACATGTGCCCTTAGATCGCAGGGCACTGGCCTCCAAATGGTTCCAAAGGCTAAGCATAGGACTATTGGAGAGCGTGCATTATTATTATTATTATTATTTTGTAATGTGCTGCTATTGTAGAACAGTTTTCCTCAAGATATTAGGCAGGCGAGCGGACGTTTTTAAAGCCAAGCTAAAGACAGACTTGTTTATCTTATTTTTTACACCTTAAATTGTGGACAGATTTTGTTGACTTTTAATGTGGGTTGTTTTATCTTTTCTTATTTCTGTATTGCACATGATTTTAACTGCATCAGTGTGGATATTTTAATGATGTTTTTGTACTCTTGCTGTTCAGCGCTTTGACTAAAAGCACTCTTTTTAAAGTTGTTATTATTATTGATATTCTATAGAGATTTCTACTTTTTTCTGCACTTATTTGAACAATTTCTGTCTGCCGAGTCTAATAAAATCATAGTTACGTCAGAATAAACATGACTTTAGATTCAGTGTGACTTATTCATTAGCATTACTTCGTTTTTTTGTCTTAGAAAAATATGCTCCTCCAAAGCAACTGGCTCATAGGCTTATTTGCTCTTCTGAATAATTAATCCTTTCTTGACTGGCTGCACATCTGTGGTTAATGAACCTAAGATTTCAGATTTTATCCCCGTTATCTTTGTTCTTTTAAACAGGGCCAGCAAAGTGAAGTATAAAGGTCCAAAAGACATCATGGCTGTTGAGGAATCTAATGGTCAAGTCAGGTTCTCAACTAATCTTCCCGACCCAAACAACCTCAGCAGGTCAGCAGGCTGTTAGAACACACAAAACATCTGTTCTATTGCTGTTCTCCGTTCCGTCTGTAGGTGCTCCTGTATTAATGGGTGTTGACGGCTGGATTCCTGAGGGCAAACAGGTTTTCTCAGTTGCTAATTTGCTGTGTTTGTTCTGTAGGACTCTGGTGGAACCGTTGGAGACCCTCCTTCAGCTGATGCTGAAGTGGACTCCAGAACAGAGAGGAGGCTCGATAGACTGTCACACGAAGAAGCCACAGTGCTTTGAGTTACTTGACCATATACTCAGTATGAAGGTAAGTTGTATTACTGTCTCACAGACTTGGTTTTACCGCAGACATGCTGCTGGTCTCTGCTCAGGGTGGATCAGAGCCTTGTTAAAGTCATCTACTATCTGACTTTTTTGGGTCCAATAATGAGAATCGCCAGCTCTAAATCTGAGGCCCTGACGGTGAAAGAGTGGATTGTCATCTCTGGGTCACAGACGGGTGTCAAGTGGAGGGGTTTCACTGGGTCTTGTTCACAAGGGAGGGAGGGAGTGACTGAGACATGCAGTGCGTTTACATGCAGCCAGTAATCCTTTTAAAACCAGAATATTCACAATAACCCGGTTCCGCAGGTCCTTGTAAACACCGCCAAAAACCCGGATATGCTCATAACCGGGTTTTTAAAAACCCGGTTACTACACCTGGGGTAACCCTTTTCTAACCCGAATGTTTGGTCGTGTAAACGCATATCGGGATATCCCCATCAAAGCGTGTGTTCTGTGCATGCTCTGTTCGCAAGGAATCTTGGTCTTTAGAGTAGCGAGACGTCTTGTATGCGCCAGAACACCGGAAGTAAACAACAAGTTGGGCGCAACATGGCGAGTCGCGGCACAGCACCACACTTTGAGTGTCGAGGAAACTAAAGCGCAAAGAAACGCGGTCGCTATCTCTTCCGAACTGGGAAACATGTTGTTGTTTTCACGGATACCGGAACGAGAAGTACCGGAAATGACGCATATTGCATCTGGACGTAGTCCATACGTCCTGACGCTACCCCAACGTCCGCATTTACATCGGGTTATGCAAGTTAGAGGTAACTCTTTCTATTTATGCTTGTAAACGGGTTATTCTGATCAACTCAGAAACCCGAATCCCGACCTTAACCCGATCATAACCCGGATATTGGCTGCATGTAAACGTACTCATGGACAGGTTGATCAGGGCACCACCTGCAGTGATGTGGAAAACCAGAGCCCCTCTCCCCGGGTCCTGAATCCAGACAAGAAAACCGAAATGAAAAGAATTGAGTATTTATATTAGACATGAAAATCCCTCACCTTTTGGCGAAATTCGCCATTTTGAATCCATAATGGGTCACCTACGTGGTTCGTGCAGATCAGATGAGAAAATATTCGGGGTGGGGTGGGGGGGAGTACAGGCAGCGAGGTTGGCTTTTACAGTTTAACCAGTCTCAATGTTATCCACTGGGGGGAAATATTCAAGAGGGTGTTAATCCCCAACACCATCAACAGTAGGAAAAAAAAAAAAATATATATATATATATATATATATATATATATATATATATATATATATATATATATCTGTCAGAACCGGTGATGTGCGACCCGCACAGGCGCATCTCATACAAGCGGGGAAGAGCCGTCTGGAGGTCTACACAGCAGCCTTCCAGACGGCTCTTCCCCGCTTGACGGGTCGGATCGAACTTATGTCGATTAATAATTTGAGCATGAAGAGTTGGGCTAGGACAGCAAAGAGAGGGAGAGAGGCGACGAGGACGCATCTCAAATGAAACACAGTGGAAGCGTTATCATTCATCCGTGGTGGTAATGAAATGCTAAAATGTTGATTATGTCGTCTCTGGTGAGCTGGTTTTGGGCTGAGAGTTCGTTGGGTCCATCTTTGGGTCTTGTTGGGGCTCTGTTGCCGGCGGGGGTGGGGGGACATGGTGGAGATTATAATATTGTTTTGCTGTGTCAGCCTGTAAAAGTTCTGTCTGAACTTTATTCTGTTTCATGAACCAGGGCGACTAGAATTTATGTTAAATTCTACTTCAAGAAAACTGGGAGGAAACTTTAGTCTACCTTTTGAGTTAGCGGTTTTCTTCTTGTTAGCTAGTTTCTTCTCCTCAGAGACACAGTGGACATAAGGAGATAATAAAAGTCCAAATGTCCTCAGAGGACGGGTAGTGGAAGGGTTAGTTAGCTGGTTAGTGAAGGGGAGGTGTCTATCATTAAAACCTAATCCAGCCCACTGCCTCCTGATGCGGTTATTTTTATTATTAGCAGCAAATACAAAACAACACTTCCCCCTCCTTTTTCACCCTGCAGATCAATAAGTAAACATAGGATCCTTCAGCGTTTTCATGTCAGACTACTATACAACAAATCTGTCAGTGCGCCGCAGGGCAGCTGTGGCTACATAGTAGCTCATCCCCACCAGGGTGTGAATGGGTGAATGACTGATTGTGTTGTAAACTGCCTTGGGGGGGGGTTCAAGGACTCTAGAAGGCGCTATATCAAATTCAGGCCATTTACCATTTGAATAATGGTTCAGTAGACGATCTTTACTGTTTTTAGGTTGTCCACATCCTGAACATGACCACAGCTCAGGTCCATTCCTTCAAGCTGACTCCAGACGAGAATTTCCACAGTCTTCAGAAGAGAATCGAGGCTGAAACAAAGATAGAAGTAGTGAACCAGGAACTGCTGCAGGAGACGGGCGTGTCCCTGGACCCGAGGAAGCCTGCTGCACAGTGTGTCCTGGATGGAGTGGTAGGTTGTTACCGATTACACCTGCTCTTCTGTGGAACATGCAAGTTGTTTGGATTTTGTAAACTCGTTTCTGTGCTGCGTCCTCGTAGGGGTGAGCCCTCCTATGAAACAGAAAACCGTTCTTGTTTTGTTCTTTATCTGCTCCTGAAGGAAACTGAGACTTATTATATTACGTTGTTTTATCTGCTGAGTAGCAAACTGCTGTTCTTCTGACTTCAGAGTCTCGGTTTGTCCTGTTGGAGCTCTGAGGTGGTAACTTACCTGTGCAGCTTCCCAGACAGACCCATTCAGATGGAAGTGTAGGAGGAAATGGAGTGGAATTAGCTCACATCAGGTGGTGTTTAAATTAAGAAAGCTGCTTGGATAAGAAGTCAGAGGTCTTCAAACCAGGAATTAGTCTAAGGCCTAGTCCACACGTAGCCGTTTTTTAAACGAATATCCGCCCCTCCAAAAACTTGCATCCACACCACCTCGTTTTAAAAACAAAACTCTGTCCACATGTACCCGGATAAATACGTTGTTAAGGACATGCCAGACCTGTAGGCGGCAGTACTTCCCCCGTTCTTAACCTCGTCCTTCGTCTGTGGTCTTCCGCAAGGAGCAGTAATTCCGCTTGCAAAAACAAACAAGCAAAAAGCGCTTGGACAATTGATGGATCGGGTAGTGACAGAGCGCAGCTCTGAGGGCTTCCATGATGTCGGCTAGTGTAAACACAGGTCGCACACGTGATGTCAGCATTTTTTTGTCGCGGAAAGTGACGTTGCGGACCTTAAAACTCCGGTTTTGTCTGTCCACACGCAGACACCCAAAACGGAGAAAACGCAGATCTTCACTTTGGCCGGAGTTTTTAAAAAGATCCGTTTTCGTGTGAAAAAACTCCGTTTTCGTGTGGATGACAGGCCAAAATGTAGAAAAATATCTACGTTTTGGCAGATCCCCGGCTACGTGTGGACAGGGCCTTATTGTCTTTATCTGAAAATACTGGGGTCTTAATTTAGTGTTTTATAACATCTTTATTAAATGGAGGTATCTTTAAACTTCTGTGTGGTTTAAATGATTTCACTGTTACTGGATGTGCATCAGGGTAACTAACCTGGTAGGCTTGCTAGATCTCCAGGAGAGCTTGCTTTAGTCTTACTAAATGGAGTGTTTTGTTGTCTCGTGTGTAGAGAGGGTGGGACAGCTACATCGTGTACTTGTTTGACAAAAGCATCACCAACTACTGCGGCCCCCTAAACGCTCGACAGCTGCCTGAAAAGGTCAACCGTATTGGTGAGTTCAGTATGATTTTTCCTGCTGTTGACTTTTGTAATAAAAGGTCGTTTCAGAAGCGCTTTTGGAAAATTGGCAGCCATTAGGTAACTTCCATGTTTGAACTTTGCAGTACAAGATGCCAAATCAGCCATTCCTTTGATGGCGTTGAAGAAAGTGTGGGGTGAAGCCGTGAGCTACATCTGTGGTCTGAAAGACGACTACAGCAGACTCTTCCAGGGCCAGAGGGCTGCCATGTGAGTCACAACAGATGTATCTGTCATTTCTGATGAACTGAAGAGTCTTTTAGGGATCTGTTATTAAATACCTCAACAACCTCTTGAGTTTTAGTGAAAACTGCAAAGGGTAAACGTCTGATATACTTGTTTTTTCGTGCACCTAGACCAGACTGACCTCTTAACATTTAAGGTGTTTTGTCAGTAGTTACACACACTTTCTGAAGGTTTCTCCACTTGAATGCGTGTGCTCGCCCGTGTGAATATCAGCCCCTCTTATACAAGGATATAGTGGAAACACAGGAAGTGGTGCTCGGCAAGCTAGATGAACACTTCACCTTTGACCTCCTCTCTCCCTGTTCCTCCCCAGGCTGAGTCTCCTACGCTACAACACCAACCTGACCAGGTGTAAAAACAGCATGTTCGGCTTCTCGCAGCAGCTCCGAGCCAAGCTGGACTTCTTCAAGAGCAGCATCCAGTACGACCTGGAGAAGTACAGAGACCAGATGCACTATGGGATATGTGAGTGTTTTCTGCAGTGCATGTGTTTGATTCTGTAAGATGATAAATCCTCTGTGGCACTGATTGGGATTGGGGGGGTGTTTGTTTAAAGCCTCTGAAAAGATGTTGAAAGCCTGGCAGGAGAATGAAGAACGAGCAGCTGCTTTTGCACAGGTAACCGGAGTTAAACACGCCTCCGCCCGCTCGTACTGTGGCGGTTGGCACCAACAGCTTAACTGTGGCGTCTTTTATGTGTTTGTCCTGCAGGTGGCAGAAGTGAGCCACTTGGACGATGAGATCATGGCACTGCATTCTGAGATTGTTGAACTCCAGAGGAGCCCGTACGCCCGACGCCAAGGAGAAAAGATGGAGCAGCTGTAAGTGTTTCATTTACTACACTCGAAGGCATACTGGGACCGCAGTAGCTCAGGAGGTAGAGCGGGTTGTCCAGTAATCAGAAGGCTGCAGATTTGATTCCAGCTCCGACCAGAGAATGCTGCCGTTGTGTCCATGGGCAAGACACTTAACCCGCCTTTCCTGCTGGTGGGGGTCGGAGGGACAGGTGGCGCCAGCGCTCGGCAGCCTTGCCTCTGTCAGTGCGCCCCTGAGGAGCTGTAGCTACATCGTAGCTCATCCCCACCAGTGCGTGAATGTGTGTGTGAATGGGTGAATGACTGGTTGTGTTTCTGTGTGAAGCGCCATGAGGGGTTGTAGAACCCTAAGAAGGTGCTATACAAATACAGACCATTTACCATTTATATGTTTAGCTTGTGTCTACCAGCTTCTGTGTGAAGGTGTGCTAACACTGAAATATGTTAAATGCATTTTATTGCAGAGAAGTCAAAGCTATTGAGCTCTACAGGCAGATAAAGATAAAATGCAAAGGTGAGAAACACTTTCTGTTTTTGGTTAAAGGAGAAAACTTAGTATGTGAAACGATGATACTTTGGGTTGCCATAACAGAATTTTACTTTTCCTAACTGATATCAGGGTATCTGCAGGTCCTTAAAAAGTCTTAAAAAGTCTTAAATTTACTTTTCCAAATTTAAGGCCTTAAAAATCCTTAAAAATGACAAATAATCCTTGAATAGTTTCCAAAGGTCTTAAATTACCAAAGACCCAATAAACAAGATTCTCTTATTTCAATAAAATGTTCGTGAATTTCTAGTTAGTTCAGCATTTTTTGTGTACGATGTTGGCGTAAGCGGAACCGTACACATTCGGTTGGTTTGTGAAAGGGGGCTATTTTTAGATGAGCTTGCTAGTGAGAGTTTGCGCCATGGGGAAGTGCAACTTTAATGGTAACTGGATGGCTAATCCAACGTTCACAATGTGGTTAGCACCAGTTCCAGGCAATAGCTGGAAATTATAGCTTAAATTTAATTTAAAAAAGAAAGCTTAAATTTGGTCAAAGTGGCCTTAAAAAAGGTCTTAAAAAGTCTTAAATTTGACTCCCTTAAACCTGCAGATACCCTGGATATGAGTAAAATATTTGGTCTGATTCTTTTCTGTCAGCTCCCGACTCAGACAGGACCAGTGACAGCTCAGAGATGGTGAAGGCCATCATCCAGACCGTCCAGAACCAAGACAAGGTCCTCAAAGACCTGTACACCCACCTCAGGTAACACCTGCTCGGTCTGGGTGGATTTGGATCATTAGAACTCTTAACATTAATATGTGAACACATCTTGAGCTTTCCTGTGACATTAATGAGCTGCTCTCAGAGGAAAACACATCATATGTAGTTGTGCTGTCTCACTTTTGCAGTAAGATCCTGATCAGTAAACAGAAGATCATCGACTTGTTTCCTAAAATTGAGAAAACCTTAGAGAGCATCAAGGATGCTGACAACACGGTGATGCAGATGCAGATCAAGAGACAGAAGGAGTTTTGGCATTTACTCAAGATCGCGTGTGTAAGTAGAGCTGCTCATGTGTGGTTAGTTAGAATAAATGTTTTATTGTTGCAGATTAAATGGATGAAGAACCGTTTCTACAGCAGGAGGACTGAAGGTTGCTGACTTATGGAAACTGACTCAAGCTAATTAAAGATGACAGGACTGGTGGTGTTGGCTGATAGATGTTAGGATCAAGATGTGGATATTATCAGTGTTAAAGAAGAGAAGTGCTATCCATAATCAGAAACGTGTGCAGGGGCTCGCTTCATTCGTTTTCCCTTTTATGTCCAAACTTCCTGTTAAATAACACCTTAGACCAGCAGAGGGCGGTGTTTATCCACTTTTGACTGCCATAGACCAACAGGTGTTATTTTTAACCCGTCGTGGTGTGAAATTGATATAAAAGAAGTAATTTCCAGAAAGACTAAATTATTTAAGTACCTAAACACAACAAAGTGATGCTGCCGTCTGAATTCACTCAGACATTTTACTTACCCCTAGATAAATGGGTGAGGACAAGGGGGCATACCAGATGTGCGGGTTAGCTTTCTACTTGGAATAAAAGAAGCCCTTTGATCAGCTTTAAACCAACGGCTCACTGGGCTGTGATTGTTGGTAACTAATACACAGAACTGAGAAAATGGAGATCTTTAAAGTTGAAATCCCGTTCAGTTGGTAAACGTGTGATAAGTTTTAAATCTGAATAAATGCAAACTAATTTCAATGAGCCATTGTCCTACAGACACCCTCTCTAGGACACTTCAAAAAGTCCCTGTGAAGGCTGTGTGTCTTCAGTGAGCTACTGGTTTTTGCTGTTTTTGTTAAATGTTCTGCATAAATATGACCTTTGAACTTCTTCTTAGCTAAACTTGTTAATGAGCCAACTGTCTGATCTTTCAATTCAGTTCAAGTTTATTTATATAGCGCCAAATCACAACAAGAGTGGTCTCGAGGCACTTCACATGGTAAAGATTCCAATGCAGGTCAGTTCATTAAGCCAATCAGAAAAAAGGTTCCTAATAAGGAACCCAGCAAATTGCATCAAGTCACTGACTAGTGTCAGTGACACTTTACAGCAATCCTCATACTAAGCAAGCATGCAGTGACAGTGGAGAGGAAAACTCCCTTTTAACAGGAAGAAACCTCCAGAGGATCATGGCTCAGTATAAGCAGCCATCCACCACGACTCACTGGGGATCGAGAAGACAGAGCAGACACACACACACACACACACACACACACACACACACCACATATACCAAATAGTATTTCTATGGTTACATTGTGATTTCTTAGTAAATATTCTATTTGGTAAGAGATGAGCTTTATTGTATTTATCCTAGTGAATCTATAACTAAAAGGGTAAACTAGTAGTAGCACATCCAATGTCAAGGAAAGTAAAATGTTATCAGGAGAGGGAGAATGTTTTAAGTAGTTAGCAACAGTGTTCACCCCCTCCATGAGGCCACCACAGCTCAGCAGAACATCGTTGTAGCTTCTTCTGGGGAGAAACACACTTAGAGAAAAAATAAACAGCTGAAATTGCAGGAAATAATACAGTTAAAGAGCAAATTGTAGAAGAAAGTAGTAGAGTGTGAAAAGTGGTCAGTGTATCCTCCAGCAGTCTAAGCCTTTAGCAGCATAACTACAGAGATAACTCTGGATAATCTATCCTATTTAGATAGAGGCATGTTGGAGGCAGGGCAAGGGAGAGCCGTCTTTACCAACTGTACACTCCACCTCCCTCTACTCCCCCACTTATCCAGCTCTAGGCTAACAGATTTTAACCATAGGCCCTATCAAATAAAAATGTTTTAAGCCTAGTCTTAAAAGTAGACAAAGTGTCTGCCTCACGGACTAAAGCTAGGAGTTGGTTCCACAAGAGAGGAGCCTGATAACTAAAAGATCTGCCTCACATTCTATTTTTAGATATTCTGGGAACCACCAGTAAACCTGCAGTCTGAGAACGAAGTGCTCGGTTAGGAACATATGGAACAATCAGATCACTGATGTATGATGGAGCTTGATAATTAAGAGCTTTATATGTGAGAAGAAGGATCTTAAAATCTATTCTGAATTTAACAGGTAGCCAATGTAGGGAAGCTAAGACAGGAGAGATATGATCTCTCTCTTTAATTCTCATCAGAACTCTAGCTGCAGCATTTTGAACAAGTGGAAGACTTTTAACTACATTCTGTGGACTTCCTGAGGGTAATGAATTACAGTAATCCTGTCTTGATGTAATAAATGCATGAACTAGTTTTTCAGCATCACTCCTGCAAAGGATGCTTCTAATCTTAGCAATATTCCGAAGGTGGAAAAAGGAAATCCTACAAACCTGTTTAACGTGGGATTTGAATGACATGTCCTGGTCAAAGATAACACCAAGGTTCCTTTCTTTGTTCTCGGAGACTAATTTAATGCCATTCTTGTCAGGTGATTGACTAAGCAATTTCCTTTTCTGAATTTCAGGTCCAAAGATGAGAACTTCCATCTTGTCTTGATTTAAAAGCAAAATGTTTTGAGTCATCCAACTTTTTTATGTCTTCAAGACAAGCCTGTAATCTACCCAACCGATTAGGCTCATCAGGGTTAATGGATAGATATAACTGAGTATTGTCAGCATAACAGTGGAAGTTTATCCCATGCTGTCTAATGATTTTACTAATTGGGAGCATGTATATAGTAAAAAGAATTGGTACAAGCACTGAACCCTGTGGTACGCCGCAAATAATCCTGGAGTATGAAGACGATTTGTCATGTACATTTACAAAATGATATCTATCAGACAGGTAGGATTTAAACCAGTCTAGCGCTGTTCCTTTGATCCCTACAACATGTTCAAGCCTTTCTAAAAGAACATTGTGATCAACTGTGTTAAAAGCTCAGGCTTCTTTACCCAGGCTTCTTGCTCAGGCTTCAGTAGCCGCTCAGCCCTTTGAGTGAGCGTTTGCCCATCATTCTCTATTTTCTCAGCTGACCGTTAGCTGCTCTGTGTAGCACCAATGAGATATAAATCACGGGGTTTTATGTATGCTGCCCCCTCTATGGAATGCACTCCCAGGCAGGCCCCCTCCCTCTCTCATTTTAAATAAGTTTTAAAGACTTATTTTTATGGTCTTATTTTGTTGTGTTGTGTTGCTGTTCTTGCTGTTCGACCCACTGCTTTTATCCTTGTACTTGTACAGCACTTTGGTCAGCTGACATGCTGCGTTTTTAAATGTGCTGTATAAATATATGGTATGGTGTTCATGATGAAATCTCCTTCTAAACACAGTCAGAGATCGACTTTGGTGCATAATTGCTGCAGAAAACATGTTTGTTATTGTCTCGTTTCTTCTTCAGGCCCAGAACTCTTCACGTAACTCCATAGCAGCCAGTCCTGAGTCTGCCAACCTGCTGCAGGTTTCCCACTGGTCACATTCAGCTCAGCCAGTCAGCTCCCCACACCCCCTCACCTCCTTACCTGGGCCCAACGACAGGTAACACCTTCGTTCATTCATTCATTTACAGAGCAACTTCTGTTAGGTCCACATTTGTCACCGTTTCCATGGAAACTTTATGGGTCTTTAAAGTGCTATACATTTATACACAACACACTGTTATTTTTTAATTCACTGATGTTTTTTCTGCTAGTGCTTGTGAAACATAAAAAGTTTGTTTCATCAAATCAACTTTTAGCAAAAGCAACAGACTTTATGTAAAATATTGGGGGCAGCAGTAGCTCAGGTGGTAGAGCGGGTTGCCTCATGATCGGAGGGTCATGGGTTTGATTCCAGCTCCCGCCAGGGGTATCCTGCTGTTGTGTCCTTGGGCAAGACACTTCACCCAACTTGCCTGTGTTAGTGGTGGTCAGAGGGGCCGACGGCGCCAAATGGCAGCCTCGCCTCTCTCAGACCTCCCCAGGGCGGCTGTGGCTACAAGTAGCTTACCATCACTAGCAGTGTGTGAATGTGAGAGTGTGTGAAAGCGTCTTTGGGTGTCTAGAAAAGCGCTATATAAGTTCAATGCATTATTATTATTAAAATCTACCTCAGTTATTAAACCTGCTCACCCTCAACCGACTGTTAAATAAAAACAACACGTGTCAGCTGTGACTGAACTGACGCTAGTCTTGTATATTTAACAGTGACGCCGCTCCTCGGCTGCTGCAGGAGAACCAGCGGTACCTCAGTCAGCTGACCAGTCTCATGCAGGAAGCCAGCGACGAACAGGCGAAAAGCATTGTGGTGAGTTCAGCTTTATTCTATACATTTTTCACTTGTTTGGGGTCATTATAATCTTTTACAAACATTACCTTACCATTACTGTTATTAATACTGTTCCCATTTGAAAAAGCAAGAAAATTATTTGCTTTATTAACATTTTGTTAATAGTCCAAAATAGGGTTGTCACGGTAACCGGTATAGCGGTAAACCCCGGTAAAAAAGTTGACAATAAAAATAACTGTCCAGTTTTAAAAAAAACTAAATTATCTCGGTGGGTTTACCGTGGCCGCAGTTTCGGCGCGATGACCCTTACCAGCCACCGTCGCTTCAGCTGAAGTTCCCGCGGCGCGCACTTTTTAGTTTGCAACGGCACCAAAACTTTGAAGCTGAAATAATGGCCGAAGGAGGAGACGGCAGCGCCCAGGACATCCATCAGCCCTCAAAGAAGACTAAATCGGAAGTATGGGCATATTTTGGATTTCTGAAAAATGCTGAGGGACAGTTAATAGAAGACGGCTATCCCGTTTGCAGAACGTGCAGGAAACAAGTGTCTGCAAAAGGCAGCAACACTTCGAATCTAATGGCACATCTGTGTGACCATCACCCACGTCTCTACAGCCAGTGCAAGGTAAGTTAACATTAGCATTTTAGCTTAAATGCATGACGTGAGGACTTTTGGCTGAGGGAGAATGCAACGAGTCACTATATACTGCAGCCGCAGCGTCCTCTGCCAGCATTTAAACCGTGTCACGGACACCCTGTTGCTGGATGAAGCATCTTATTTGTTGATGATGAAGAGAAATATACAATTAGTTCCTTGTCATTGATTTGTTTACTTATTCAATGCCATTTATACTTGAACATTTGGATTTGATTACATAGTGTAGTAGTTATTTTAGTAATTTGTTTAAAGTGGCTATTTATTTTAAATACATATTTTTTTAAGGTTGACTTGTACAGTGCTCAAGTCAAGTGTGGACTGGAGTTTTAGATTTTCATTTTGATAATGAAGAAAACAAGTATATGAGAAAACAAGTGGTGTTTCTTTGATTTGTTTACATATTGTTTATGTTTTGAATGTTTGGATTTGTATCATTTAAACCTGCACTGACTACTGTAACATGTTCCAGAAAAATAAGCTATTTGTTCCTTTACTTGTGAAAAGTTGCACTTTTGCTAAGGCTTTGTGTTATTTTAGGTTTAATAAACACTGTTAAACTATTTCAGTTTGTGTAGAACAGGACTATCAATGCTTTCTGAACATATGCAACACCGTTTAAAAAATACCGCGATAATACCGAAAACCGTGATAATTTTGGTCACAATAACCGTGAGGTTAAATTTTCATACCGTGACAACCCTAGTCCAAAACTGATAAAGTCACTCTTTGAATGCTAAAGATAAAAAAACTCTGTTTATGTGAATTCTGCTTTAATTGTCATAACGAATTAACAAATAAACTAACAAACACAACCTCATTAATTTTTACAGTGAAAAGTTTAAATGTAACAGAACAGATGCTTAAAAGCTGCTCAGTTTAGAGCAGGGGTGCCAAACATGCGGCCCGCGAGATGGTTGTGTAAACTTTATTTTCATACTTTACGGTGTAGAGTGAAAATAAACGTATCTTTGTGAGCAAGTTTCCTCTGTAATGAGTATAAATAAAACAAAGCTGCGCTCAAGGCTCACACAAGAACTTGAATCACATCCTGAAGTTGGCCGCCACTCAGGGTGTGACTTCTGATGTTGATGTGCTGGTGAAAGCTAAAACATGTAAAGTAAAATGAGTCAAATATACTTCAAGTGCTGCATGAAACTGATCTAGCCATGTGATCTGTAAGCTCTTTAAATCACTAAGGAATGTTTTTTTTATTTTTTTCAAATTTTCAAGTACACTTCAGGTGTTGTACTTGTACTACACTGTCCTCAGGCTCCAGCCTTGTTTTATATTGATTGCATTAAAACAAAGAAAACAATCTGAAGTTTTTTTATTTATTTACCGGTCCGGCCCACTTGGGACTAGATTTCTCGCAATGTGGCCCCTGAGCTAAAATGAGTTTGACACCCCTGACCTTGAGGATTCTGTGAGCTCCTCACTTCAGAAAAAAAAACAAAAAACAAGATGTTTAAGGTTGTGTTTAAAAGTATTTAGTGAAACAAAAACCTGATTTGTTTTACTTAAACACTTTTCACAAGTGTTTATGTTCTTTATCTGTAGTAAAAATTAAATCAGGTCACAGATTTAAAAAAAAACAGCAGACAGTTAAAATAGCACAAAAAGCATAAAGCATTTCAGTTCTGGAATAAATGATGTAAAACAGACAAATTCATAAAATAAAAGTCTTGTGTTCATAAAAAATACAACCAAGTGAAGTTATTCTAGTTGGTAATTGCTGTTTTTCCTCCCAAAAGGACCAAGACTGGAGCTGGACGAAATACGAAACCTTAACAAAACTAAAAAAGCAGAATGCCTGAGCCCTCGCTCCATCCTCTTCCTCATCCTTTCCTCCGAGTAACACTAAGGACTGTAAGTCATCAGAACAGAACCATGGCTTTGGACAGCTTTGGACTCTGGATTTCCTGTAGAAATCCAATCTCCTGAGTGTCTTTCGGGGGTTAAAAAGGGACATGCTCTGTGGTGCCGGTCCACATGGTGGAAATTTTGATAAATTATTTAACTTTTTTATACCAGAAAAGAACAAATATATGATCTTCAAAATTCTGCACAGAATTCATCATCATCCTCCTCACTCAGACATTTGTGCCGACTGTCATCAAACAAACTGTAGCGCCAGATATGAGAGTGTGTGTGTGTGTGTGGGGGGGGGGGGGGGGGTCAAATCAAACAAATGCACTTTGACACTCCCGCAAATAGTGTCTCTGTAAGTAGACAGACCAAGCTGCCAGAACCACTCATCGCCGTCATCTTGGGTTTGTGTATTTAATCGATGACTGGGGGATTAAATTATGTGTATGCTTTTAAAATAGTGTTATATATCTTGAGCAGAGGTCCTCTGTCATGCCTGTGCCTCAAACATGGCTGGCCATTTTGTTTATACGCTGTCTATACTGTACACAATTATCACGAAGTTGGTTTGAGTTTCCTTCAGTCGTGTGTCAGAGCTGCGTTCATGTCTTCAAGTCAAATCGCAAGTTAATAAGTTTGTTTATGTGTTTAGAAATGCATCAAAGATACAAATAATTAAATTCAGGTTCAAACCAAAACAGAATTTCAAAAACTACAACTTTTACGAAATGAATTAGTCATGTTTTATAAAAAATGTTTAGATTAAAGTTTTTTCTTCAGTCTTCTCCACTGGTTTGTTTTCACTCTGGATGGAAATTAAACTAATACCATGAATCTGTTTTTAAAGGTATTAATAACAAGTGCTATTTATTCCTGTGCATTTTTTATCGTCACTGACAGCAGATACACTGCAAAAAAGAAATGATTCTATAATCTTGTGCTCCCAAGTAATAAAAGCATCCCTCTAATGTCTTGAGTTTTTAAAATAACTGAAAGTGACGAATACTGAAATTTGTCCTTTGAGGAACGATAATTCCTTCTGTAGGTTGTATTAGAACCAGAAAGCTAAAACAACACAGGAAGTGGTCGCATTAGCGCCAGTGAAAACAGAACATTTGGTGGTTTTGTTTCACAACAGTAGTATTAGACCCATTTGTGAACTTAATGGTACACCTCTCATTCCAAGTGTGAATATGCATCCCATAATAGTTCTAATCTGGAAGTCAGTGGTTTCCACGGTGATGTGGCTGCACAGAAACGGATGGTTTTGCTGTTACTTTAGAAGACAGGGTTGCGCTCAGATGTATTTATGAAGTAAACGTGCATAATAATAATAATCTTGTATTTAAGTACGTTGATTTTTCTTGAGTTGAATTTTTTTTCTATCTGCTGGTCTGAATCTGTCACTGAATGTTGAGTTTTTAGAGATTTCACTGTATGAATGTTAACCTGATAATAAAATGAATGATTTTGGCATGATACTCGTCAACGCTTGTGCTTTTAGTTCACCTTCTCCTCCAAGTCAGGTTTGCAAAAACAACAGTTGTCACAACGAAACCTGTTTCTCTTCATGAGGATTTAAATTAGTGGTTTATTTGGATGAAAGTTAAGCTTTTGTACATTATCATTCGTTCAAAAAATAAACAACTTTACGGAACTCGCCAGGCTGATATATAAAGTGTTTTGGGTTAATTAAGAGAAAACAAAAAGGGCACCGAGGACTAGTCAGACGTCTCAACCAGAAAAAACAAGGACAGATTTTCTGAAACTTATGTTTAAGGAAGAAACACGTCTACAAATACCCGTTGCATAGAAGCCTTACTCTGGTTTTTCCCTCATTAGCTTTCATAAGCATGGACAGACTGGGGGCGTCGGAGTGTGTGCAGCTGAACTGTTCTGGCCACCGGCCTTGAACAGACCAGCCATTCAGGAAAACCCCGATGGCCAGCCTGCCCCTGGTTCTGATCACAAGTAAAACAACAACGCTCCAAATTATGACGTGTTAACTGATGGCAACTGTGTGTGTGTGTGTGTGTGTGTGTGTGTGTGTGTGTGTGTGTGTGTGTGTGTGTGTGTGTGTGTGTGTGTGTGTGTGTGTGTGTGTGTGTGTGTGTGTGTGTGTGTGTGTTAGTCTGCAGACAGCTGAAAGATCCAAACAAGTTTTTCCACTATTAATAAATTAAGAATGATTTGGATTGTTTTTTTGCTACCTTTGAGCTGTTGGGTTAGATGGAGTTAATCCCACATCATAACGGTCTCGAGGAACCAAATGCAGACCGGAAAAGGAAATCTGAGCAGAACCAAGCTCTAAATGGCAAAAGATAAATATCTGAACACATTGGCATTAAAACAAAATCATGATTGAAAAATTATCTGAGAGGTAGCCAAGAGGATGCAACAAGGATCCCGGCAACAAAGGGAGCAACCGAAGGACTACTGAACTCCTGGGAGGGTGAGCTCCTTACCTTGTCCTCTATCAATGTTACTGTTAACCTGCATAAGCATGACTGTTAGCAGCTTCAGTCACTGGTTATTAAAGTCAGCTGTAAACTTATCAAGCTACTTGCATCAAGTAGATGTTTGTCCTCCAAATAAATGCATGCTCAACCCAAATAGGTTTGCTAACTCTTTGGAAAGTTGGAATTGTCTGATTGGTTGGAATCCTAAAGTTTTACAATCGCATACAGAAAGTGTGTGTGTGCGTGTGTGTGTGTGTGTGTGTGTGTGCGTGCTCGCTCGCTCGCTCGCTGTAGAAACCAGACAGTAGTCCTCCGGATGACACTCCCAGTGTTCCTGCTGGAGACTGACATTTAACTTTATGTTTACACTGAAGCCATCTCTTCCTAATAAATCATTCATCAATCTTTTTCAGACATTTCCATTTTAATCCATCTTAAGACCGACTCTCAGTCAAAATGAGCCTGATATGATTTTTCTTTTTTCCCGGAGCCAGGCTGAGTTGCTGTGTAAGGTTTTCACTTCTATGTTGTGGGCTATTTAAATCAATCTTGTCTTTAGGCAGGCGTCCGCCTGGCGCCATGGACCCAGACACAGCTCTACCGTTCCAAACGGCTCTTCTATCAAGCCCAACAAAATCCTCTTGGCATCATTAATTACCTCCTTCCAAATGCAGCCACTAACCTGAGATTGAATTAGTCTGACATTTTAATCTCATTAATTCTATACACTATTACAATAAAACACCACATTTAGCTGAAGGTTATATGTTTCGAGACAGTGGGTTATTCATCAGATTAATCATTGTTTCAGATCACAGAAGTAACGACATGTCAGCCTTGTATTATATGAGCAAAAAGAAAAAGTCTAGGCTTTACGTTAACTAGTTCAAAACAATTTGATATAATTTTAAGAGTTTTAAGTGTTTCAAAAAAATCCACCATTGTGTTGATCGCATTTATGGATGTTCTCCCATCCCGCCTAAAAGAACAAATCAGTCAGGGATTACAATAAATCTACATTTCATATTAAGGTGAAGGGATCATCCTTTCATGCTTTTATATGGGCCCTGTCCAGGTCCTTGTTACTCTGTCCTTTGCATGATGAGGTGAATGCAATTCCAAGTCCAGACACTATTGGCGCTAATATGCTAAATAGGAATTTTCCAGCGTGAAATCTTGTGTAAGGATTGTGAACTCGGCCCCTCGATAAATAACGTGTCCCTTTGATGGCCCAATTTGGGAAAATCCTAGCTCTGCTACTGACCTACAATGTGACTATTGACTGACTAAATGGTTCTTCTCAGTATAGCCATGCTCTGTCTACTGGAGAAATGTGGAATTGTCCCAGAGGACATTTATCTACTCAATCAATCAATCAATCAATCAAATTTTATTTGTAGAGCACCTTCTACAACGTTCTCGGAAGCCCAAGGTGCTGAACAACATCATTGTAAGAAAAACATTCCCAGTACATGGGCATAAAAGCAGGATAAAAACATAAAATCATAAAATATAAAACAATATTACAGATAAAAAGAGATAATGGAATAAGACTAATCGATCAAAAACAAATGGTGGACAAAATAAAATCAAGCATCTGGGTTAAAAAGAGGAATAATTAAAACCATAATGTCAGGGCAATTCAAAGAACCCTAGCGCCAAAACGCAATCAAATAAAAATGTCTTTAAACGAGACTTAAAGACTTGAAGGGATGGTGCCAGCCTAATGCGCAGTGGCAATTTGTTCCACAGAGTTGGAGCCAAAACAGAAAAAGCACGACAACCCCCGATCGATATTTCGACCGGGGGACCACCAAAAGTTCCTGCTCGGCTGAGCGAAGAGACCGAGATGGAGCATACCTGTGCAAAATCGCATTAATGTACGAGGGGGCACTGCCCTGGAGGGCCTTATAAACAAGAGTTAAGATTTTGAACTTAGCTCGATATTTCACCAGGAGCCAGTGCAGAGTATCCAGCACTGGGGTAATGTACTGCCTCTCTGGAGACTGCCAGGTAGTGGAATAAATTTTTGGGTCCTTGTTGCAGAGTGGCAAATCGCCCTCTGTGTGCCTTACATGAACCTCAGGAACGTGGAATTTGGACAAATTTCCCACAGAGGTTCACATGTTTGTTTACCTGTCACTCGTGGTTCCATATTGTAAAAGTATTCCCGTGTAGTCTCCTGCTCTGGCTCTGGATCCCTTTTCTTTGGTCTAAATGCAGTTGTCTCCTTTATGGACACTTCTTTCAGGTTCAGTCATCCTCTCAGAGCTAAATTTAAAAAAAATACAATGAACGTGTAGAAAAGTTGTGGTTAAATAATTGTACTATTGAGTTTTTGGAAGAGGATCCAGATTTTGTGGGTTGAAGAAGAGAGCTGACAATGATGAAGAGGAATGTTATGAATAAAACATAACATTTACTGGGGAAGCTTTCCCTGCATGGAGGAGATTTCTTGTTCTGTTCCTGCAGGGAGCCATTTGAGCAGTGCAGAGCGAGGGCAGAAACAGAAACACGCTCTACTTTCCAGGCTTTAAACATTGAAAATGAAATGTCTGCTCTAAAATGTACATTTTTATTATTGATAACAAGATCCACAGTCAGCCAGGGGGTGATTGATACTAACCTAATTCTCTTTTACACAGCTCTTTCTCTGGAACATTCCTTCAGTTCCCCAGTATTCAAAAACAAGGCAATACTTGGTTTCTGGTACATTTTCAGCACTGAACAAAGGTTTGGAGTCCCAGAAAGAGAATCAAAAAGAAGGTTCTGCTGCTGGATTCAGAGCAGATAATCAATCAATCAAAGCTTTATTTATAAAGCGCCTTCCGCAACCCTGTCAGGAAGCCCAAAGCGCTGAACATGGTTCAGTTGAAGGTAAATATAGTGAATAAATCAAAAATAAAAGCAATTCAAATTACAAAATAGGTGAAACATTCTGGTACAGGACAAATGTGTGAAACACATTTGGATTGAGTGAACCAATGAAAACTGTGAAATAAATTCAACATAAAAGAGGGCCAAAATCAAACATGTTCTGGAAACGCCAAGCGGAGGAGGTGTGTTTTTAGGCGACTCTTAAAGACTGGCAGAGAGGGGGACAGCCTAACTGAGGGTGGCAACTGGTTCCAGAGTGACGGTGCTAGGACTGAGAAAGCCCGGTCCCTGCGAGTACGACACCTAGTACGAGGGACAGTGAGCAGGCCTTGGTCAGAGGAGCGCAGAGCACGTGATGGGGAATGTCTGTTCAGGAGTGTGGCTAGATAGGGGGGAGCGCCACCCTGGAAGAAATGATAAACAAAGACAAGGATTTTGAATTGTGAGCGATAGCAAACCGGAAGCCAGTGCAGGGAGGCCAGAACCGGACTGATGTGGTCCCCTTTCCTGGTCCCAGTCAGGAACCTGGCTGCGCTGTTCTGCACAACCTGTAGGTTGTGAGATCAATAATAACAGATGAGTCAATAATGAGCGCTGCCCTTCTCCTTGACTGAGGACATGATGATAATGGGTCAAGACATAAAACCAGAGTGGAGTACTGAATCCCAGACCTTATGGCCACCAGAGTTTAGACTTTATAACTCATTCGTAGTTGAGCATTATTGTGCTTCATGAAGAAAAACAAAACTTGAAGCTGACAAAACAATAAGATAGTAAAAATCTAAACGGCTTATAGCTGGTGAGCAATGTGTGCTTCCATTAATAAGTGAAGGCAATGCATTGCTCTCCTATTCAGTTCACGGTAGATGTCAATGTCTGGATCCAGATAAGCGTTTCATAACGAGTTCCTGCCATGTGATGTATAACATCTAAAAGCGTTTGTCATTACTGTTGTAGGACCTCCTTGTACACTCTATCCCAAAACAAGTGCTCCCATTGTGAAAGTACCCATGTTGGCTAGTATGGCCACAGTCACCACAGAATCACCTCTCCCCTAGCATAGCTGCTACTAATCAGATTTATGGTGGTTTTTTCTCCTGAAGGAAGGATTTATAGTTCACACAAAACCTAAAATAGCATTAGCCCCTGTTAATAAATACGAGGTTTTAATAATAATTAGAATGTGTTTTTAAAATTTACGAACATCATATGCATTGGATCAAAAACAGATATTGTAATGACTTGACTGTGTAACATCTGGTGTTTTTTAATGAAGGTTTATCTTCATTAATGTGTGTCTGGCAACAGACAGGCCCTTTTTCAGTTCTTACAGGGAGGACTGACCTCGACCAGTCCTAGTCCCCCTTATCAGTAGAACTTCCTTGAGAAAGTTGAGAAAGTCCACACAGCTTCGTTGTTTTAGAAATTGTGCCTGGAGTGTCTTCCTGCCTGAGAGTCTGTGAGAACCTCGTGTGTGTGTGTGTGTGTGTGTGTGTGTGTGTGTGTGTGTGTGTGTGTGTGTGTGTGTGTGCGTGTGTGCGTTTTGACTTTGCTGTGTGTGCTTAATAAATACTCTTGGAGGACTTTGTCTAAGAGTGAACTGTCGGACCTTGTTTGGTGTGTATTCATTCTCCACTTTGCAAAGTCTAAATTGACTGTTGGTTGATTATTGGTATTGGTTTTGATCAGCTGGTTATTATAACCCCTGCGTGTTGAACTTTCCCTAAGGTAATCCTGGATGGGAGATAAAATTACCTAACAATATGTGAAATCCATGGCACATAATAAATGGGATTAGAACATAATGTTTTTAGCCTCATTGACTTACCATACCATACCATACCATACCATAGTTTATTTATATAACACATTTAAAACACAGCATGGGAACTGCCCAAATCGACCAATCAAAGCAACAAAAACAGGATAAAATACCGACCAATAAAAGCAAAAAAATAAATAAAAATTTAAAAATACATGAGAAATACTAAGAACACATCAAAACAATAATACAATAAGTCAAGTCATGGTCTAAAAGCCAAATCGTAGCAGTGGGTCTTTAAACGAGATTTAAAAACTGTCAGTGATGGAGCCTGTCGAACTATCATTTACTTGCATTCAGTTTTTCGATCTTCCGGGGACCCATGGTCCAGAAGTAGATGGGTGTGACATAGGCTCCCCGTTCATTTTGCAGATGCTTTTATCCAAAGTGACTTTACTCAATTAAACCTGACTGGTGTAGTTATGGCCTTCGTATGAAATGTTTTCGATATTACATATTCATGTTTTTGGTTTAATACAGGTGCAGTTTCCCCTGTTTACATTTATCTTTGGCTTCTTACATTGGCTCAAACTGCTGATTTTTATGTTTTGCGTTTGGATTCTAAGGTTTTAGGTCACTTAGGTGAGTAAACGTGACCTCGTGGAAACCTGGTAGGAACGTCTCTTTAGGTCCTCTATAGGGGGCGACAGCGGAGCGCTTGTGACGGTGTTCTGCCATGAAGTGATGGCCTGTTGAATATTGAGATGACGTATCGGGATCGCGCAGCTGTAGCCACAACTTGTGTCGACGCATTATACACACGTCAGTACGTAAACTATTATGCCAAAGTTCTATGTTGGTGTTGTTGTTTTTTTACAGTTAAGGCCCTTAAGCCTTTCCTTGGTCTCTCTCTCTCTCTCTCTCTCTCTCTCTCTCTCTCTCTCTCTCTCTCTCTCTCTCTCTCTCTCTCTCTCTCTCTCTCTCTCTCTCTCTCACGCACACGCACACACACACACACACACACACACGTGTTTTTGCAAAGTAGCCTTTATCAGATTCGACGGCTTTCAAACAGAAACTGACGGCTGACAGGATGCGAGCGTGCGCGTTCCCGAGGCGTCCATTCAATGTTCGGTAGAGCACCAGTGTACGACACAACACCTGTTCCAGCTCCAGTCCCAGGCTGCTCAGGGGAAGCGGTCCATCCAGCACCGAGGACAGAGGCAATACTCGGATTAAATAACACATCCGCCCAAAGCGGACGGACACGCGGTTCTGGATGCTGGGTACCAGGATCATGAAAGCGCGTCGGGTCTGGTTGTTGGTGGCGGCGGTGAAGGTAAATATGCGTTCTTATCAGCGAGATGGAGCCTCTGGAGACAATAATCAGGTTCTCCTCGGGCTTTCTCATTCTCTCCTGTTTTTAGTGAGTGAAGATGACAAAACACTTGTGCTCCAAACGCTGCTGGTCCAGGACCTGCTGTGTGGCGCCACGTTCTGAATGTGGTATATTATTTGTGCCCGGTCCGTGTCTGTCTGTCCACCCATTCATCTGTCCATCCGTTCATCCATCCTTTCATGGTTTAGACCCGAACCTGTGTTCGGCTGCAGAAGCATACGTGGGCAGAACGGACATGGCAGTCCAACCTTCATGGAGCCTGGATCTGGTTCTAGCTGCGTTAATACAGGGTTGGGTTGTCCCGCCTGTCCCCCCAGGCTCCTGGAGGTTCCCTGTTGATAAGCCGGACATTCCATGTGGATGTGTGTGCCGGACTCGTCTTTGGGCTTTTGGGACATGCTGATGTAGCAGGTGAACGGACTGGACAGACTTCTAGTAGACCACATGTCTCAGTGCTGCTCATTTGGGCTCTTAGCCCCAACTCAAGGCTCCATATATAAAACACCCTGGTGGCCCCCATGCTCTTAGTCTAACCTCTATATGGAGAATGTCTAAATGTGATGTGGTATCTGAGCTAGGATTGCTGTTAAAAACAGTCAGATGTAATAATTCAAATGATTGTTTATTAAATAAAAGCAACAACAATCTGTACTCTCAGCATGCTGCCATCTTATATTAACTGAGCAGGTAATGAGGTGGTGGGGGCTCCAAGCCTATTGGTCCCCAAATGCCTTGATACGGCCCTGGATGTGGGACTGACTTCTGGGGTGATCTGATTCTATCACATGTATAAAAGTTAAATGCTTGTGTTATTGCTTTTCACTGGTAAAAATGTGTCTTGGGAATAAATCTACCAACTTTTTTTCTTTTCAAGCACTTTGTTTTGTTTTCTTGATTCTATTTGAATCCATGTATGTGAAGTTTGTGGCACCCTGCGTGGGAGCACGAGGACGTGCTCGTGGAAAGAGGGGGGAAGGTGTGACCGTGTGAGCGTCCTGTCACAGTGACCCGATCGATGATGCGCCCTGGCTACTTGGCCACGGGGATGTCCCTTTGGCTGGCTGGTTAGAGCGTATGACTCTCACCCGGGAGTCTGGGGATCGAGTCCCGCCCGGGCCCTCGTTTATCCACCTTGCCACATTAATATGCGCTGCGCTGCAGCAGCAATGAGTTGAAATCCCTGGGGCACAGATTATGAACTCAGCTGAAAAGTACATGAAGTACCAGAGAATATGGGCTGATGTAAACGATCGCAAACAAATTACTTTGTTTTGGTGGAGCGATTTTGTGAATATAACAGCGGCCGCGCGCAGGACGCAGCTGGAGTATTTAAGCCATTACCGCTGCGTCCTCTCTGCTCATAGAATGCCCGCAAAGCTGAGTCCATAAATGACGTTATATATGTAGATACTGGATCTTTTTTCAGGCTTCCCGCAATTTGAATTTTTAGGAAACCCACGTCTTGATTCTGGGTTTTAAAATGCATTGTAATGACTGCGTTACTGACAATTGTACCGAGTAAATATTACCATTTTCTGTCCCTGTAATGCCTTACATTACCATATTACAGCAAAAAGCAATGCATTATTGTAATTAATTACTTTTGTACCGCGTTACTCCCAACACTGCTAATGGGCTTCAACACAAACCGTTGTTTTCCGCTTGGTCTAGAGCTCAATCAGTGTCTATTTAATATAGCGTAATATTGCTTTTGGATGGTAAATGTGTAGGAGGCAAAACTTGACTTTAGAAAAGGGGGGGACATGCCCCCCCCCCACCCCCAAATTACGTCCATGGTTCTAAACCAGCAAGTTTAAGGTATCTAATTTTTCTGAATGATAATTTAGAATTAGATTAGGTTTTTATTATGAATGTACTATTCATGTACTACTCTTCACAGTAAGTTTACAAAAATATGTATACAACTACAGTGTAGAGGCTCTTTTATGTAATGTCAGGAATGCAGAACTGTCAAATATATAGGTGGCAGGAATGGCCAATCACATGTTAGCAGGTATCAGCCCCCCCCCCCCCCCCCCCCCCCCCTTTCAATCTATGGGGATGTTGCCAGTGGTCCTGAGAGGGTAAATATGTTTCCTACAACAGCTGTTTGTTACACAGACTATGACACCTTTACAATCCCAAAATAACAAGGACTCCATACAGGCGAAACTGGAAAAATGAGAATACGGTGCAAAGGTTCATTCATGTCAGTAATCCGTCTTAGACTGGGAGACCATCTAAAGGCTCAAGAACCCTTTGCAGGTGTTGAGGATTCATTAGCTGGTTGGAGTGTGACACTTTGAGTCTAGATTATTGAACCTTTTCACAATATTCTGATTGTGATTCAGATGTAAGCCATAATCATCACAGTTATAACAAATGAAGGCTGAAATATCTGGCTTTGCATGTGATGAGCCTGTCTCATATAAAACTTTGAAGTTGAATTACTGAAATAAAAGAACTTTTGCACCAGATGCAACATTTTCACCTGTAGATACCAAATAAAGCCTGATTACAGATGGATGATGGATAAAGCTTACACTGATGTTTGTGACATCTCAAATGATTGATGACTGATGCTGTTGAATTTCTGATAGTAACGAGTGTATAAAGTGAAGCAGAAACATGCTGAGTTATTTCACCTGTGCTGCTCACCTCTCCTCTCAGGGAAATTAGCTCCACTCCATCATGTCACTTCATTCTATCTCCATTTCCTTTCTAGTTTTTTTTTTTTTTTTTTTTTTTTTGCTAGTCAAATTTATTTTTCTTGGGTAAAGAAGGCTTGTTCTGTCCTCTTTCTCCTGTAGTTAACAGGAGCATAACTCAACTGAAGTGATCGCTGCAGGCAGTGGCGTGTCCAGATATTTTAAAATGGGGTGGCCCAGGTGAAGCACAACTTTGTGCATGGGTGGCACCAATTGTTATGCTTTTTTTTGTTTTACCCCCAAGCCTTCTGTGGACAATGAAAAGCCTATTTGAAGGTAAATTACTGTGGCGACACCTGGGGGTGTCCAATCAGATTCCAAGGGTGGCATGTGCTACCCCAGGCCACTCCCTGGACACGCCCCTGTCTGCAGGTGGGATCTGAACCATTTAGCACCTTGATAGGGCTTTGGAGAACATGAATAACAGGGATAGTTAGATTTAGTCTCTCAGCCACATTGTTCAGCCAGGGGGAATTTCATTTTGATATTAATTTACTAGAAATTAGATAATGCAGCACAAAAAAAACTTTTCAGTCTAGGATTATTATGGCTGTTTTGTAGAAACCTTTCCTGGGACAGAGTGTGAGGCTGGGCTGAGGCTGCTCATGGAGGTGACAAGTTTATCAGTGTAGAAATCAGTAAGAGGGTCAAAGGTCAACAGCATCCTCCAAATCGGCTTGGTCAGCAGTCCCAAACCCCTCTTTGAGAATCATCATCTCCACCTGCTCACGCGACTCTCCAGAAACTGTGGCTGTGGTCTGTGTCTTAGGAGGAAGAGAGGCCCATCAGGAGGTCAATGGGTTTATCCCATCCTGGCTTCCCCACGTCAAAGTGTCCTTAGGCAAGATGCTGTCCCCCCAGTAGCCCGCTGATCTGCTAATTGGTGTGTGTGTGTGTGTGTGTGTGTGTGTGTGTGTGTGTGTGTGTGTGTGTGTGTGTGTGTGTGTGTGTGTGTGTGTGTGTGTGTGTGTGTGTGTGTGTGTGTGTGTGTGTGTGTGTGTGTGAGTGAGAAGATGCAGGAAGTGAGAGAGAGGGAGTTAGATAGACAAAGGGTCGATTGAGACTGGGTGGTTGATGGATGGATCGTGGAGACAGAGAAACCTGATGGCATCTCTAACACAGCGTCAGGCCTGATAGATTATTGTATCTTTAAAAGAGAAAAGACAAGCCTGCTTTACCTCCATCCCCTTTCCAAACACCCCAGCTACCCCAGGACCATGAGGAATGTTTGCATTTCTTTTGGCGTAGATTGGGACAAATCTGCTCTCTCGCCATCAGAACTTTATTTACTGAGACGTGCCGTCGTGCACTTGAAACGTACAACTGATTCTTTTAAGCAGCTTTATGGAGTTAGAGTAGGCGTGTCTGCTCTTATGTGTGTCAGCGTGAATGTGGGACGTGGGGTGGGGGTTGGGGGAGCCCTGTTGGACCGATTGGATAGACACGTCTAGACATCAATTATCTCTCAAACTCTTTGACCCATTTTTTTCTGTTTAGTTAGTAACGCTCTGTTGATTTGAACTTGTTTAGTTTAGTTCTCATTAATCTGGTTAATATTTACTCTTGCAGCCAGTTTGTTGATGCTCCCTGGACAGTTTTTGCTGTCTGTTCAGGCTAAGTTCCCTCATAACATTTTGAGGTCTAATGAAACAATCAGTGACTTTCAGATCAAACATCTCCGTGGAAGGGTTCCCATGACAACAATCTAAGACTCTAAACAGTTGCTTAGTTGATATGAGATCATATTTTCTCGTCTTTTATCTCCTGCAGGTTGTTGTGCTGGCTGAGCCGCTGCTAAGCCGTCCAGAGATGCTTCCATGTGCACGAGGGTTTAAACAAGAGGAAAGCATCATGGAACTGGACCGAGACCTGGCAAAGGGCCAAGCTGTCTTCAACGGTCAGTACACACACACACACACACGCACGGACACGCATGCACACACACATACACACACACGCACACACACGCATGGACACACATGCACGCACACACACACACACACACACACACACACGCATGGACACGCATGCACACACACATACACACACACGCACACACACGCATGGACACACATGCACGCACGCACACACACACACACACACACACACACACACACACGCACGCATGCACGGACACGCATACACACACACACACACGCACGCACGGACACGCATACACACACGCACACACACGCACGCACGCACGCGCGCACACACACACGCATGCACGCACACACACGCATGCACGCACACACACACACGCGCACACACGCACACACACGTGCGCGCACACACACACACACAATGTGCTTACAGAGAGCTAGTAGTTCTGGTAATTGTGTCTTGATAGGAGTTGAAAAGTCCTGTTGGGAGACTAAGGAGCTTCAAGAGGCCCAGGTGAGGACGGGACTCACTGGGCCTGCTGGTCTGAATAACATTTACTGGTTTCATAATGCTAAGTTGTTGCTGGTTTTTTAAGAGTGTGTTGGTGTAGAGGTTTGGGGAAACACACATAAAAGTAATATTCAGACTATAATCATAATGCAGAAAAGGGCTATTAGACTAATAAATCAGGACCTGGTCAAGTTTAAAACAGTGCAAATAATATATAAGGCAAGGAAAGGGATGCTCCCAATTGAAATAAGTAAATGGTTCTTAGAAAGAGAAGGGAGGTATAATTTTAGAGGGAAGTGGAATTTAAAAGTACAAAGAGTAAGAACAACATTGAAAAGGATGTCTATTTCAGTAGCGGGCATTAAATTATGGAATGAGTTAACAGAAGAAATAAAGGTCAGTAGTGATATAAACCAGTTTAAAATAAAACTCAAAAAAGAAATGTTAAATAAGTATAAGAATGAAGAAAATGCAATTAACCCAGGACGGCGTGCAAACTGATGTTTAATCTCTTCTACAAATTAGCAAATCTAAATATAGTTCTAGTTGAACATGAGAATTTTTTTTTTTTGAAGGCACTGTAAATGTTTTGTTGTTAAAATTTAGATGATGAGGATGTAAACCTGAGGGGGTAGGGCTAAATAAGTATACACTTCTCCCTACTCCTTTTCGAACAACTGCATGGAATGAGTTTATGAAATGTTGGTGAATGTATATGTTTGAAATAAAAAGAACTGAACTGAACTGTGTACTGATGTGGCTCCAGAATTTTTAGATGGGGTGCATTGGTAGTGGCACAGAAACACACATTTGTATAATTATTTTTCTAATTTTACTCTGTTTTGATTAATCAAAGTACTTGAGTATGCCAGTTTCTATTTTAGAAGGAATAGTTTTCAGATTTTCTTGGTATTCCTTTTGTCACATCCCCTTATGTCTACCGTCTACCTCTGAGTAAATTCTTCAGATAAAGAAATTGATTTTCTAAAGCAGATTTTTGGATAAAACTATATATTTTATTTATATAACTTGACATAATCGTTGCATTTGGTGATTTGGCGACTTTTACATTATTCATAAATTACTCTGTCCTGATGTGACTACTCTGTGCTGTGTGAATGCTCTGTTATGAACGCAGTAATAATGCTTTCAGAGCAGCACAAAACTAGTTTTTAAAATGTTTCTCTTAATATTGTGGCTGCAGCTGAATGGGATTGTAAAAAGATCTTCTATTCAGATAAAGGCAGGGCAACTTTATTTATCTAACCCATTTAATACACAGAGGCAATTCAATGTGCTGTTCATTTAGCAAGAAAATTAAAATCAATGTGACAGCACGATTAAAATACACACAAATTCAATTTAGATTTAAAAATTAAAAAGAGAAAGTTAAAGGGTGAGCAGTTACAGTGCAGAACAGTCATTCAAAGGCTGACAAATACACGAAAGTTTCTTCATTTTGATTTAAAAGTTTCTAGAGCTGGGGCACATTTGAGGTCACGAGGAAGCTGATTCCATCTGTGAGCAGCAGCTAAAAGCAGCAGCTTCACCCTGCTTGGTTCTGACCCGGGGTTCAACCAGCTGACTACTTAAGGATCTCAGAGCCCTGCTGGGTGTATATTCAGGAAGGAGATCTGACATGTATTCTGGCCCCATGCTATTGAGTGATTATAAACTAGTAGAAGTATTTTGAAATGGATTCTGTAGTTTACTGCTAACCAGTGTGGAGATTTAAAGCTATAAGATAAAAAGCTATCCTAAAAATAGTTCACTTACTAATGTTTCCAAGAACATTTTTCTGAAAATGACTTGAAGTACTACATTCTGACTTACACAATAAAAGTGCTGTCATAACCTCGGTTCTCCGAGTAACACGACAGCAGACAACAACAGACTCTTCTGGTGGAAATATGCTACCAGCCTTCCCCAGATGTTGCGACTATCCCCAAAGTACCCGTGTGTCTCTGCCACAAGCTCATTAAAGCAGGTTTTCAGCAGTCCCATAGTTGTCACACACTGGTGTGGTGAAAATTGTCCTCCGCGTTTGACCCGTCCTCGTGGGGAGCAGTGAGCTGCAGCTGTGGCTGCTCTCGTTAACTATTTGGTGGTTTAATCCCCTAATCCAGTGGTTCCCAACCTTTTTCCCAAGGGACCCCGTTTTTTACCAGTAAAATTTATGACGACCCCCTCCCATTCTCTCTTCCAGTACAAACAGTATTAAGAAATGATAAAATTGTTCAAGCACATTTTAATATGCTTTGATTCAATAGATAACAGTAATAGTAGGCTCCAGTACAGAACAAAGTCATTAACAAAACCAAACAGAGCATAATGTGCTTGACAGTTTGTATTACTTTTCTGAACACATTGTTTCTTGTAAACACTGATAAATCAGTCATTCCTTTCAATAAACGTTTGACACATAAAAATACACTAAGCAAAATGTTCTTACAAGTGTGTTACTTTTTCTGTACTAATTATTTCCTGTCTTAATATCAGTAAACTTTTCACTCATGAAAAAAGTGAGCAAAATGTAGGCTATAAACAAGTAATAAATGAAGTTTTAACCCCTTAAAGTGGAGAGGTCCTGGCGACCCACTGAGAAGCTTTGGCGCCCCCTTGTGGGGGTCGGGACCCCCAGGTTAGGAACCACTGCCCTAATCCAACCCCTTACTGAGTCAAGCAGGGAGGCATTGGGTCCCATTGTTTAGGTCTTTGGTATGATCCGACTGAGATTTGTACTCCGATCTCCCGGTCCCAGGGTGGACACTCGTACCACTAGGCCACTGAGCTGGTTGGTAGTTGGCAGTCAGTCCACAACGTCTTATGTTGAAGCAAGAATTTTGAAACATGCTGGTTTTTCAGACAAAAAATCTTTTATAAACTGTGTTTTTTGAAAGTTGTTAATGTTATGTGTCATGTCGTTGTTTTAGTAATAGTGTTTCTTATTCAGTTTCTGAATGGTGAAGGTCCAAACCAACAGTTTGATGATTCCACTTGAGGCTTTTGTCATAATTTTTAAATTAGTACCGGTACCCCCGTGGTAAAAGTTGGACAGTATTTAAGTATGGATGTGTTCAAGCTTGCTGCTGAGAGATGGGCTGTGAATGCTTCACGTCAGGACTCAAAGCCAGAAAGGGTATTTTCTGGGAGGGGAATAAAGTGTTAAACAGTCTATTGAACAACACAAAACCACTTCATCAGTCTGTAGTTATGGTCACATGGGGTCCCTGTACAATGGTTATTGAAGTTTCCATAGTTCCCACACATATAGCTCCACTCATTGGGCTTTCTCACATAGTAGTATTCCAAAGGTGACAAGTTATCTTTTCTTGCCTAACGGTGTTCCAGTAGCCCATTTCTCATTAGAATATTCCTGTTCCCTGACTTCTGACGTGGACCTTGTAAATCCAGATGGCATCCTTGTTTATACTGTGTGTGAAAGTGTGTGTGCATGGGGGAATGACTCGTGTTGCAAAGCGCCTTTAGGGGTTGTAGAAACCAATAAGGCGCTATATCAAATACAGGCCATTTACCATTTTACCATACTGTGTCGAGGGTGCTTGAGGTTGAACATTTTGATTTTTGTTTTTTTCTTTCTATAGGAGGCTCTTTTGTGACATCCAGTGCTTTAGCATTGGGAATTTTTTTCCAGGGTACGAGGAGTACCGGTAGTTTTTCCGGTAATTTATTAGTCGAAATCTCTGAGATTTCTGAAAAAAACATCTGTCTGTCTCCAAGTAAATACCAGCCGTCCACAGTCCCCCCAGCATGTTGTCCCACCCCTCCTGAACAGGCTCATTTTGTGCGTAAGGAAGCTGTAGCCGTGCAGCTTCGGCGGGGTCACACACACACAAACACTCCACACCAGCAGAGTGTCTCACTTTAATGAGTCCCTCGGACACTCCTCGATCCACAGGTCCAACCAGGCCCCCACAATGCAGCTCTGAAATTGAGTCAAACCCGGAAGTGAAATAAAGTGCAGTTCCACCCTCATCCACTGGGGGCTGGTGTCAGAAGCGAGCAAATTCTCATTGACTCCCATGTTAAAAATACCAATTTCACAGCAGAAATAAACATGTTTACAGCCTGGTACCAACACATGTTTTTTGTTTAAATGATCTAGTTTACACTCATGACAACTCTGAGGGGGGGTGAATTTTTTTCTCACTCTTCTGTTTAAGTGTATTAAAAGTAGCCTAGTGAACTAGACCAAATTCTTGCTTTGCAAAGAATGGTCTAGGCATGCTCCATTGGAACCTCCGCAGCTCCTACCAGGACTCTGGCTAGCCAATCACAGCTCTGTAGAGGGGTTTCAAACACATAAAGAGCTGTGATTGGTCCACCATTATGGACCAATCATAGTGCTCTATCTGCTTAGTGAACAAATCACAGAGCTTTATCTGCTTTGTGGGCCAATCAGGGCACTCTATATGCCTGGTGGGTGGGATGATGCAACAGAGTGAAACAAGAGTATGTCACATTGATTGTCCAGTGGAATGCGGAGATCATTTGAAAGACAACGGTAGAACCCGCCCCACAACCGAGAGCCGTCAATGGAGCGTGGCCAGACTAAATAATACATTTATTTAGTCTGGCTTGCCAGGCTATATTAAAAGCCTAAAATTCTGTATAATTTATGAGCATCAGACCCACGTGACCACAGAGCTAGCTCCGTGGAAAGGCCTCAGTAGAGCCTCGGTCTGGCTTGGAAACTGCTCCGGGATTTTGAGTCTCTGTGTTTGTGTATTCTTGTTTGGATATTTTTTGTGCAATTGTTGGACAAAATGACTTGCTGTGGTATTAATTGCACCAATAGAGCGTCCAAGGAGTCTCCACTTCATTTTTTTCGGTAAGTAAAATTATATTCATGTATTTTAGGTCACTGCCGAGCTGAGCTTAGATTTTAACATGTACTGTTTAACCATGAAATTTAAATGTAATAGGGTAAAACCCAGTGCAGTTAACATAATGCTGCATTTTAGAAAATGGGTTCAAATATAACATGTTGGTGGAGCTGGGTTCCGACTATCGGCTTGTGGAGCTCTCGGGAGACCGATGCTTTCCACCCTAATCCCCTCCCCGCAGCCTGGTCCATCTCTGTCTGATCGCGGCTTCTGTTAGCTGCGCGGGCTGACGGCTGGTTCTTATGGCAAGCCAGAACCGCCAAAATACGACACTTCTTCTGGTCGCGGCTTCTGACTGCTGCGCGGGCTGACGGCTTGTGGAGCTCTGGGATGGAAACCTTTCCACCCGGTTCTCCCCAGCAGCAGCTCTGCGCATCTCAGATCGCAGCGGCGCTTGTCTGCTGCGCGGCTGCCGGCTTGTGGAACCGAAAGGAACCGTTGCTTGGTTGGTAAAATGCAACAGATTTTATCCAGCTTGTTGGTTCTTTGCTTAAAAGGAAGTCCGGGCGGCCGGTCCGATGCTCCTCTTAGTATGCGGTGAACTGCAGTGAACTGTAGAGAACTCAGAGAACTGAACTAAGATAGCGTGGGGACTGGTTTTATTAATCTGGATGTTTTGATTTCTGGTCGAATCAAAGTTGGCAGATTTATAAACACCACAGAGACTATGCCACGCTTCAGAAAGGAAGGTTCTGATTGGATGAGTAAAAGCAATGTGTCGTAAATTTACATTACGTGTAGTCAGAATGTCTAGTGCACTAGATTAAAGTCATATTACTTATTAAAGCATACTAATCATAACATTGTCATTTCACAGATTGGTCAACATTATATTATTGACTAACACTTTGTTTGATTAGCCTTATTAAAAATAGAGTTCTTTGATTTATTAAAAGGAAAGAGTCCTTTATCTTCATTCTTCTCTTGAGCTGGAAAGAAAGCAGTTTAGAAGCAAATGCATGACCTTGAGGCAGTCTCATGCAGCTTAGTACTGTGTCAGAGGAGAGAGGGTAAATAACCTTCGGTGGAGTATCACCTTCATCATGTTACAAAAGAGAAGTCGAAAAGCCAGCAATCACTTTTATGTCAAGAGAAATTCCTCTTCGGGGATTTTTTTTTTATAAAATAGTAAATGTTGGAGCTTGTGAAACAGAAATTGTCACAAAACCTTGGTGCCAGGACTAAAAAGCTTTGGTCTCCCCTGGATTTGAACCGAGCGCTCAGAACCACTATGAATTCTGCTCTGCTGGCGCTTTGAAAGTGATGTCAGTTTTTGTTTCAATTGCTCAAATTAAAAGAGACAACAAACGTTACAAACTGTGAACTGAAATTCAAAATGCTTTATGAATACCCAGCCCATTACCCAGGTGATGACCAAGTTCTTCCAGCTGACCTGATGTCTGTTTCTTTTTTTTTTTCTCAGTGACCTTCATGGACTGTGGTGAAGGTAGTGTGTGGTTCAGAGTCGGAGATCCGTCTGATTTCACTGTGAGTCAGGAAGGTGTAATCTACACCCAACGGAACCTCAGCCTGGTGGGAAAGAAGAAAATGGAAGTGGTGGTATATGCCCAAGACGTCCTATCCAATCATGTGTGGAAGGTCAGAGTTCATCTCCACATCAATCCAAACAGCAGAGGAACTGCACCTGAACAGGTAAGACTGTATCAGCAGGCCAGACCTCGGTCTGTGTGGGAATTCTCTTTGGCCTGCAGCAGCCGTCAGCAGCTACAGTCCAGAACCACACACACACACACACACAGAGAGAGAGAGAGAGAGAGAGAGAGAGAGAGAGAGAGAGAGAGAGAGAGAGAGAGAGAGAAGAGAGAGAGATGAGAGAGAGAGAGAGAGAGAGAGAGAGAGAGAGAGAGAGAGAGAGGATGAGAGAGAGAGGAGAGAGAGAGAGAGAGAGAAGAGAGAGAGAGAGAGAGGAGAGAGAGAGAGAGAGAGAGAGAGAGAGAGAGAGAGAGAGAGAGAGAGAGAGACGAGAGAGAGAGAGAGAGAGAGAGAGAGAGAGAGAGAGAGAGAGAGAGAGAGAGCAAAATAAACCTTTGATCTAACATGCTAACTGGAGAAACTAACTGAGACGCATGTGACCCTGTGACTTGGGGTTGGTTGCTGCTCTGTGCTGAGATCTGTCTCTGTGGAGAACATAAGAACAGTGACACACACTAACACACACAAACACACACCATGACGGGTGCTGGACACATCTTTGGATCATTATAATTAGGGCATTGATCCAGGTGAGGAGTCCTCTGAGTCCCTCTTCAGGGCTAAGCTGTGTCCATTTCTACACTGGCTTGTTGTCTCTGCAGCTGAAACCCAGTGATGCAACGCTGACTCAACAGGTACCAGAGATCTTGTTTCCATGGCGCAACATCGTTGTCATGGGTGAAGGTTCTCTAAGTCGAGTGAAGAGGGATTGGGTCATTCCACCTATCAATGTTGCAGAGAATTCACGAGGACATTTCCCCGAGGATCTAGTCAGGGTAAGAGAGATACACACACACACACACACACAACACACACACACACACACACACACACACACACACACACACATTTGTCTTTCTATCAGAGTGAGGACCCTCCATTGACTACCATTCATTTTTGTGACTCCACTATGCTTAACCCATACCCTTGTGGCCAATTAGTACTGATTTAGGAAGAATGTTTAAAACTAGGGAAGTGAGTTTGTGCCATCTACCCACTTTACTTTTCACCTATAAACTCTACAACTCCGGCGTGATCTGCCTGCTCATCTCTTTTTCCTCTCCCCATTCCTTCTCCTATACTTAGGAGAGGGAATTGGGGGAGACAGGTTAAGCCTAGACTGGCTCGGGTGTGGGTTGAGCGTCACGCGACGACGCCACATCTGTTACCTGTTCTTCATCAAATTCTTTTCTATCCTTGTTTCTTTTTTTTTTTCTTCCTTTTTTCTGTATTCTCTATTCTGTCTTTCTCGTTTTTTCTTTATTCTATCTTTTCAATCTTTTTCTATTCTGTTTTTCTATCTGCATTGATACGAACCAACAATGGAGGGGAGTTTCTGAGTGACATGCGCCGGCCCGGTGCATTGCCAGTGACTCTCTACTTCCAAACTGTTTTGGTCAAGGTACTGATTCAGGGGGATGTCACTGAGATACATCTACTCCATCTACTCCACCTAACCAAAACACAGTACTGATCTATTCCTGACACTAACCTTAACTAAAACTTAATTCACACCATACTTCAAAAACTGACTGGTAAGCTTTTAAAAAAAAGTGAGGACCAAAAAAATGTCCTCACTTTGAAATAAATGTCCTCTCATCGTAGGGAAAATAGTGAAAATGGTCCTCACTACGTAGTAAGTACAAGAACACACGCACACACACACACACACACACACACACACACACACACACACACAGAGGCATGCACTAGGTTGTAGTGATGACACATCCTTGATTTAAAGGACAGAAAGGTCTTTATGTGTTTAATCAATGTAAGATCTTTACTCACCAGCCACTTTATTAGGTACACATTACTTGTTGGACCCCTTTCTGCCTTCAGAGCCATCTTAATCATTTGCTCTATTAGTCCAACAATGGAATAGAAAAATTTCTGAGAAGTTCTGGTTCATTTTGACATGACACCATCACACAGTTACATCCACGATGGCACTGCTGTGGTCTTCTGCTCTATAACCAGTCTGCCCAGTCTCTAATATCACCAGGACATTCGTTCCTCACAACTACCTCTCACTGAATATTTTCTCTTGATCAGACCATTCTTCTTTGTTTATGGGTTCCAATCCCAGAAGATCAGCTGTTTCTAGTCACATCACCCTGTCTGACACCAACAACCACACTATGTTCAAAGCTCGTAAAATCTGTTTATCTTCTGCTCTGGTGCTCAGCTGAAGCTCAACAAGTCCTCTTCACCACATTTAGATGTCTGAAAGCTTTGAGCTGCTGCCATGTGACTGGATGACAACAAGTGTGTTAATTGAACAGGTGTGCCTGATGAAGTGGTTGGGGAAATTATTTACTTGATCAGAAACCATTAGAAACACATATGCTTATAGTAGTTATCTCAACTCTGGAGAAACATTTGGTGACCACTACAAGCTCTAGAGTCCAGTCAGCTGCTGTTCTGTTCTGTCTTCCATTGCTCGTCTCCACAAAACCAGTAGCAGGCTGTCCAGTTACATTGTTCTAGATCAGGGGTGTCAAACTCAAACTCACAAGGGGCCGAAATGAAACTCTGGGACGGAGTCGAGGGCCAAACTTAATATTTTTGAAAAAGTGACGGCAAATTTGTACATTTTCTTTATCAACATGTATGCAATTTTGAACCTTTAAATTTGGAAACAAACTTATTTCTGCATTAACACTGAATGTGGAATAACCAAATTACACACGAGCAAGTCAGTTTTAAATAAAAGGCATCAGTGGTATTCATTACTTGTGGTATAATCAGCATTTTTAAAATCTATTCAGGATTTATGTTTTCTTGTTTATTCATTTTTCTTATTTTTTATTCTCCTTTTTTCTCCTGTAATAAGTGTCATCGCTGCTGTGACGTCTAGCTTTCCCCACTGAGGAACAATAAAGGGATTTTCTATTCTATTTATCTATCTGCAGCCTTTCCACTTCCTGTTTACTGTAGGTTAAATCTTTTCTCACGGGCCAACAACAAAATAAAAATATCATTTTATCTTAAATGAAAATGCAACATCTCACCTGTTAACTTTCATGTTTTGGAGCAGAAAAAGAGCATAAAACCAACATATTTAAAGCTCAGTTTGCTCCACTGGTTTACTGTGATGCTCACCTGTTCCAGCCAGATACCTGCATCATGGGGCTGACCTGAGCTGAGGAGGAGTCTCCTGTTGTTTTGTTCATCTTCATCATAATAACGACAACATTAGATGACAACAGGTGCTCACATAGGTTTGTGCTGATGAACATGTCTGAGCAGCTTGACCATGTTGTTGTGTGTCGGGGAGGAAACACAACCACAGCAACCACAGAGCCGTGCTGGTTTGAGCGTGTCGCTGCTCGCTGGAGTTATATCAGCTCTGTCTGGACGTTAGTTGGAACACTTTTTCTTTCAGTCGTGAACACATTACTGAGCGGCTAGAATCTGTTTCTGGGCTTCAACATCAGAAAATAGCTGAGTAAACTCGGCGCTGAGTGAGAGGAGTGTAGTTTGTCCGACACAGCGGAGCTGCAGCCACCGGCAGCAGGCGCTGAAAAAACACAAAGGAGGGGGCTTCGTCGGCTCCGCGCTGACGCCGCAAAGCATCATGGGAGTTGAAGTCTTTGCGGTAAAATCGACCAGCGGGCCAGTTTTAATATATTTTTGATATTTATCTCGCGGGCCACATAAAAATGCTCCGCGGGCCAGATGCGGCCCGCGGGCCTTGACTCTGACATATGTGTTCTAGATCCATCTACCCTCCTCTCCTCAGGTCCTGATGGCTGCTGCTCTATCATTTCTGTGAGTAATAAGAGCAGTGATGTGTTGATCTGTGTCGGTGAATTAATTTCTACGAGGTCTGTCACTAAAGAAACTTTTACATCAATTTATCAGACTTCTGCTAAAAACATTTACTCACTGGTGATGAATTAATGAGCCCTGTTCGGATTATGGCAATTAAAAGGTTTTTGTGGCCTTTCTACATTCCTAAAGAAATAAGCCTGCGTGAGCACAGTAGAGGCCGATCGGTATATCGGCCAGCCGATATATTGGGCCGATTTCTATGTCAGCCATCGGCCAACATTATTTTTAAAAGCCGATAAAACATTTTTTTTTAAATCTGACACCTGTGTGGCCAACTTCCGCCACAACAAGACTGAAGAAAGGACCCAAAGGACCCTAACACACCTTTTTTTTAATGTTTTGAGTTTGTTTTATATTTGAAGTTCAATAAATATTAAGAGATTTAATGACTTATTTAATTTATATTGCACACAGTGAGTGGTCAGTTGTCTTTCACAATCAATGTGCTACCAAAATGCAGATATAAATCGGCCTTAATAATCGGCTTAAGTCATCGGCAGGGAAATTCTTTGAAAATTGGTATCGGCCTTAAAAAACCCATATCGGTCGGCCTCTAGAGCAGAGCACTCTTCTGTTTGCCTCAGCATCTTTTTGTTGCAAATGTCCTGTTTTGCCAAAAATGCTGTTAAGTGGAGCAATTGGATGTTTATAAAGGACTCAGATGTTGGATTGTTTATTTGCAGGTCAAGAGTGTTTTTGTGGATTCAGCAATGCTCCAGGTCAGTCTGACCTGGACATGCACTGAATACAGGTCTCTTGTCGTTACATTTTAATGTGTGTGTTTTTGTGAGGTTTAATCATAAAACTGCCTTTCATTAACATCGAACTGGTCTCTTTTGTCATTAATACGCTCCTGTCCAAGCTCTTCTATGGGTCTTTCTGAAAGAGATGGTTTGAGTTTGTTCTGTGTGACTCTGAATAAAACCCAAGGGCTGTCAGTCTTCTGGCAGCAGCCACATCCACTGCGGCAGATGTTCAGAAGGAAGTGAAGTAAGCTGCCTCTGTCTTCTGTGTAGATCCGCTCTGACCGGGACAAGAGCAGGATGCTACGGTACAGTGTGACAGGTCCTGGGGCTGACCAGCCTCCAACTGGGATCTTCATTATCGACCCGATCTCAGGCCACCTGTCTGTCACCAAACCTCTGGACCGGGAACACATACCCAACTTCCACGTAAGTCTAAAGTTAAAGTTAAAGTCCCATTAGTTGTCACACACACAGGTGTGTGTGTGCGAAATTTGTTCTCCGCATTTGGCCCATCCCCTGGGGGAGCGGTGAGCTGCAGACACAGCCTCGCTCGGGAACTATTTGGTGGTTTAACCCCCCAATCCAACCCCTTAATGCTGAGTGTCAAGCAGGGAGACATTAGCCCCATTCCCACCTGTACCGGGTCGGCCCGGGCCGGGTAGCGTAGGTTGTTTACATATCTGGGTGGCCTGGAATTTTCCCGGGCCAACCAAGGCTCATTCTCGGCCCTCTTCCCGAGGGGTACTGCTTCAGGCCGACCAGGGCCAACACGCCCACTGCTGACAGCAAATTCACACCTTCCATTAGAGCAAGCCTCTGATTGGTGGGTAGAATCAGCCCACATGGGCTTAAGGCAAGGATGTGTGGAATCAACCGGGCCAGGCTGGGGCCGACTGGGGCTACCCGGCCCGGGCCGACCCGGTACAGGTGGGAATGGGGCTTTAGGGTCCCATTTTTTCAAAGTCTTTGGTATGACCCGACCAGGAATCGAACCTCTGATCTCCCAGTCTCAGGGCGGACACTCTACCACTAGGCCACTGAGAAAGGTGGCCTAGTGGTCTACGGTGTCTACAGTGAATGGCTATGTTATCAGGGCTTCAGATATGAGAACAGACCAGACCGGGTCGATGCCTGCTTCAACAAACCTGCAGTCTTCCAGACAAAGCATGCAGCATCTATGAGGATCGGTCCACACCAGACCAGATCTCTACACACAGTTCTAGCTGCAGACAGGCACAATGAAACCAAAAGACTGATAAAAGACCACAAATAAATACATTAGCCAATTAGCCAATTCAGTTGGCTAATAAACTGAACCTTTACTTCAATTTTACTTTATTCTGGAAGAGTAGTGTTTCCATCTCTTAGGTCTGAATAGGCCTTGAAACGGGCTGAATGCTCGGATCACATTAGTGACATTTGAATATTCACATAAACATTTGAATAATGGAGTTCATACGTTTTTCTGAGATGTTAGGATAACAACTGGTGTTAGTATGAAGACAGCTCATACGTACGACTTCATCACGTCTTCTGGTGCATACGGTCACCTGTTCAGTTTGAGCATCAGTCAGGCTCTGGTTCTGCTGGTTACATAACTACATTTTACTGAGCTGTAAAAGAGGGTCATTCTCTCCTCTGAGACTCAAGCCAAAGCTAGATTAAACTTTAGGGCGTGTGTGTGTGTGTGTGTGTGTGTGTGTGTGTGTGTGTGTGTGTGTGTGTGTGTGTGTGTGTGTGTGTGTGTGTGTGTGTGTGTGTGTGTGTGTGTGTGTAGTTACGAGCCCATGCTGTGGATCTGAATGGGAATCAAGTTGAAAATCCCATAGACATCATTATCAACGTCATTGACCAGAATGACAACGTGCCTGATTTTCTGCACAGCACCTTCAATGGCTCTGTTCCAGAAGGATCCAAGCCTGGTAAGCCTCACACACACACACACACACACAGATTGAGGATCACAGCCCTGAGTGCTCCCATGACCACTGGCACCACTGATGCCTTGACTTTCTAACGACTGTGTGTGTATGTGTGTATACCTTTAGGATCGTTTGTGATGACAGTGACAGCAGTGGATAAGGATGACCCAAAAACAGCCAATGGGATGATGAGATACAAGATCCTCACCCAGAATCCCCAGAGCCCATCTTCCAACATGTTTACCATCAACAACCGTACTGGTGACATCATCACTGTGGCAGCAGGCCTGGATCGCGAGGTGTGTGTGTGTGTGTGCGCGCTTGAGTGTGTGTGTGTGTGTGTGGTGGTGGTGGGGGTAAATTGAGTGCTTTAAGAGCTCAATATATATTACCTCAACTTATGACCAATAAGCTGTGATACTTTATATAAATATAGAATATCAACCTTCTTGGTCTTTACTGTATTTAATCAGAAGATTCTAGGATTCTTTGTTTGATCAGAACTTTTGTATCTAGGAGAGCTTAGTTCTGGATGTAAAAGCATTTGGTTTGCGTTAAGCTATGAGGTTGATTATTATCAAAAACACATCAGATGCAATCTGTCGTGTCTACATACCCACTCGAAGATAGATAGATAGATCCAATAGATCCGGAATGTCGAAGTCCTCGGACTTCCAGGCACCGAGGTCCGTAGAAGAAACTGCAGCACTACTAGACCGGTCTTAGAGTTGTCTCCAGGTCACAACAGATGGATGGAACCTCGCGTCTGGGACTCTTAAGGAGTCTGAACAATATCAGCTTGTTCTGCAGGAACTGTTTGCTGTATCAGCTTCGCAGGTGCAAAAAGGTTTTGACGACGTGTCAAAAGCTTTGATGGGTTAAAGAGGTTTTACTTAGGATGGCCGGTCTGAAGCTTTCTCAAGAACTGATGAATCACTAGAGTGATCCAGTTTTAATGTTCTCATGTTATGATTTGTGTAGCCAACCAGAGGTTGACAGGTTGAGGAGTATTACCAAGACAACCTCAGAAACATGCCTTCTTTGATCCGGATGCTCTGATCTGGGGTAAAGGGCTATCTATGTGTTACGTGTTTAACTTAACTTTACTTTGTCCTTGTGTGAGTGCAAATGGTGATGACCTTGTCATATCAACATGCTGAAACATATTTCAATCAATGTAATCATAACATAACATTCATTTCAAACTTCAGTCATTGAGCACAGATTAATGAAAGCATTCTATTATACTATAATTATTATAAGTAGCAATAAACAAATGTTTATTTAATGATTATCTAGCTTATAAGTTTTAGAAGTTCATATTTAATTTAAGAAATCATTCTTTGATTTAGCAACTAATCCGAGCTGCAAGTGTTTCTTCTTTGGAGGCACGAAGAATCCTGTAGGATGATCAGGGAAGCTTGGACCTTGAGGAGAGAACATCATTGTTGACAATTCGTTATCATGTGTTCAGAGCTGCAGAGGCTCTGAGCTCCAGCTGATGGGATGAAGGCAGGCCAATTTAAAGGGAACACATGCAGTCTTGTGTCTCCATTTTGACCAGATGTTGAAGGGTTAAACTGTACCTAAAAACTGACCATTGCTGGACGTTACATAAGTGTGTGTGTGTGTGTGTGTGTGTGTGTGTGTGTGTGTGTGTGTGTGTGTGTGTGTGTGTGCGTGCGTGTGTGTGTGTTTGTGTTTCTCTGGACTCATGTATTATGTGGAGTAGTGTACAGTAGTGAACCTTGTGATACTAAGCGGGGTGTAAAACCATTGCAACTGGTGTGTAGGTCATCAGTTACTGGTGTATTGATACACTGTTATCAGTTTAAATCAGCTGTTAGATGTGTGCTGATCAGCTGTTACTGGCTTGTATATCAGTTTCACTGGTGCCTTCATCACTTGTAATTTTGTGGGTCAGCTGTCACTGATGTTTGGATAATCTACAATACTGGTGTGTTGGTCAGCTTTTACTGGTGTTACTGTTTATTTACATCCACTGTGTGTTGTCCAGCTGGTCACCTGGCTCTTTAGAACAAAAATGAAAGAACATTTTGTCTGAGAGATGATTCAATACATGTGTGAAATTGTCTTTTTCCAACAATATTACGTCTGTTTGGAATGTCCAAAATACCTCAAATGTCCATCCATCCACCATTTTCTTCCACTTATCCGGAGTCGGGTCGCAGGGACAAGAGCCTAAGCCAAGAGGCCCAGACTTCCCTCTCCCCAGCCATTTGGGCCAGCTCTTCTGGGAAAATCCCAAGGCATTCCCTGGCCAGATGAGAGACATGGTCTCTCCAGCAGGTGTTGGGTCTTTTTTCAGGTCCCTTCCCGGTTTGACGTGCCCAGAAAACCTTACCAGGAAGGCATCCTAATCAGATGCCCGAGCCACCTCAACTGGCTCCCCTTGATGTGGAGTAGCAGCGGGTCTAATCCAAGCCCCTCCCTATCTCTAAGGGAGAGCCCAGACACCCTGGGGAGAAAACTCATTTTGGCCGCTTGTATCCACAATCTCGTTCTTTTGGTCACTACCCAAAGCTCGTGACCATAGGTGAGGGTAGGAACGTAGACCAACTGGTAAATTGAGAGCTTTGCCTTCCGGCTCAGCTCTCCCTTCACCACGAGAGACCGGTACAACGCCCGCATCACTGCAGATGCAGCACCAATCCACCTATCGATCTCACGTACCATCTTTCCCTCACTTAAACTCCTCCATTTGGGGCAGGACCTCGTCAGTGACCCGGAGAAGGCATTCTACCTTTTTCCGACTCAAGACCATGGTCTCGGATTTTTCTCATATGTCTCATATGTTTGAAGCAATTTTGTAGAAAGATGGTACATAACTTTCTGTCATGGGGACACTCAGATTAGTTCATCTTTTAGTCTGTGTCACCTGATGGATAAAACCCTGTTTTGAGTGTTTTTTATCTGTGTGTCTGTAGAAGGTTACTCAGTACACCCTGATCATCCAGGCTACTGACATGGAGGGAAATCCCACCTTCGGTCTTTCCAACACGGCCACAACAGTCATCAGGATCACTGACGTCAACGACAACTCCCCCGAATTCACCACAGACACAGTATGTTCATGCACACATGCACACGCACCAACACACCTTCTGTCACGTTGTTGGGAATGTTTAGGACCCAAATATGCAGATTACCCAGGATGACTCGAGGCAGAAGTTAGTAAAAGTAAAAATCCTTTATTTTAGGAAGAACAAAAAATAAATCCAGAAAATGGCAGCGGGCCAAAGTCCAAAAGTCCTGGAGAACAGGACATCAAAAAGCTCTCTCAGAGCACCAAAACCTGAAGACCGAAAGCTCACGAAGAGCACGAAGACCTGGAGACAAAAGCTCAAACAGAGCACGAACAAACGCTGACAACATACAATGGACCGACACAACACAGAGACAAGACAGGGCTTATACAGACTTGGAAGAAGAGAGGGAGATGAATTGCAGGTGTGTGGGGAGAGGGACCAGGTGAACACAATTACTAAATCAGGGAGGAGGAAGAAAAACACTGGTGGGAAAAAACACACTAAATAAAGAAAGGCTGTAACTAAGGAAAATGACCTAAGAGAAAAACAAAAGACCAGAAGGCAATAGCCATAACTAATATTCTAAGGGGGAGCTGACACTAAAGAAAAACACTACAGACAGAAACTACAGGGGCGTGGCTAAGAGGGGGCCAAGAGAGCACAGGACATGGGAGGGGGATGTCTGAGGAGGGAAACCTAGAGGGCAAATGGGGAACAGCAGGAGACACATGAGGAAGATGCAGACACGACACATGAGGACGCTAGAAGACACAAAATGAGCACCTAGAGACGAATGGAGGACAAAAGGAGACACATGAGATGAGACGCAGACACAGACCATGACACCTTCAGAGATGTTCTGGGTCTAAACCCACCAGTATGGGTGTGTCATGCCTTTTTAAACATGGGTAGATTGTAGCTGCTAATGGGCCTTGTTACATAACAGAATCCGTCATTTTACACAACAGTACCACTTAATAAGTACCCTGTGTGATTTTTGAGTTGATTTTTCTTCTTGTTTTCAGTTTTTTGGAGAAGTTCACGAGAACAGGGTGAACGTGATTGTTGCTAACCTGTCTGTGACGGACAAAGACCAACCACACACATCAGCCTGGAGGGCAGTGTATCGCATCGTTGCTGGAGACCCAACAGGACGCTTCTCCATCACCACCGACCCCACCTCCAATGAAGGCTTACTCACCGTGGTCAAGGTGGGGTTAGACTTCCACACGTACCGTTTTCCAGAGACTCTGGAACACTTACTTACTGGGCTTTGTACATACAGGTTAGAAACGTTACACACTCCACAGCCATGAATGTTTTTGTTTGTTGCACTTCAGAAATAACAGAGGGATTAGAAGGGTTTATCCAAATCCTCCCGTTCAGCAGATAAGAGGTGTATGTTGTGTAAAGCCGCCTCAGACACTGGTGGATTGACCTGCTGGTCTTTTTAAATTCCCTCAATGTCCACTGGTCTATGAGCTGTCCATCTTCTGTCCAGCCCATAGATTTTGAGCTGACCCGTTCTTTTATGCTGATCGTGGAAGCAGTGAACGAGGTCCCCCTGGTCCGCGGCATCCAATCACCTCGTCAGTCCACAGCCACCGTCTCTGTGAGAATCCTGGACATGAACGAGAGTCCAGAGTTTAGTCCCAACCCTAAATCCATCAAACTTGAGGAAGGACTGCCTGCTGGGTCTTTGCTCTCCACCTTTACTGCCCAAGACCCAGACCGCTTCATGAGGCAGACTATCAGGTAATCTCTAACCCTAATTCACATCGTTATGTAAAATCGTTTATTTTGTTTGACTAAAGTACATCCATCTATTGTAATTTGAGTGTTGGTAGACATGTTTGTGAGAACCATCCACAGTACCACCGCAGCCTTATAGCAGAAGAGGAGCAGAACATCACACTCAGCTCCTCACTCTTCCTCTGTGGATTTATTTGATCATTTGTTGCATAAATTACTTAATTTTTTATTAATTTGGAGCAATAAAAGTTGCAATACAGTGCAAGGTCATGATATTTAACTTTTTATACAAACGTCACCATATGTTTTTTATAATGTTTTTGGGTCATACTTATACTCATCTTCAGTGTTGGGAGCAATGCGGTACAAAAGTAATTAATTACTGTAATGCATTGCTTTTTGCTGTAATGTGGTAATGTAAGGTGTTACAGGGAAAGAAAATGGTAATATTTACTCGGTACAATTGTCAGTAACGCGGTAATTACAATGCATTTTTAAACCCAGAATCAAGATGTGTTCCTTAAAAATTCAAATTGCGGGAAACCCGAGGAAAGATCCAGTATCTGCATATATTACGTCATTTATGGACTCAGCTTTGCGGGCAGAGAGGACGCCGCGGTAACGGCTCAACTACTCCAGCTGCGTCCTGCACGCGGCCGCTGTAACATTCACAAAATCGCTCCACTAAAACAAAATAATTCACTTGCGATCGTTCATATCAGCACATATTCTCTGGTATTTTGTGCTTTTCTGACGTGCTTTGCCTCAGCTGAGTTCAACTGATTACTGCTGGAGCGCTGCGCATGTGAAGATCCCTTTGGCTGATTGGTTAGAAAGTAGGAAGTCTAGGAAACAGTTTTTTCTGGAAGACGGAGAAAACATGCAGCATGCAGGAAGGTTAGAGAGCGAAAGGGCAGGAAATTATTCAAATAAAATCAAGAAAAAAAGAAAAAGTTGGTAGATTTACCCCCAATACACATTTTTACCAGTGAAAAGAAATAATATATAAGCATTTAATATTTATACATGTGATAGAATCAGATCACCCCAGAAGTCAGTCCCACATCCAGGGCCGTATCAAGGCATTTGGGGACCAAGGCAAATATAGGCTTGGAGCCTCCACCACCTCACTCCCTGCTCAGTTAATATAAGATGGCAGCGTGCTGAGAGCACAGATTGTTGTTGCTTTTATTTAATAAACAATCATTTTAAAGCACTTTTATTATATCTGACTGTTTTTAACAGTAATCCTAGCTCAGACACCACATCACCTTCCACATATATGCCATGAGCTCACTGAGCGTCACATTACCAGATTCATATTGAAGTTGTTTTGGTGAAAGTAACTTAAAGTAATGCAAAAGTAGTGTAATGCCTTACATTTTAAAATCAGTAATATTGTAATGTAATGAATTACTTTAAAATGAGGGTAACAAGTAATAAATAATGCATTACAGTTTTGAAGTAACTTGCCCAACACTGCTCATCTTCTCTTGCTTAGCTGGGTCTGTGTCACTGGGGATGAAGGCCAAGCAAAGAAGCCCCTTCAATAAAAGCCCAAGGTGTTCCCTGGCCAGCCTAGATATATAATACTTCCAAGTTGTCCTGAGTTGACCCTGGGCCTTAAACGTCTCCCCCAAGTTGCCTCTTTTGATGTGGAAATACAACGGTTTTACTCTGAGTCTCTGCTGGAAGTCTGAGCTCCTTGCTCTCTTTCTAAGGCTGAACCACGTAGCCAGTTTCAGCTGTCTGTACTTTGGTCATGACCCAGAGCTCATGACGGGACAGCAGTAGCTCAGGAGGTAGAGCAGGTGGTCCAGTAATTGGAGAGTTGCAGGTTTGATCCCGGCTCCCAACTTTTTTATTCATAAATCACACATCCTCATTCTCCACACGGAATAATCTGAAAGGTTACAGAGAATTGACTAGACTTGTTCCCTCTTCTCTTACTTTTGATATTGAAGACCCCCCTATTTGTGGAAAAGTTCGTTAGAATAGGTCTTTAGTAGAACCTGTGTGGAATCACCCTGTGGAGAGTAAGAGCCTGCTGCATTTTTACTTTTGGATCCCACTGTTGGTTTCTAAATGCAGTGCTGAGATTTCTGTAGCCTAGCAACAGCCAGTGGTGGACTGATTTTTACTGAAACGTGTGAGTGAGTGCACACTCACATACACAGTGCATGTTTGCTGCACTTCAAAGCATTCTAGTTTCTGGAAATCTTCTTGTTGCTGCTGTTTTTATCCAAGGGACTAGTGATGGCGTTGTGCTAGCAGTGGCTTTTCAAGCTGTAGTCTGTAACGTTGAGCCCAGAGGACCTGGAATTTCAGCCACAACCAAGGAGTAAACATTAATAAATAGTTTGTTTAACCCTCTCCGGCTTAAAATAAGTTCTGATAAAAGGACAAACAACTAAGTCCTTCAGGAGTACTTCTGAGTTAAAAACTGCTCATGAAAAACGTACGTGGAGTGACCAGGTAGGTGGATTTTAATGTTGCAAATCTGCAACGCCTGCCTCCAGAGGGTTACGTGGATACTGCATGAGACTTGAAGCTCTGCAGCACAGAGACACAGATGGGGAAAGGCAAAGACAGGGTTTAGCAGATCTGTTCAGCTTTTCCCTTTGGTCCACGCATGCCCTCACTACCGGCATCACAGATACTAAGAAACTCCAGACAAGAAGTTGTTCACACTCCAGAACCAAAGTCAAAAGTCCAAAATCAAATATCATGGGCAATACACTAGCAGAGTCAGTCACATGAAGACAGAAGGTGCAACACTTATGAACAGGATGCTGCGAGGATCAGTAGCCGGGACTCAGGGGATGGATTCCTGAGATCAGAGGCAGGAATTATACAGGGACATGAACACGATCAGACACACGGAGACTATGGGACGAGAAAGGAATGCTGGAATTCAATATTCACAAGGGTTTTGCTCATCTGCCAGACAGAGACTGGGATGCACACACAGGTGATATAGAGACAATTAGGCATGGCCCAGGTGGCTGAATGAGGCTGAGAGAGAAGGAAAAACATGATGAAGTGAAAACAAAAACAAAGTAGATTGCAGGGTATACAAAACATGAATCATGACACTGCTGGGTTTTTTCTTTAAATAAAAGTGTGACTGATAGTTGTGAGTAGTAAAATTACTGTGACGGAAAATAGTAACTTATATAAAATGTGACTGATCATGGTGGCTAATAACTGTGTGACCTAGTGATCGAGAATAACTGCTAGTAGTGAATGTTAATTGTGAGTCTAATAGCATTATCACTGATCACTGGTCTCAGGAATGAGCTGGTTTCCAATCACTCAGCTAGAGGGACACCTCAGTCAGGTCACCAGGACATCACAGGACACAGAGACAAATAGGGCATTCACAGACTCACTCACACCTAACCCCTTCTTTCCACCGGAGCCGTCAGCAGCACGTCACAGCTGCTGATAGGAACCGCTGTGGTCAGCAGAACCTTTTCCACCGGAGCCGTCAGCAGCGCGAGTCGGCCGCGTCTCAGGAGCAGCATGTCGCGGCCTTTACGCGCCGGTTCTATTTTCTACGCACGACGCCTCTGAAACGGGTCAAGTTCGACATTTTTGGGGAAGGAAAGACAGGAAATCGGACGCGGAAACGGAGAGAAGCTCCCGAGATTTTCAGAATAAAGAAACGTACTGCCTTCCGGTTGCTTCACTTAAAAAAAAGGTTACTAACTGTGCGGCTCCGTGAGAAGTCATCACCTAGCTAGCGGTCTCCTTTGTTTTTCAGGTCCGTATTGGTGATTATAAAATGGACAGAACATAAAACACAAACCTTTTGGAGCCATGTTGTAGTTTTCTCCGGCTTGTTGTTGTGTTTACTGACGAAGTCACTCGTGTGACTTCGTGCTCTGTCGGTGACAGCTGCTCCCCTGCTGCTTCGCGTCTCGTGGGAAGGGCCAAGCAGTAACGTGCTGCTGACGGCTCCCGTGGAAAGAAGGGGTAAGAATGATTTAAAGTCACCAATTAACCTAACATGCATGTTTGTGGAGAGTGGGAGGAGGCTGGAGTACCTGGAGAAAACTCAGACATGCATCAGGGAGAACATTCTAACTCCATGCAGAAAGGCTACAGCCTAGATTCAAACCTGCAACCTTTTTGCTGAAAGGCAACAGTGGTACCAACTGTTCCTCTATGCAGCCCTTTAATAATAGTATGATTAATAATAGTGACTTACATTAGAATAACCTATTACAGAGACTGATAATAGTGCAACTAATCATTGTCTAAAGAAATGTTTGTTCTTTTTCACTTTTGCACCAACTCCCACCCTCCTCACCTCCACCTCTGATCACAGGTACTCAAAGATCTACGACCCTGCCAACTGGCTGAAGATTGACCCATTTAATGGACAGATTTCCACCATTGCTGTCCTGGATCGGGAGTCTCACTACATCAAGAACAACCTCTACAACGTTACCTTCATGGCTTCTGATGAAGGTGAAAAACCCGACACTTCTGTACTGACTCAGTCACTTACTCTATCTATAGACCCTTTTACTGTTTGTAAACAATATGACGTCAGCGAGAATGCGCGCGCAGCTTGGCAACAGAGAATGGCGTTGTGTCAGGCTTTATCAAGCTACGCTGCGAGGTTATCACTGGCAAATCTTGAATGTTATATTATTAAACTCACTTTAACGAATGGCAACAGACTCCCGGATCCCTGTGGCATTACGGAATGGGTGGAAGATGTAGGTGCGTGGCCAGATATCCAGTGGCCCGATATATATACGTTTTTAGTGGAGAGGCCCAGTAAGTACACACGTGAGAAGCTACGGGCATACAAATCGTTAGATGCATACAACTATGTTGTCTGTGGCCACGTACAGAAAGTAAAATATCACCACATAGACTCTGAGTTTTGCGTCTTGAAGGCAGAAGTCCTTCCTAGCCAAAGACAAGGACACAAGACTGCTATGTACGAGGCTTGGGTCATAGTAAACAAACCAGAGAACTACGTCTTCACAGCCAACTGTACCTGCATGGCAGGGTGAGTATGGCATAGGTTTCTTTTTTTAGCGTGCTCAGAGTACAATCGTGTTAATTTTAGAGAAATACAGTTTATACTAATATGCAGTGGGAAAATACAGATGAATTAGAATGAAATGTTAATTTGAAGCGTGAAATTAAGCGTATAAATTTATATGTATCCTTAGTACATAATTACCTTACCTGATATAAAATGGTCGCTACAAACTCGAGCATTTCGGATCGTGTTTTCAGTCCAGTTTTCATCAACCCTTTTGATGGCCTGCAGCCACAGACGCCTCCGATTTTGTTGAAATGGATGTGCTCCCTTTGGAATTCTGTAAAGTTTCAGTCCACTGCTTGAAGAGAAGCGATTCTGGCATCCATACACGCAACAACCCGACATTTTTATGTGCTCAGAACTTCAAAACAAAGGGTTTAAAATGCTGTTTTAGTATCGAGTGTGAATGAGGAAGCCTTCACTCTCGTTGCCAGGCTGCGCGCGCAACTTTTGATGGCGTAGGTAGTAAAAGGGTCTATTTCTCGTTCCATAGTACATTCCAGTCTGGTGACCATTTTCATGCCATCAGTGTTTCCACACAGGTTGGCTGGACACAGTAGTCAGTATGTGTGGTTTCATTCAAATCAGTGTGTTTACGTACATGGAACCGGTTCACAACACAAGTAATTTTTAAAGAGCTCAAAGCTGCTCAACTCCAGTTCACTTAAGGTCCAGATTGACCTTATGTGACAAATGAATAATAAATGACCCGCACATGTATAGTGCCTTTCAAAGTAAGAGGACTCCAAAGTGCTTTACACTACAGTGCATTACAGTTTACCAGAGCTGCAAAAAAGCTGCTATGGTCAAAGTTCAGTTTTGTCCTTTTCTTCAAAGCCCCAGTGTGTAAAAACATTTGACTCCTTCGCAACACTCAGTTAAGAATAGGTATTGCAGCTACAGCAGTCCACATGCATTAGGCAAAAGGCTGTGTGTCGTTGTTGTAGTGTTCGCACGGCTGCGGGGGAAAGATAGACACTATAGCACTGACAGCTACTTCGTGGTCACACACAGAAAACCCCACACACCTGCTTTCGACCGTCTGTACGTTTTGTTTAGTGTTTCTGCTGCTTCCTGCAGTCGGCATCTCTCAGGTAATCGAGAGCCTTCAGTCCTTGTCATGGGAATCTATGTAGAACGGGTCTGATCAGTCTTTTGCAATTGCTGTCTTCTTGCTCCAATGCGGCCACTTCTAACACATCTGCCTGGCGTCTGCCGCACATTTGCAGCATCTACCGCGCCTGCCGCATTACTTGTCTCCCTATACTCGTTATATACGACTTCCAGCTTTCAATCCAGCCATCTTAAAGCACGACACGCAATCCAAGAGTAAGGAGAGAATTTCCCCAAACCAGCATGGCAGCCAGAGAACCGGTAACAACCCCACACAATGTTTAGATGGAGGAGAACTTTCATTTTCAAACCATAAAACACGGATCATTAACTCTTGTAGATCCCTAAACAGCTACAGTATTTCAAGATGGTGCATGACTATGGAGCATCAACCTCCGATTATGTACATAAAAAATTTACATTTCAATAACAGAAATATTTAGAATAGACCTTGGTGATAAATAAAAATGGAAATGGACAAGTTTGTGAATGTGATACACAGAATTGGATAGTAAACAAATAGCGATATTACACACTATCCCTTTAACACACCTCTTCCACTGTTTCTAAACCTAAACATGCATGTTCGGTTGAATGGAGCTTTTAAATCTGTCGTTAGTCTGAATATGTGTGTACATATATATCTTTAATTTTAGAGGGTTTCTATGCTTCAGCACACCCTGTTTGGCTCAGTGGGTGATTAATAGGCTTCTGCAGAGCTTGATGACCTGCTGAGGTAAATCAACCATTGAATCAGGTGTGTTGGAGCAGGTAAACAACTAAAATAAGCTGGATAAGGGCCGTGGGGGATCAGGGCTGGAGATCCCTGCTCTAGAGGAATATATCATTGTCCATTGAGTTGATTCTGTTCTCATATAGCACTAAGCTCCTCCTCCCAGGAGAATTACATCCTGAACTGAGCATTCTTGATGTGTGGTCTCTTTATTCTCGGCTATGGTGTTGCTATTCAAAATATATGGAAGAACATCACGTATCAACCAGTCCTCATTCCATCTGTGGTCTTTGCTGCACCTGAATAAATATGTGACTAATTAGTCATTCACTTGTATTCATGGTGTTCAGGCTTCCCCCCTGCCAGTGGGACAGGGACGCTTCAGATGTACCTTTTGGACATAAACGACAACGCACCTCAAGTGTTCCCTTCTGAGGTAGAAATGTGTGAGAAGCCAGATCCCAATGCCTTAAACATCACAGCCAGTGACCCCGACCTGAACCCCCACACCGGACCCTTTGTTTTTGAGCTTGTCAGTCGTCCATCAGAAATCCGTCGCAACTGGACCCTCATTCGTGTCAATGGTGCGTATGAAAATGTGTTTACTAGCTTCGTAAGTCTGTAATTCATCCAAAGATTAAACATGAGATTGTTTATGAACTACATTACTCCTTACTGGTATAGATTTTAATCATGTGTCAAGTATTCATCGAGCTTTAAGCATGTATTGGGTAGCAGAGGATAGCCTCAGTCAGGCAGCTGGAAGTTATCTAAAAACTCAGTCCAGAAGTAGAGGGGGATCCATCGCCTCAGCTGGGCAGCAGTGGGTCTCTATACTCAGCACTCTTTTACTGACCCTGTATTTAACCTTATTATGTTCCAGGTGAGGTCGCCCAGCTCCGACTAAGGATTGGATCCCTGGCTAGCGGGATCTACGAGGTTCCCATCACAATCACAGACTCAGGCATTCTGCCCATGTCTAACACATCAGTACTGAGGGTCAAAGTGTGCCAGTGTGATCACCATGGAGACTGTTTGGAAATGGGGAAAATAAATGCTGTTGGACTGGGAACTGAAGCTATTATCGCCATCCTCCTCTGCATTATCACACTATTAGGTGAAAATACGTGTGTGCGTGTGTGTGCGCGCGCGTGTGTGTGTGTGTGTGTGTGTGTGTGTGTGTGTGTGTGTGTGTGTGTGTGTGTGTGTGTGTGTGTGTGTGTGTGTGTGTGTGTGTCACATGTATGCGATAGTTCAGTGACTGTTAGAATTCCTTGAAGGATCCAGAGTTTCAGTGAAACCTCCTGAAATGCTGACAAAGGTTTTACACATATTAACCCATTCTAGCCAGATTCACACATTACCCAACATCTTCTCTAACAGAACACGGACCAGGTCAGTCGGGTTGTTCCTTGTTTTTCTTTGGTTGTTGCTGGTCAGTGGTGTTGTTTATTAGCTCATTGCACAATGGTAATGTACATCAGATAAATGTACAAGAATTAATTATAAAGGCAACTTTTCATCGGCTTCACCTTGACCAACGTTAAAATTCCATTTAAAGTAAAAAAACAAATCATAATCAAAAACTAGAATTCAGTAATTCTGGAGTCTGATGACTGTGGGAAAGACAGGGTTCTTTAGTATGTCCTGCATTTCACACGTCTGTACCTCCAGTCTGAAGGTGAGCATGAGAACAGGAGGTGGGTTGAGTCATTGATTATGGAGCTGGCAATCCTGAGGTCTTTTGGTGGTATATACTCTGAAGTCCTGGATTATGGGGTACCAGGCCCTCTGATACGAGCTGTTAGTTTCTTGTATGACCGGTGCCAGAGCTTGGTCCACGTTGCTGGCAGTAAGCCGGGCTCATTCCCAATGTTCATAACTTTTATGGACAGGATTTTAGGCACAGCCAAGGTGTTGAGGGGATCTGTGTTGGTGGCCTGAGGTGTCACGGTCTGCCTTGATCATCTCTAAGATGCCCGATTTGCTGCAGTTTTTGTGTTACAGGTGGGCTTGTCGGAGAGCCACATCTGATCCTGATCTCACTAATCAGAGGGCCAGGGGATTTAAAGAGCGGTGTGACACAACTCCAGCGCTGGTTGATACTCTCACCAAGGGTAGCTTCCAGCCTAGTCTTAGATCCTCGTGATTTATTCCTAAAGATCCTGTTGTTTTTGTCCTCAGTTCATCTCACAGTTGTATCGCCTACCTACGCCTGGAGTTGTTACTCCATGTCACGTCGTTCAGAATCCTCTGGCCTCCGCTCTCCACCGTCCGCCTGTCTCCCAACCTTCCTCCTGGACTCCTACTATCGCCATCTGCTCGTCTCCACCTTGTCCCACAGACTCAGCCACTTCCTCCCTCCCAGACCTGACCCAGTCCACCCTCACCTGCCTCTGGTCTCTGACCGTAAGAACTATTTTGAAGAATGTCTGTGAAGGTTCTCAGTCATCCAGGTCATTGTAGTCTAATGAGCTTGAAAGAAAAGCGTCTGGACTTCTTTGAGTTGCTTGAAGACGTTTCACCTCTCATCCGAGAGGCTTCTTCAGTTCTAAGGTCAAATGGTGGAGAGTCCCAGATTTAAACCCAGTGGGAGTTTCCCCCCGAAGAGGGAACTAAAGACCCCCTGATGATCTTCTGCGAGCCAAGGTGTGAGAGTGGGTGTGGGTCCATTTGCATCTAAAGGACAAAGGTCACTCTTTCGAGATTTCGAGGATGCCAACGTTCACATTTTGGATAGAGAGGACAGATGGTTTGAAAGAGGAGTAAAGGAAGCCATTTATGTCCACTGTGAGCAACCATCTTTGAACAGAGGCGGTGGTTTACGACACCAACTGTCTGCCATCTATAATCCAGTTTTGAGATCCCTTCCCAGATGCCTCAACGCCCACGCATATCCTGGGCCATCTGACCTCAGGAATTCACATGATAGGGTGGGGCCAGGCTTCACAATGAGCTCACCCGAAACTCTGGCTGAATAGGACCCACACCCACCCTCACACCTTGGCTCATAGAAGATCATCAGGGGGTCTTTTGTTCCCTCTTCGGGGGGAAGCTCCCACTGGGTTTAAATCTGGGACTCTCCACCATTTGACCTCAGAACTGAAGAAGCCTCTCGGATGAGAGGTGAAACGTCTTCAAGCAACTCAAAGAAGTCCAGACGCTTTTCTTTCAAGCTCCTTGGACTATTTTAAAGAACAGTTTTTACTCTTGGTTCTCTGGTTCCGGGTTGTTCTCACTTGTGTTTATTTCTCGTTTTAGTTTCCGGTTCCTTCCTGTTCCCGTTTGGAGCAGCGTCCTTAGTTTCCCTCACCGTTATTTAAATAAAATAATTATATTATTTTACTTACCTTTATTCTCCGTGTGTGATTCTTCATGCCCTGGGTCAAACAGCTTACCCACAACATGGCATGAGGATCAGGTCTCTGCTTTTTGCAGATGATGTGGTCCTGTTGGCTTCATCAGAACACGATCTCCGGCTCTCACTGGAATGTTTCACAGCCGAGTGTGAAGCAGCTGAGATGAGAATCAGCTCCTCTAAATCAGAGACCATGGTGTTTGAGTCAGAAAAGGGTAGAATGCCTTCTCCAGGTCAGAGATGAGGTCCTGTCCCCTAGCGAATGAGTTTAAGTATCTCGGGGTCTTGTTCACGAGTGAGGGAAAGATGGAGCGTGAGATAGGCAGATTGGTGCAGCGTCTGCAGTGATACGGGTGTTGTACCCATCAGTTGTGGTGAAGAGAGAGCTGAGCCAGAAGGCAAAGCTCATGATTTACTGGTCAATCCACGTTCCCACCCTCATCGAGCTTTGAGTAGTGACAGAAAGATTTAAATTGCGGATACAAGCGGCCTAAATGGGTTTTCTCCGCAGGGTGGCTGGGCTCTCCCTAAGAAATAGGGTGAAAATATCGATCATCCTGGAGGGGCTCGGAGTAGACCTGCTGCTCCTCCACATGGAGAGGAGCCAGTTGAGGTGGCTCGGGCATCTAATAGGCTGCCTCCTGGATGCCTCCCTGGAATATGAGGTTTTCTGGCCTGTCCAACTGGGAGAAGACCTAAAGGAAGACCCAGAACATGTTGGAGGTACTATGTCTTTCACTTGGCCAGGGAACGCCTTGGGATTCCCCCGGAGGAACTGGCCCAAGTGGCTGGGGAGAGGGATGTCTGGGCCTAACCTGCTTAGGCTGCTGCACCCTGCATTCTTATCAATCAATCAATCAAAGCTTTATTTATAAAGTGCCTTCCGCAACCCTGTCAGGAAGCCCAAGGCACTGAACATGGTACAGTACAAAGTTAAATAAAGTGAATAAATCAGAAAATAAAAGCAATTCAAATTACAGATTACAAATTACAAAAAAGGTGAAACATTCCAGTAGAAGACAAATGTGTAAAACAAGGGGAAAATTGAACCAATGAAAGCTGTGAGATAAAATCAACATAAATGACATCACATTCAGGAAACGCCAAGCGGAGGAGGTGTGTTTTTAGGCGGCTCTTAAAGACTGGCAGAGAGGGGGACAGCCTAACTGAGGGTGGCAACTGGTTCCAGAGTGACGGTGCTAGGACTGAGAAAGCCCGGTCCCCACGAATACGACACCTAGAACGAGGGACAGCGAGCAGGCCTTGGTCAGAGGAGCGCAGAGCGCGTGATGGGGAGTGTTTGTTCAGGAGAGTGGCCAGATAGGGGGGACCACCACCCTGGAAGAAATTAAAAACAAAGACGAGGAGTCTGAATTGTGAACGATAGCGAACCGGAAGCCAGTGCATGGAGGCCAGAACCGGACTGATGTGGTCCTGTTTCCTGGTCCCAGTCAGGAACCTGGCTGCGCTGTTCTGCACAACCTGTAGGCGACGCAGTGATGACTGACACAACCCTGCATATAGAGAGTTGCAGTAGTCAAGCCTAGAAATTACAAAGGCATGCAGTACCCGCTCCAGGTGGGCTCTCGACAGCATAGGCTTTATTTTTGCAAGACATCTCAGGTGAAAGAAACTGGACCGGATCACAGAGTTGATGTGAGCATCAAATTTAAGTCCAGCATCAATTTTCACCCCCAAACTGGTCACAACTGGTTTTGAGTATGGAGAAAGAGGCCCAAGTTCAACATGACGATCCACATTCCTGCTGTTGGGGTGAAAAACAATGAGCTCTGTCTTTCCCTCATTCAGATGCTTAACCACCGTCTGCAGGAGTTTGCTCTTGGTGCACAGCAAAACTATTCAGCACATTGCTAAGTTTTAAGATCTGCAGTGTTTCTGCTTGTTGAATCTACTACTACAGTGAGTGGACCCCGTTCTATAGTTTTTTTAATCCCAGGGGAAGGTTGAACAAGACACACCTTAACACAGTGACAGATAATAACTATGATTCAGTAGCTTCAGTTAATTTGATTTTATACATCAAAAAGCAGAAAAATGACACAGAGACACAGGCCTGGATGCTTGAAAACCACCATAGAGATGGTCCTTCAAAGGATCTCTACTACATTATCTTTTATACTCTAGGCTCCTCCCACTCAACAGGGCACACCTTTCAATGTATCAGTTATTCCAACTATGTGAGGGATCCAACAGGAGCCAGACCCCATTCTAGCTGGATAATAAATTACGTTATTCAAGGAGTGTTAATATTGCAACTAATCTGACATGCACATAGCTGAGCGGACAAACAACCCCAACATTATCTGAACAAATGAAAAGAAAGAAAGAAAACAATCTTATATATATTGGCTCTGAAAATAAAAATCATGAGGTGCTTCACAAGAACAAAAAATTTCATTTAAACATGATGTTTAAAAATGAGTTTAAAATATGGTTATAATGAGGAAAAATATATATAGTAAATAAATTGTTATTTTAAAATGTAAGGAAAAGGAGAGAGGACATGGACAGGAAAAAGGGAAATCGGTGGATCCCAGGCAAAGCGGAGTTGGTAGAAAGAGCAGAATCTGGAGAAGGTGATGATGAAGGTCACATAAAGCCAGCTTGAACAAGTAGTTTTCAGCTGCTTTTTAAAGGAGATCACTGAGTCCACTTGTCATGATGTGAGGGTGGAGATGGCGGACCAAGTGTGGTGGAGGGTTCAGGAGACAGGAAAGCAGGCACGGATGAAAAAATAAAAATGGTTTAATGGTGGACCGGGAGAGACGGGACAAAACACGCATGAACAAACAATGATCTGACGAAGACAGCAACAAGGAGGGAGGTATAAATACACAGGGAAATCAGGAACACATGGGCAGAGTAATGAGGGACAGGTGAGAACAATAAGGTTAATCAAGGCAGGAGAGACACAGTCAGGGAGGCCGGGGCGGATCATGACACCACTGATCTCAGGCTCAGGGGGAGAGAGTTCCAGAGTCTGGGGGCCACAGCAGCAAATGATCTGTCACCTTTGGTCTTTAGCCTGGTGCTGCACAACCAGTAGGCTTTGATCACTGGACCTCAGGGACCTGCTGGGGGTGTAGGGACTAAGAAGATCACCAATGTATGATGGTGCTTGTCCATGTAAGGCCCAAAGACCAGAACCAGGATCTTGAAATGATCCTGAAGTTGACTGGCAGCCAATGAAGCTGGAGGAGAAGTGAACAGGTCGTTGTAACTGTATGATTAAAGCTGAGGTCAATGTCACACAGGCCAGCACTCCATATTGGCACTAATTATCTAACAGCTCTGCAGTACTCTAAAGTTACATCACTCATAAGTCCTGTTGGTTTGATGATTATGATTATTCATTAATTTATTGTTTAACTAATCAGGTTGCTTATCATTTAGGATTGTTTAGGAATGTCTGTAGTCCCCCTGTTGAAGTGATAACACATCACTAACCTGTACTATTAACAAGCACATCGAAATATATCCTGAACCATTCATCAACTCAAAACATTAAGTGACGGGTCATGACAAGCTGTAAGTACGGTCACACAATCACTAACACTGTCCAGTTCATACTATACTGCCCATCAATGTTATGAACAGCACTCAATGTGTGAGTGTGTCAGGTTGTGGTCGCATGACCATGAAACTGCCCATAAAAGAAATATCCAGTCACCACTCAGAAATCTGTTCATTTATTCATTCCTTCTCCTCTCCTTTGTCCCTCTGTAAAACCAATTCTGTCGGAGTGACTTGTCACAAGAACAAACGGCCTGTCTTTATCATCCAGCGTCATCGCTTCTGTATCACATTTATACCTATTCTAGTTTCATTTTAAAGGACTTCTATTTATGAATATTAATCACGAAATGCTGTTAGTAGAAATGCTGATGCAACTAAACGTAAATGTGACTGGAGAGAGAGAAGTAGCAGGAAAATGGATGGGTAGCCCACATCACTTACAGGTGAATCTTGACAAATTAGAATATGGTGCAAAAGTTCATGTATGTCATTAATTCAACTTAAAAGGTGCAACTAATACATGTAATAGATTCATTACATGCAAAGCTTTCATTTGTTATAATTGGGATGATTGTGTCTTACAGCTTATGGAAATCCACATTCAAAATCTCAGAATATTGTGAAAAGGTTCAATTTTCTAGACTCAAAGTGTCCCACTAACCAGCTAATGAACCCAGAAAACCTGCAGAGGGTTTCTGAGCCTTTAGATGGTCTCTCAGTCTAAGGTGGATTACTGACATAAATGGACTTTTGTACCATATTCTCATTTTACAGTTTCACTTATATATTTATAACATAAATTACTGTTGCACTTTGATTCTTTTAATGAGCCATGACACTTATTATCATCTCAAGTTTTAATCAAGTATGATGCTAGTGTGCCCAGAGTGTGCGCATCTGATGTTACCAATTTAAAGAATTCTCAGGGTGTTTGTGTGTATGCTCACTCACCAGTCTTTGCTTGGTTTCTTGGTTAGTGCATACTTGATTTTTGTTGCCAGTCTTGTGCCAAGACCACGCTTTTGGAATTTTATCTACATTTACTCAGAAAACAGAAAGATAGTTTTTGCATCTGTTGAGGTTTGACTATTTCAGTGTTAAACTGGAGTCACATACCTGAACTGAACAGGTGTTGGAGGTCCTGAGACAAGTTTGGTCACATTCTGACTTCAGAAGATTTTTATCTTTAAAATGTCTGCTCACAATGAAAAAAGAAAAAAATCTACACTAAACATAGGAACACACTGTTGGGGTTAGTAGGTGAATGAATAATTTGTAAGCTTTTACTTACTTTTTGGATTCTTCAATAAATTCATAAATATGGAAATATTTATCAATTAATTAATTAATTTGGATATCAGAGATATCTACGGGGCACCACCCCATTAATAGGGGAAAATGAATGAATCCAAAACCTCTGGTTAGTCTGTCTGAAGTTCGTAAAATCCGTTTAGGAGCAGAGATTTTCAAATCCTCATTCAATCTCATTACACCACCTCAGAATGTGTTCACATTATTATTTCATTGTTCATTTGATAAACTAAGTTGGTTGATGTTGATTAATTAACGCTTCAGAAGGAGCTGAAGTGAAGTGATATATTAGTTAATAAATATAGCCAATTAAGATTTGGTCTCAAGCGACTTTGTGTGTTGGCTGAAAATCTCTGCTCCTAAACGGATTTTACGAACTTCAGACAGACTAACCAGAGGTTTTGGATTCATTCATTTTCCCCTATTAATGGGGTGGTGCCCCGTAGATATCTCTGAAATCCAAATTAATTAATAAATCGATAAATATTTCCATATTTACGAATTTATTGAAGAATCCAAAAAGTAAGTAACAGCTCACAAATTATTTGTTCACCTAATAACCCCAACAACACTGAAAACAGAACTCCACAAATATTTTGGCCTCCAAATTAAATCGCTCAGGTCTTTTAGACATCGCTGTCCTGTGGAACCTGGTTTTTAATTCACTTTTTTTTTTCATTTTAAACGTTTTTTTTTTATCTTTTTTTAAATCTTTTTTATACTTTAATTTGTTTTGTTTTTGTGAAGCGCCTCATGATTTTTACCTTGAGAGGCGCTATATACAAGATCGTTTTCGTTCTTTCTTTCTTATCTTTTTTGCTGTTCCTGGTTTTGGCTCTACAGTTCTGGTGCTGCTGTTTGTCATGTGGATGAAGAGGAGGGATAAAGAGCGCCAGGCCAAACAACTCCTCATCGACCCAGAGGATGACATACGGGACAATATCCTCAAATATGATGAGGAGGGAGGAGGAGAAGAGGACCAGGTGCGTACAGAAACAGAACCACACAGACACATAGAGATACATATATGTTTTTAACCAGTGGCCCTTTGAACTAAGATTAAGTTTACTCTGAAACTAGACCTGATCAGGCCTAATTTCTCTTCTGAATGTTCGTTCTGTGTATTGATTCGTAATCATTTTCTTAAAAAAAACATCAAATTACTGCACTGTGTTAAATAAGAAAAAAGAAGATGATTAAGCCTAATTTCTGTTTGCTGGAGAGTAGTTCATTTCTATATAAACTAGTTCCATTTGCCGATACTCAAAGCTGCCAGTGTCCCTCAAGTCCTCTGTAGACCAGTTAGACTGAGATCTTGACCCACTGAAGATGTTGGCCAGTCCTTTAAATTTCTGTTTATTCAATGAAAGTCTCTTATATCCATTTATACTATTTTATGATTAATTTAATCTATTCATTCATTTTCTGAATGTCTGGGTCAAATGTTTGCTTCAAGATGTTCTTTAGCAAACAACAGCAGAGGAAGTGTTTATTTGATGGCTTCACTTTGACTTTGGTTTAGAGAAGGCTGCATGGCAGAGCTAACATTTTACAAACAAAGGCCCACTCGGGGATAAATGTGTGTTATCTGGTTTTGCTGGTATCCCGACAGAGTGCTGTGGATGACTGAACAGTTTGGTTTGGATTTGTTGGGTGATCATAAAGCAGCAGCATGGAGATTTCTGCTCGCCTGTCCTGCACTTCTCAGTTGAGTCTAAATGCTGTAATTAATTTACTATGACTTTTAGACTTATTTTCTCTAAAAAAACAACCATGCAAGTGCAAACTGGTGCATGTTTTCACCTAGTGTTCCTCTAAACTGAGTGAGAAAACATGTTTTTATTGACATCTACATCAGTGATTTGTGCATAAACTTTCAAAGAAATAAGGTGTACCTTTTAGAGAGTACATAACTCTTTAAGGTTCTCAAGAGAATCAGGGACATTCACAGTGTCCTGCTGGTTTGCTGGTGTGCCTTCATCTAACTGCCAGAGTATTCTGATATTCTGGTGAACAAAGGCCAAGGTCAGTCCACACCTCGCTGTCTTTGTCCTTCAAAGGCTGCCTCGCTCTGTTTCCCAAGAGGCAGAGGCTTTTAGAATGGCTGTTCAACAACTCGGATGACATTCAGGTCAAAGACCAGGACAGCACTTCCTCTCTGGCTGCTGACTTCTTTTCACCAATAGAAGATAAAGAATGGATGCTAATGAATCTCAAAAAGGCTGTCACCCGCCCACTGTTAAGAACAGGCTTTGTTTGGAACCTTTTTCAGCAGCTACAAACCCATTTTTTGGGCCAAAAGTTTAGCCAGAAAAAGAAGATTTAGAAGCTCAGAGGATTGTGGTCATGCAATTAAGTGCTGCTGTTGGTCAGTAGAGTATTCTTGACCATTTTCAAGCTTTCACAAATACCACCTTACTGAACCAGCTTAGTTTCTCAAATGGCACGTTAATGCAAAGTAATGTAGGGAAACGTTCCATGCTGTTGAACCTGACTTCAGTTCTTGGTACTGTTGACCACCTGACCCTGTTAGACTGGCTGAGATGCTGGGCTGGTTTATCAGCTTCTGTTCTACAGTGATTGTTGTTTTGCAGGCTGTTTAGGGATTGGTTTGAAGACCAAGTTCACTATTTTTTTCAATACATGTCCAGTGGTCTCTGGTTTAAATTATTGCCTTGTGAGAAAAATGCTCTGACGCTCCGGTGTCAGGAAGTACAAGGTAGGCAGATGACTGAGGCGTAGAACATGGCAGGATTTGGAGTCTTATTTACTCTACCATTAACTCCTTTGACTTTGCAACGTTGATGTTTTATCTTCACAAATAACACTAGCCTGAAGGAGTTCTGCCATGTTGTGGATTTGCTAATGGTTAGCCTCTACTAGCCAAAACGTGCTCTGCTCTCTCCTGGCCGCTAAACCAACCACAGCTTTTCCCCGTCGCGAGCCAAGGTGGGTCCATGAATGCTGATCTTTAGTGTGACATAGAACTGACTGGCTTTTCTAATCCAGGCGTTTCCCTGTTTTCTATCAGTGGCTAGTGTAGGAAATAAGGGTAGAAGACAATTTTCATGTTGAGCCTGTATGTGAAATTCATATTGACTTATCATATTTAGAAAAGTAAAAAACAACAACTGAAGAATGGTTTCTCAGTAAAGTGTCAATGTCTGCTCCAGAAAATATTACAGAATTTGGGGGGAATTTTGTTGGTACCTACTTTGGTGGTTGAGCTTCAGTCATTTTGAAACAATATCATGTGTTACTAAACCAAGTTTGGATTTCTCTCTTCATTAAGTGGAGTTCTAACATGTTTATGTCTGTCTCTGTGTGGGTGCTTAGGACTACGACCTGAGTCAGTTACAGCAGCCTGATGCCCTGGAGTCAGAGTGTGTCAAAGTTGGTATCAGACGACTGGATGAAAGGCCCCTTCATCATGATCACCAGTACCCCATTCGCTCTACAGCCCCCCATCCAGGAGATATAGAAGACTTCATCTATGAGGTACAACAGCAGTATGGGTCTTACTGGGTTTCTAATGTGGTGACTCAGCTGAAAGTCCATCTAAAGATGAGGTCTGGTCCCTACTAGTCTCCTACAACCATCAGTCTAGTTGGAGTGATTTTGGTGTTGCAGTGTTTTTCAAACCATCCCAGGGTGGTTATGATGAAAATACTTGCTTTCCTGCCCCTGCTCCAGTCTCCCACCTCTACTCTGCCCTGCCCCGAATCAAGCAGTGAGTGTCCAGTCTGAAACAACCAATCAAATTATAATAATCATTTAAATACAAAAAACTTCTCAAGGCTAAATTATTAGATCCAATATTTTTGTTTCAATTGCGTGACTTCAGAGTGCTTAGTGATCAAATGACTATCATATTAATTATTCAAATGTATTTATTATGTTTTTTATCTGTGATTTCATCACAACATCACAATATATTATACTATACCAGCTTTATTTGTAGGGAAACTTTAAACACCAACAGCATCCAAAAAAAAAAACAACAACAAAAACACAATACAATGATGCATGTTTTTGTTAGCCTCATGTGTATTAGCTTTAATTACATTGGTATTTGTAAGTGAGCCTTTATAAAGCATCTGCCAAATAGATAAATATGAAGCCAAACTGAATAATGCATTTAACCAAACAGGTTAAAATAAAAATGGCCATGTATTAAACCTACAGTGATCCCTCGCTACTTCGCGGTTCGTTTATCGCTGATTCACGACTTGGCGGATTCGCTGTATTTTTCACCGATTTGCGGTATTTTTCTATGCGAAATATCAAGAAATTCCTGGGGTTTTTTCTCACCAATTTCATCATAAAATGCACTTTTTGTAATAAAACTATAAAAAAAACAAGTAAAAATGTCTTTCTATGTAAAGGGAGGGTTTTAAAAGTCGGAATACTGAATACATACCTGTTAAATAAATACTGTAAATATGGTGTCCCTACTTCGCGGATTTTCACCTATCGCGGCCAGGTCTGGAACGCATCTACCGCGATAAACGAGGGATCACTGTGTTTGCAATAATAAAATCAATTGACTTCATTTGATATGAACTAAATGTAAAATTTTCTAAAAATTGAAAGTGTTATCTCTGGTTATGGAGAACAGATGTGATGGTTTTGAAATCCGACAGGGAAGAGGCCCTTCCGATGTGCAAGAGAAAGTATTTCCAACATTTTTAGGGCTAAAACAGCAAAGGTGCAGTCTTCTCTGAGATTACCCAAGAACTGCTGATCAGCTGACCCAAGGGGACGTGAGAGGGTGTAAGGATGAATTAGCTCCAATGTGACCAAACTTTTGTGAGCCATTTAAAAACTTGCACAAGCATTTTGTGCTCCCTGAAACTGAGAGATACAAGAATCATTGACTCCCATATAAAGCATGCAATCCAGCCAAGTGGTAACAAAAGAGAGGATTGGTGTTTCAATATTCTGGTGAGAAAGAATTGGCTTTATTTTAGCCAGCTGCCTCAAGTGGAAAGATTGGATTTAAAAACTGCTCTGATCTGATTTTCTTACTTGAGGCCAGTGTCTTTTAAGCCCCAGATTTGATGCAGTTGGTCTGATGTAAGAGAGCCAACATTTATGTGAGGGGTCTCAGTTGGGCTTCCAAAGACAATCACAACAGTATTTTTCTCATTTAAAAAGTTCCCAGCCTTCAGTCTCTTAGAATTTGGTCCCAATGAAGCGTACTACACGGTGATTGAGGAGGTGAGGATGGACTCGATGACTGCGGTGTAGAACTGCTTCATCACTGTACTGGCAGGTTGAATTTCTTCAGCTGCCTCAGGAAGTACATCTTCTGTCGGGTCTTTTTTATGATGGAGGTGATTGTGGGCTTCTACTTGAGGTCTTAGGTAATGGTGGTGCCCAGGAAGCGACATGGGAGAGGGGAGAGAACACAGCTCTGAGGGGAACCGGTGCTGGTGGTCTGAATGTAGAGAGATTTTTCCCCAGCCTGACTTGTTGCTCCCTGTCCATCAGGAAGTCAGTGATCAGCCTGCAGATGGGGTCAGGCACGATCTGGGACAGTTTGTCTGGGAGGAGGTCTGGGAGGATTATATTGAAGACAGAGCTGAAGTCCACAAACAGGATCCTAGCGTAGGTACACGAGGAGTCCAGATGCGGCAGGAAGAAGTGTAGAGCCATGTTGATTGCATCATCTACAAACCTGTTGGCTCTATAGGCAAACTGCAGGGGGTCCAGGAGGGGGGGGGGGCTGTGAGGGTATTGAGGTGAAGGAGAACCAGGTGCTCAAATGACTTCATGACCACAGATGTCAGAGCCATGGGTCTGTAGTCACTGAGTCCAGTGATCCTTGGTTTCTTGGGGACAAGGACTATGGTGGAGATCTTGAAGTAGACGGGCACATGAGATTCCTCTAGGGAGGAGTTGAAAAAGTCCATAAACACTGGGGGCAGCTCTTCAGCACAGTACTTTAGAGTGGCAGGAGACATGCCATTAGGGCCCGGGCTTGTTGTGTGTTTAGACAGATGTGTAGGGTTGTGGTGGAGGTGTGTGATGTGAGGACCTTCTGGGTGGGGGATGAGGAGGAATGTGCTGAAGGTAAATTCCACAGTGATGGTGATGGCTCTGGGGCGGAGGGTAGGTAACCAGTGTCTCTATTGCTGGGTCTGGATGAGGTGTGAGACCTGCCTGATGGCTCATCAAACCGGCAATAGAAGTTGTTTAAGCTGTTGGCCAATTTCTCCCAAATATCTATCAAAGTTGGCATGTTCTTCACACAGTCATCCAGTTTTTACAGGTCTGACATTATGTGCAGACTTTGACAGCAGAGGTCCATCAAAAATTTCTAAAAATCCAGTTAACAATGTCCTAGTGGTCAATCCAAGTGTTAGGGTGTGCTATCAGTTCTGTACAATTGAATTTCAGATTTACAATGTTCCTCAATAAGCACCATCAGATCTAAATGAGTTCAAAACCTCAATTTCCACATTAACGATGAATTGTGGGATTCTATTTTAGTACAAATTCACTCCACATCATGGGCCTACATCTGTCCAGGATTAATCTGACATGCATATATCCAGAGACCCAACCTGTGTGAGGTCTACATTCTTGTCTGTCGATGTCCTACGGTAGGACACTGTCTGTCCAAGATTTGGTTACAGATTTGGTGTGCTAGCCTGCAAACCCCAATGAACTGAAGCAACATTGGAAAATGGGGTGGACCAAAATTCCTGCAGAACCACGTGAGAGACTGATAAAAGCAGACACAAGCTGACTACTGAAGTTCCCTCTGCTAAAGGAGGTTCCATCGGGTCAGCATGATGAATCTTTTATCTACACTCGTTAGTTTGTTAGCTTGTTAGGTTGTTTGGACTTAGTGGAACTGTGATCAATCAGAGAAACACTTTAATTTAAAGGGGTTCTATAATTCAGAACCACATTATTCTTGTTGAATTTGGGCAGGTTTGGATGTCAAATGTACCATACCAAAAATGTCTGTACTGTCTCCTAGCTGCTCTCCTGTACATTTTTCTAATAGCCACAGATTAATGGTTCAGTCTAAGCAAAGCTGTGATATGACGTTATCGGAGCTGTGGCTCCTTTCTTTAGGAGGAAAGAACCATGAACCTGGCCATGTGGTAAGTAGCAGCTATGTTAGGGGAGGGGAGATTCTGTAGTGACGTCATTTATGCGACGTGCCGATGTCTGATTTGTAGTCATGCTAATTACTAACATTTACAAGCTGATAAATCTCATAGTACGTGACAGGCGTGGTCGAAACACACTTCATTACTTTTCATTTGTATTGAAGTACAACATGTGTACTTCCGCCGTGGTCACGTGACACGGGAGATGACGTTATATTTATACGAATAAGTTTCAATATAAATATACAACAAGCTTTTTACCTTTTTAATTGAGTATATATTTGTTAAATTAAATATGTAAGCGAGTTAATACCAAAGCTGCAGCTACTAAGCAACAAACCAACCATAGATATCGTCTTTGGATCTACAAAAACATTTCAGATATCAGCCCGTTAGCAACAATTAGTTGACTCACATTTAAACTTGAAATTTGCCCCCGAAGTAGCTACCGGCTTCTGATCCGCCATCCTTTTGAAAAGACGTCTTCGTGTATTTTGGGAAATTTTTTACCAAGGCTAGGTTACAAGACACCTCCCGTGTATCCTTGCTCAGCTAGCTAAACAACTAACAATTGGAGAACACACGTCTCGGTTGAACATGAACATTGGAACACACCTTGGCGGTTCCTGATGACGTATCTCCTAGGCAACCGGGGCGAGGCCAAGACATCAAGGTGAGGTTCCTCGGCATTGAGAAACACCCTACGGCTCCCTGTGGTGTTATATTCTCTTCTTCTTTGTTGATTTGGCAGACTGCATGTGTGGTGGCCATTTCAGTAAAGTAGCATAAATCTGTTAGTTATACATTTCTTTTAGAATTTCTTATCATTCCTTTTATAATAAGTGAAGTTTACAATTAAAATGTGTTAATTTTAAATTTTTTGGTAAATTGATGTAGTTGTGAACTTTTTGGACACGCCTTAGTCATTAAGCTGATTAGTAGCACATGGGGAGGCGTCTGGAAAATGTTTGTTTGCCAAGTGTCAGGGGAGATGGGAGGATTTGGTAAAATGATTTTTTGACCATTTTTTAGACCTGATAATTTAATTTAAGGTTAATTTTCGTTGGATGAAAAGTAGAACATTTTGAATGAATTTTGAACTTTTTTTTTTTTTGGGAAGGATAAACCATTTATAAAATTTGCAAGAAATCAAGTCTAAAAGCTCGTGCTTAAAGGAAATCACCCATTCTCACCAACGGCCTTTAGTTGGAAATCGTTTTTTGGAAGTTTAAAGGCCGTGACAGCATGCTTCCACGGCGAGCTGCTGCTCCCTGCTGTCCCTTTCAAATTACATAATTTCAAAGAACAAACATAAAACACATTACATTGAGTATGTCCCTAAACAGCTACTGTATTTTAAGATGACGCCTAACTATGGAGCCCCGACCACTGTTTATGTAAATAAAAATTTTTTAATTTCAAGCTAATAGGAATAGACGCAGATGACACTGGTGAGAAATATTAATGAAAAAGGACAAGTGTGTGAACAGGATACACAGAATTTGATGGTAAACAAGTAAAAATATTGTCCCTCAAACTCAGTCGAGAGGAGCCATCTGGTCAGGATGCCTCCTGGTGAGGTTTTCTGGGCACGTCCTAACGGGAAGAGACCTAGAGGTAGACCCAGGACACGGTGGAGGGACTATGTCTCTCATCTGGCCAGGGAACGCCTTGGGATTCCCCCGGAGGAGCTGGCCCAAGTGGCTGGGGAGAGGGAAGTCTGGGCCTCTCACCTTAGGCTGCTGCCCCCGTGACCCGACTCCGGATAAGAGGATGAAAATGGATGGATGGATGGATGGATGGATGGATGGACGGATGGACGGAAACTCAGTCATGTTTATGTTCATGTATTTGGCAAACATCTTTGTCCAAAGCAGCATTAAATGTACCAATGCAGTTACTGCTGAGGATAACAACAAACATCTTGGAGGGAGAACACAGTCAGGCTCCGTCAGAGGGGAAGGGGTAGTACAGTGCTTGTGGGGTGATGGTTGGCGTTTAGGGCATGCTGGGTAATCGGCTGAACCTCTTCATCCAGACACAGACAGCATCTGCTCGACCTGACCTAAATCCTCCTCTTCTCTGTAGTCCACCATAATCCCTTCTTCCCTCTTTTTCCTTAGCTTGCCCTAGTATTCGTCTGGACTCTTTCACACAAATATTAAGCATCTTTTTACTTAATCTCTCTTACTGGGATGCCGGTCCACCTCTTCAGTCTGGTTCTCTTGGGGCTGAAGTAAAAGGAGTGGAACTTTACATATTCAATCCTGGTTATCTTTTCAGGTAGTCTCCGTAGTTGAACGCTAGACTTAAATCGCTCAGCTTTGCTATGTAATAACCTTAAACCTTCTACACAACTATTATATAAACATGGGATTACTTTAATCCTCTGCTGGAGACTAAGAGTCCGGAGGCTTGCTCAGCTCTAGACTCTGGTCTTAATCACATCACGTGAAATATCTCCTTTTCTAACCATGAAGGTATCTACTTTCAATAGAGGTGACGATTCTGCTCCAGTGTTCAGTCTTCACTGGTGGGTGTCCAATCTGAGTCTAGGTGTGCGAGCACCACATCATGAAGGAAGGGTTGTGGTCAGGGGCAGATTTAGGACTGAAGAAGATCCGGGGCTTAACACACACACACACGCGCGTGCGCACACACACACGTGACACGCACTAGTCAACATCATATATGTCTTGCACCACATAATTTTTAATCTGAAGCTGCATATTAAGCATTTTCAGGGCAGAGTTTTGTTCCTGTTAGTGTTTAGTGTGAGATGATAGTAAATATTCCCTTTCTTTCTCCAACAACGTTACCTGATAGCAAGCTAACTTTAGGCAAACCAGCAGCACAACAAATATTTTCAAATAAGACTCACAAACCTGAGTCAACACCAGTCTCATCAAAGCTGGGGTTCTGTCGTTGTACTTTTGGTCTAAAAAACGTCCTTATGTCCATCTTCACTCATGCGTTTCAGGCAGAGACTGTAGAAGAAGCCGGCTGCTGAAGGGCTTCTTCTTCAGTGGTGGAGGCTCAGGCAGGCTGTATACATACTACTGCTAGCTGCTCCCTCTCTGTTGGACTTTGGTACTGCATGTTACTTCCACGATTTAGATCCGGGGCTTTTCATAGAACATCCGGGGCTTCAGCCCAAGTAGCCGGGCCTAACGCCGCCCCTGGTTGTGGTCCCACTTTTGTGGGGACTAATCAAGAGTTCATAAAGGTTCTTGGTTCTTGGTCATTGGGTCCACATCTGGTTGTCATTCAGTCATTGTCGTCTTTTGGCTGTTTACCTCTGATCATAACAAATGAAGAATTTCCCTTTGCTCACCTTCTTTTCTTCATCTTCTTTACAGGGCCTGAAGGCTGCAGATCATGACCCCACTGCCCCTCCTTATGACTCCCTGCTGGTGTTTGACTATGAAGGGTCTGGGTCTACAGCTGGCTCCCTCAGCTCGCTGCACTCCTGCTCGAGCTGTGGAGACCAGGAGTACAATTACCTCAGCGAATGGGGACCACACTTCCATAAGCTGGCAGACCTGTACGGTGGAGGAGACGATTAGCACTCTATCACTCCCACCCTCCCCACCCACACTTCAGAGCTCAGGTAGCGGGTGGGGGTCGAACAAATAACATTTGGATCTCCATTACTGAATTTCCTTTCTACAGCTTGTTAAAAGACTTCCTGCCTGTTGGGGGCAGTTGATGACAGAAGGGTCCATGCTGACTCCTGGCCCAGCAAGAACTGCTACTGACAGGTATTCAGGACTGGATCTGAGTATTAGCACTCGTGCTAAAACTGACTGTGAGCCTTCATTACTTAATGGAGGTGTAGAGCCTACAGCCATGCTCATTTACACTTGAATCTTAGCGTACAGCAGCATTTGGAGTCAAATGTGCCTTTTTGTAAAATGATTTGATTGTGTTCGCTTTTAATTTTGTATGTTGATTTAAAGAACCTGGGTTTTGCTACACCGGTCAAAAGAGCACTTTGCCATTATGAATGAACTCGTGTGTTTGTGCATGCCTGCGTGCATGCATGCGTGTGTGTGTGTGTGTGCGCGCGCGCGCGCGCGCGCGCGTGCGTGCGTGCGTGCGTGTGTGTGTGTGTGTGTCTGTGTGTGTGTGTGTGAGAGAGAGTTTCCACCTGCTTTCTTGTATAGGGAGTCTAAGTCTCCTCTCCTTCCGGTCGGCTGCTGGGTCCCTGGAACCAAATAAAAAGTGAACGGAGCTATAAGAGCTTTCTAATCCGTTTTGCCTTACGCCCTGAATCACGCATATGTTGTACTTCAGTTTAAATGATAAATAATTATGTGTTTTGGACTATGTCTGTCACTTAATTTAAGATTCGTCAGCTTGTAAAAACAAATTTTATTAAAATGACTCCAGATCAGAAGTTGCATATATGACGTCGCATCAGAATCTGATCTCCACATGACATGAGCAGGTGTAGAGAGGGTTTCTCCATGTTTACTGCTCATTATTTCACCCTGGAAGAAGGATTCGAAGCTCACTAAACTCACAGCTATTTTTCTTCTTCTTCTCCTTGCCTGGTTGGATGACATCAGTTTGGTAAGACGAGCAGTTGTAGTCCAACATTATTTATTTTGTTTTTTACACAAAACCTATAGTAACTTTGGCCACAACAACAAAATTTGCCTTCAGAATTCACGGATATCATATGTTAAATCCCTGGCATTTATCAAACTGGATCAGAAAATATCTTTAATCTGCTCCTCTTCTTTTTTTTTTTCTTTTTTTTTTTTTTTTGGCAGAAGGGGACCCATTGTTATGCTCTGCGTTCCCCTCATGTGTCTCCTTGTGCTCTGTGTGTCCTTAAGCTTCCTCAGCCCACTTCAGGTTCTCCTTATGTGTCTTCTTGTGTTCCCCAGCTCCCTCTAGGCTTCCCTCATGTTTCCTCCTAGTCACTCCCTTGTAGTTCCTATGGGTTTGTATTAGTCCTCCTCACCCCTCTAGTCATTAGTTGTTTATCTTTGCCCTTAGTCTTTAGGTTTAGTTATTTAGTGTTTGATAGGTTATGCTTTATCTTCCCCCTTGCTTAGTTAGTTCTCCATTTAGTTTATTGATGGCACCTGTCTTCCCTCTACACCTCACACCTGTCGCCTGTTCCCCTGATTGCTTCCCTCTGTGTTTAAAACCCCTGTCTTGTACCTCAGTGTTTGTTGGTCCATTGTCTTTGTCAGCGTTGTTCTGTCCTCCTCAGGAACTCCAGGTTCTTGCTCATGAATGAGCTTTGTTTCTGTAGTTCAGTTTTTTCTGGATTTTCGGTTTGGCTTCCTGCTCCCTTGGATATTTACCCACCATCCTAATAAAAGGACTTCCATTCATTCAACCATTCCTGCCTGAGTTGTCACATTTTGGGTCCAATCCTCCTGCTCTCAGCGTGACACCCATGGTCTGGAAATGGATAGGCATGACTTAGGCTCCCTCTATCTGGTTAGCAAGAGACGGTGGAAATCATTTCTATGAAAACACACTGAACAGATCATGTAAACAGCAAAGTCTACTTGAAATGCTTTGGATAATTCTACCAGGAAAAACGTTGGTTTTCTGAGCTGCTCTTGGTCTTTATTTGGTCGTTTGAATACAAGTGCAGATTTTATTTGTAAAATCTAAATGTTCACAGAAAATTCAGCATTGTCAAAAGTGATTATTCCTCTTTTGTTAATGTTGTTTTCCTTTTCTTTTTCTTTTTCTTTTTTTTTACCTTACCTGAACATGACATAAAACCTTAGAATACAGGAGCTCCAGTTGATTGGAACTAAGCCCAGTCATTGAGTCGACACAAACAAAAACGGATTTTGTATTTTCGTAGAAAACTGAATTTCATATATACTGGTTTCAAATATGTATAAAACTATGTTAAATCCTGTGTGTAATCCCTGCACTTGTTGGACACCACAGGTTATGGGACCCATGAGGTTGAAGGAGGTCTAAAGGGCAATGCTGGGTCTCCAGAAGCTGAAGAAAGGTTTGGGGTGTATGCAGTGTGCAGCAGTGGTGGTTGCTGAGGCAAAAACGTGGGCGGTATTTTAGCAAGATACTGGAGAGGGGTTCTGGTTGATAGTTGAACCTCACTTCTCATCCTGGCTGTGGAACCATAGACTAGCAGCAACCTTCTCGGAGTTCAAGGATTTTTCCAATAGCCCTTGACAGCTCCATACATTTCCGATATACCAAATAGCCGCCCACTCCAATTAGCAGAAATCTGTAAATCATAAATCCAAAAATCCATCATCTTCTACAGTACATCCTCCACGGAAAGTAGTGAAAGACACATAATATTCCACTCCTTCCAGGAATCCAAAAGGTACCCAACCATTTGTATTCCATCCGGACATGTGGGAGCTCCTTTACAAAATTTTATCAATTGCATTCAAAGACCTGTTTACCAATTCCATGGTTTTTATTTTTTTAATTTCCAGGAAGAATCCAAAGAGTCGCTCTGAGACAGAGACAGGCTAGAGACCCTTAGGATGATGAGGGGCAGGAGAGAAGAGAAAAGCGTCTCATCACTGAGTTCCAGAAAGAAAGATTTGCCTCACACACACTTGAGGAAGTTAACTCTCCAGATCCTTTGATATGCATGTGTATCATTGTGGCCCAGAACTCAAACACCTCCCAGATAAGAGTGTAAAATTCCCACTGTACGTTTCTGTAACTGCCAATAGTTTCCCTGGATTAACAATGACCACTTCTCTACCCCAAGGCCAAACTCGTGTGGAAAACAACTTTTATTTATGTGAGCTAGTTAAACTCAGTTGAACTGGTGAATAAAGGCAGTTATAATATATATATCGATATTGCGTGTCAAGGGCCATTCAGTTCCTGCACCAAAGGAGTGTGAGTCTGATTCACGTGGCTTGCAGAAGGTCACCTATCCCAGATGGAAGTTGCAACAGAGCTGCCCTTTGACATTGATACTGTTTAGACAGAATGTCTCGGTGCAGCTGTTGGATGGAGGCTGTCTAGTTTGGTTACTAGTTTTTGTTTCATTTTTGTGCAAATGTTGCAGTCCTAGCTTAATCAAACTACAACCTTCTGATCCTACAGCGGGAGGTTTGCAGCCAAGTGTGAAACAGCTGGAATGAGAATAAGGACATTTTTATCAAAGGATGAGCTTTTCTACCAGAAATGGGTCAATTTTTTAAGTCTGGGTTGGCAGGAGAAGTTCTTTCTTAAGTGGAGGAGCGTAGGTTTCTCAGAGTCTTCTTCACAAGTGAGAAAGAGAGGGATGATGAGATCAGGGCAGAATCTGCAGTCACTATTCCAGCCCTCGTGGTCATAAGCTCTGGAAAATGTTCTTAAGAGCAAAAGGGAAGATGATGAGACAATATGTTCTACCTTTACAAGATTTGGTTTGAGTTAGACTGTTATTTGTTGGATTTTTTTTCGTTACTTGCTGAGGCTCAGTCTGATCAATTAAGTTTGTTTGTTCTCAAAACCTGACCATATGTAGACCCAGAGTTGTGCATCAAAATTGTGTTTTGCTGGTTTGCTTTTCCAAAGCTGGTGAGAAAATATACAGCGAGGGTAAATTTTTATACTTTCTGATTTTTTATGTATTTGGTACGTTATGCAGCCCATCTCTTCATCACTAATCAACAGTTTATTTTTTGTAGCAGATCCATCATGATAAACTCTTGTGAGATAAATACACAAATGACGTTTCTTCTGTCTGCTGGCTCAGTGTTCTCTTTATCTGACTCCTAACTGTAAAATGAATTATGTACAGATTGTATTTTTGTTCTCTTCTTTTGGCTGTGGACATGCTAATATCTTGAATACTGATACAGTATATCTGTCATTTGGATCACAAATAAAGTGTTTTTGCATGTTTTTATCTTTTCACTAAGGTTAAAAAGCATTTCTTTGATCTTTTAAAGTAAACACAAGTAAACTTTTCTGAGTAAACCATCTGAAACTGAATGAGAAGCTGTTCTGACTTCAGCTTCATATCTTCATACAATTATGATTTTAAATCCTCTACAAAGATTTTCAAATGAAGACTGTTCTAGCACACCACCCTGCACTGCAGCCATCAGTGTTTATAACTAGACAGAGGAACGCAACACTGAAACTAAAATTCACACAACTGCCCCCTAGTGGCTGGCTGCAGTATAAGAATTAAACCACTGGGATGTGTTTCCAGGCGTTGACTCCTGAATATTTATATTCCTGTTTCTAACACATTCGACTGTAATTAACGAATGAATGCTAAAAGTGGCTGATTAGTGGGGACTTTCAGGCAGCATCTCTTTAGTTTTGCCACACTGCTGACAAAGCAAACTCCTCTACCTTTTCTTGACTTCAATAAATCAGCATCAGGCTTATTGAAGGATCATCAGTGGGATTCATGCTGGTTTTGCTCATAGAGAAAGTTGCTGATGTCTCTGTTCCAATGAACTCAAACATCATCTGTGCTTTCCTGAGGTATAGAAAAGTGTGCAATCACCTGCCCTGTTTGGGAACCAAGAATTACCACTCACTCTCATTCAGTTTTTTCTGCTGAACAGGGTCACCATGACACCATGCGTCATGAGACGTGGTGGGCAGCATGGACTGCATGGTTGCCAGTCCCTCACAGGGCTACAGAGACACAGTCAGTCACACACTCACACACCTAGGGTTAACAGTTAACCTAGCATGCACACTTTTGGCCTTTGGGAGGAAAAACGGATTAGCTGGAAAAAGCCACGCATCCTTTTCTCTGGGTGCTCCAGTTTCTTCCCACCGACCGAGAACATGCAGATCAGGTTGATTGGAAACTTAAAATTACCTTTATAGGTGTGTGTGTGTGTGTGTGTGTGTGTGTGTGTGTGTGTGTGTGTGTGTGTGTGTGTGTGTGTGTGTGGCCCAGTGATAGACTGGTGACCTGTCTAGGGTGTGCACCACCTCTTGCCTGGTGATTGCTGGAGTTAGACACCAGCTCTCTGTGATTTAGATAAAGGATGGAGCCAACACCTGCATGGGGAGAACATGCAAACTCCAGGAAGAAAATCTGCAGTTGGGATTCAAACATGAAACCTTTTTGCTGCAAGGTAACAACGCTACCAACGCTACCAACTGCACCATCATGCAGCCCTGCTGTTAAAATTGTGGCCTCAATTTAGTTGTTATTCCAAAGGTTGAACAGTTCTGTGTACTTACTCTGCCCATGTTAGGTAACCATCATCAAACACCAAGAAAAGTAGAATGTTTATCAATCCAGGTGAGGAAGCTGAGGACAAACATGCCTAGTCCCAGAACTCTAAATGATAAGAAATTAGGTCTTTCAGTTCGTCCTCAACTGTTCAATCTGCCAGTATCAGTTGACTCCAGTCCTCATAAATATAATTCTCCTGAGAATCACAGAGCAGGCATTGGTCAGACCAATGCCTAACTAGTGACTGTCTCATTAAAAAAATAAATGAATCATTTACTACTCGCACTTTGACACGTTTATCAGCAGGAAACACCTGGCAGTTAAGCAGGAAAACTCTCACCCAGAGGATACATCTGCGGATCAACTCTATCTAGAAGACAAGACTTTACATGGCAATCACTATGGATACAGGTCTGAAATGTTTTATTTTTTGTTTTATTCAATTCAATTCAATTCAAGTTTATTTATATAGCGCTAAATCACGACAGGAGTCGTCTCAAGGCACTTCACATAATAAAAATTCCAATTCAGGTCAGTTCATTAAGCCAATCAGAAATAATGTTTCCTATATAAGGAACCCAGCAAATTGCATCAAGTCACTGACTAGTGTCAGTGTCTATACAGCAATCCTCTTTTAGCCTAAATGAAAAATCTACTGTCTGCAAAGATCTCACAATGACAGACTAATTTTAATCTTGTCCCTGTTTCTCAGCTTCACTCATGAGGTTTATTATCTCTTGTAAAATTGTTGTTCGAATGTCATTTGTGTTTGTGTCTGAGTGCATGCGTGTGTGTGTGTGTGTGTGTGTGTGTGTGCGTGCATGCGTGCATGGGTGCGTGCGTGTTTGTGTAAGTAGAATTGCATAGAAATTTAGATTTCCAACTAGAAGGCAGCAAATACTCTAATCCAGCTGTAGTGTATGGATCTGAGCACCTTTCATTTTTCATTCTGATCAATATAGAATGAATCCACATGAGTGAATAGCAGGCTCTTCTCATTGACACACTTCTAATTAAATATGGAAATTGATGCAAATACTTCCTGCAGCAGTGATTCACCTCTATACACCCTCAAAAAGCTATGTTTATTCACTGAATTTGGTCAACTGGGAATTTTAGAGTTTTGGTTAAAATACCTAGCCATTCTTTGTTCTTAGCTGTGTGTATGTGCAGCACGTGGATTTTCACTGTGTATCAGACTGACTGCAGCCCAGAGCAGCTGATGAGTCAGTGTCATGTTGGACCAGAACATCCTCTGTGACTCTAAGTATAAACTCACTTAAAACTGCATAATTTACAGTGTCTGTGTTACAGTAGTGGCATAATCACAGATTATGGACAGATGGATGAGATGAGTACTGGTACAAGGCTAAATGCATTCCACTGCACTGGAACCTTCTCCTGGGTCAGGACTATCGACATATACATATATGGACAATGGGTTTCCATAGACTCCAATAACACATTTTGAAGAAAAATGGGAGGTGGCCACCACCGCCATTTTTACCGTGTCACAGGTTCCGTCAAGCCCAGACAAGGGAAGAGAGGTGGAGCTGAGGTTGGGGCTGTAAGGCTGGGATCAACTGACGACACCCGGTCGAACTAGCTACAAGCTAACCTGAAGCTAACCCAAAGCTAACGCGGAGGTGGGAGCTAAGCTAACGGAGGTAGCAACCTAGCTACAACCGGAGTTAACTGTGCACAACACCAGAGCTTCTGAGTCAGAGATACGTCGGGCTGACCGCTGGGTAAAACCGGGTGGAACACAGAGGTCTCCCGAGAGCTCCACAAGCCGATGGTCAGAACCCAGCTCCACCAACATGTTATATTTCAACCCATTTTCTAAAGTGCAGCATTATGTTAAATGCACTGGGTTTTACCCTATTACATTTAAATTTCATGGTTAAACAGTACATGTTAAAATCTAAGCTCAGCTCGGCAGTGACCTAAAATACATAAATTTTATTTTACTTACCGAAAAAAATGAAGTGGAGACTCCTTGGACGCTCTGTTAGTGCAATTAATGCCACAGCAAGTCATTTTGTCCAACAATTGCACAAAAAATATCCAAAAATAACACACAAACGCTACAACTAATGGTCTAAGTTGAGAGACTGAAAATGACCGAACAGTTTTCAGGCGAGGCCGAGGCTCAGACTGAGCTAGGCCTTTCCCCGGAGCTCTGTGGTCACGTGGGTCTGATGCTCATTATTTATACAGAATTTTAGGCTTTTAATATGAGTGAGAAAAACATTCACCCCCCCCCCCCCCCCCCCAGAGTTGTCATGAGTGTAAACTAGATCACTTAAACCTAAAACATGTTTTGGAAACAGGCTGTAAACATGTTTATTTCTGCTGTGAAATTGGTGTTTTTAACATGGGAGTCAATGAGGATATGCTCGCTTCTGACACCAGCCCCCAGTGGATGAGGGTGGAACTGCAATTGTTGTCACTTCCGCATTGTGGGGGCTTGGTCAGGACACAAACCGAATAGGTGCTGACCCCAGCTGGACGTGCAGCCGTGTTCTGGTTTACTCTCTCCAGCTGCTTAAAGTAGCAGCAACACAGTACAGTTTATCATATCATTCTCCTGAATGTCTATTGTGTTGTTAAGTGCCTTGAGGGGACTAGTATTCTAGAGGGTGGGGCTGCCAACTTGTGCAAAATTGTCAGAGTGAGAATTGATTTCTGTTTTCAAAACTCCATTATTAATAATACTTTAGGTGTGAATAAAAATAAAAGAGCCTGACAAGTTAGCACAGTCCATTTTGAGCGTTATACAGTATTAGCACTGTAATATTGCAATCACTGTGATTTTTCTCCCAAATGTTTAGGCTGGAGAACTTCTGGGTTCACAACTGGAGCTCCTCCTGGTACCAGTCAAAGTGTTGATGCGGCTGACATTGCCGTGGTTGTCACCTACTTTGTAATTGTCATGGTGGTTGGAATTTGGGTAAGAAGAGGCGCCACTCATTTACACACACACTAGTATATCACTGTTCGTTAAGAGTCAAACTTATTCGTTCAACTCTTGAATAGTCCCTTCTGCATTTATCAGTGAAAAGTCCTGTAATGTGTTGTGCACTGTCACCTTGGGGAGCTAAAACTGTGGGACTGATTTGTTCACACAGACTGGAATGTGTTTGACCAATAAGACCTGGAGACACACACAGAGACACTGTGCTCTCATACTGCCACGTTTGTGGAAGGTGTTACGGTGGCCAAACAAACCTTCCCAATCAGGAAACCCTGGATGATATCTAGTCCAGGCCCAAATCAGAGCTTGTAACTTCACCTTAAGATCAGGGAACAGAAACCTGTATAGTCCAGCCAGAACCAGTCTGAGGAAAGCGTCAGTTTTATGCTGCATTGGGATCTGCAGTCAGAAAAGGGAAAAACTCCTTTTCGCACATAAGTGATGAAAAAGGGCACTTTTGACGTAAGGGGTCTGACGCAGAGGGTGGCTGGCCAAGCGTTTGTCTTTGACGCGCTGGGAGTGAGAATGTGTTGAGCAAATCTACAGAGGACACCATTGCTATGACACTCCACTGAGCCATCTGGAAAACTAAGACAGCTACATCAGATAGCTGCTCCGCTACAGGTTGGCTGATAGTCCCCAAGTTCTAACTATAGAGAGATTGAGTGTCGTAATGCCAATGTGCAATAGGGCACTGTTTAGCAGTCCAAATAAAATAGCCTGGCATCAGAAATTGTTTATTTACAGAGATTACCCTTTTCTGTTCTGTGGTCTTTGTAGCTCCACCAGCAGAGTTAGAGCAGTCAAATTCCCCAAAGACTGATTTAGTGGATTAATCCATTTGCCTTTTCTCATCCGGGGTTGGGTAAAGCAGCCTAAGCAGAGAGAACCAGACCGGAGAATCATAAGATGTTCCCTAGCCAGCTGAGAGACATAGTCCCTCCAGCGTGTCCTGGGCCTTTTTCTACGTCTCCTCCCAGTTGGGCATGCCTGGAAAACCTCACCATGGAGGCGTCCAGGAGGCACCCTAACCAGATGCCTGAGCCACCTCAACTGGCGCCTCTCGATGTGGAGGGCACAATCTACACCCTGCGGAGAAAACTCATTTTGGCCGCTTGTATTCACAGTCTCCTTCTTTCGGTCACTACCCAAAGCTCGTGACCATAGGTGAGGGTAGGAACGTAGATCGACCGATAAATTGAGAGCTTAGCCTTTCAGCTCAGCTCTTTCTTCGCCACAACAGACCGGTACAACACCCGCATCACTGCAGAGGAGCCCCACTCTGCCTATCGATCTCCCACTCCATCTTTCCCTCATTTGCAAGCAAGACCCCGAGATGCTTAAACTCCTCCATTTGAGGCAGGACTTCATCCCTGACCTGGAGAAGGCATTCTACCCATTTCCCTTTAGTAGGTATATCAGTAAATCCATCTTATTATAATGATTACTGCCCAGCAAAGAACCTGAACGTGTCCTTAAAAAAATTAGATATTATGTTTAAAATGTATAGTATGATAGAAAAGTCAGGTTTATACAGACCACTATATTTCTCAGTGATTACAGCCTCACGATAGGTTGGGTTATGTAAAGTTATGCTGAGGGGAAGTTGTTAGAGACTATCCAATCTCTGGGGGATTGTTAAATTATGTTGACCCCAATGACCTCATTCAAGATGCGCAGGCGTTGGACCCAAGGTGCCGGTGAATGAGCAGGAAGACGAATAACAACAACTATCACCATTTATTTGTATGAAAGCTTTCAAAATAAAAGTCCCAAGTTTCTCACAAGCACAATAAACCAGCGACAGCTCTGGCATGATAAGCCATATCTATAGAGAGGGATGGGCTTGCAGTACAACAGCTACTGTCAGATATAGCACAGAGGAACACTTTTCACTCCTTTATTTTAGAGTTATACGTCTTCAGATGTGCTTGTAGCTTTATGTTCTTCTTTCTCTTTTTTTCAGTCATCAACACGAGCCAATCGCACCACAGTGGGGGGGTATTTTTTAGCTGGTCGTTCAATGACCTGGTGGCCGGTGAGTACAATACATTTAGAAATGTTTAAAAGATGCTGCGAAATGTGACATAACATATATCGAAATAACATGTGGCGTTTGTTAAAAATGCATGAAGTTGAACATCCATTTATTTATTAAAGGGTGCTGATGTAAACCCCACAGCACACACCTTAAAAGTAACGGCTACTTCTTCAGTTATTCATGCATTTTTTATTTTCCTTTGACCTCAGATGTCGTCGTCGTCGTCGTCGTCTTCCTCCGCTTATCCGGGTCCGGGTCGCGGGGGCAGCATCCCAACTAGGGAGCTCCAGGCCGTCCTCTCCCCGGCCTTGTCCACCAGCTCCTCCGGCAGGACCCCAAGGCGTTCCCGGACCAGATTGGAGATGTAACTTCTCCAACGTGTCCTGGGTCGACCCGGGGGCCTTCTGCCGGCAGGACATGCCCGAAACACCTCCCCGGGGAGGCGTCCAGGAGGCATCCTGACCAGATGCCCAAACCACCTCAACTGGCTCCTTTCGATCCGGAGGAGCAGCGGTTCTACTCCGAGTCCCTCCCGAATGTCCGAGCTCCTCACCCTATCTCTAAGGCTGAGCCCGGCCACCCTACGGAGGAAACTCATTTCGGCCGCTTGTATCCGCGATCTCGTTCTTTCGGTCATTACCCAAAGCTCATGACCATAGGTGAGGATTGGGACGTAGATCGACCGGTAAATCGAGAGCCTGGCTTTCTGGCTCAGCTCCCTCTTCCCCACGACAGATCGGCTCAGCGTCCGCATCACTGCAGACGCCGAACCAATCCGCCTGTCGATCTCCCGATCCCTCCTACCCTCACTCGTGAACAAGACCCCAAGATACTTAAACTCCTCCACTTGAGGTAGGACCTCTCCCCCGACCCGGAGGTGGCAAGCCACCCTTTTCCGGTCGAGAACCATGGTCTCAGATTTGGAGGTGCTGATCCTCATCCCAGCCGCTTCACATTCGGCCGCGAACCTACCCAGCAAGAGCTGAAGGTCAGAGCTGGATGAAGCTAGGAGGACCACATCATCCGCAAAAAGCAGAGACGAGATTCTCCTGCCACCAAACTCGACACACTCCACACCACGGCTGCGTCTAGAAATTCTGTCCATAAAAGTGATGAACAGAACCGGTGACAAAGGGCAGCCCTGGCGGAGTCCAACCCTCACTGGGAACAGGTCCGACTTACTACCGGCTATGCGGACCAAACTCACGCTCCTCTGGTAAAGGGACTGAATGGCCCTTAACAGAAAGCCACCCACCCCATACTCCTGGAGTGTCCCCCACAGGGTGCCCCTGGGGACACGGTCATAAGCCTTCTCCAAATCCACAAAGCACATGTGGATTGGTTGGGCAAACTCCCATGCCCCCTCCATCACCCTTGCAAGGGTATAGAGCTGGTCCACAGTTCCACGGCCAGGACGAAAACCACATTGCTCCTCCTCTATCTGAGATTCAACTATCGATCGGACCCTCCTCTCCAGTACCTTGGCGTAGACCTTTCCAGGGAGGCTGAGGAGTGTGATCCCCCTATAGTTGGAACACACCCTCAGGTCACCCTTCTTAAAGATGGGGACCACCACCCCGGTCTGCCACTCCCTAGGAACTGCCCCCGATGACCACGCAATGTTGTAGAGACGTGTCAACCATGACAGCCCTACAACATCCATAGCCTTGAGATACCCAGGACGAACCTCATCCGCCCCCGGGGCTCCGCCGCTGTGTAGTTGTTTGACTACCTCAGCAACTTCTGCCCCCGAGATCGGACAGTCCATCCCCAGGCCTCCCAGCTCTGGTTCCTCCTCGGAATGCGCATTGGTGGGATTGAGGAGCTCCTCAAAGTATTCCTTCCACCGTCCGACTATAGCCTCAGTTGACGTCAGCAGCTCCCCATCCCCACTGTAAACAGTGTGAGCGAGTTGCTGCCTTCCTCTCCTGAGGCGCCGGACAGTTTGCCAGAACCTCTTTGGAGCCGATCGATAGTCTTTCTCCATGGCCTCACCAAACTCCTCCCACGCCCGAGATTTTGCCTCGGCAACTGCCACTGCTGCACCCCGCTTGGCTATCCGGTACCTGTCTGCTGCCTCCGGAGACCCACAGACCAGCCACGCCCTGTAGGCCTCCTTCTTCAGCCTGACGGCTCCCCGAACCTCTGGTGTCCACCAGCGGGTACGGGGGTTGCCACCACGACTGGCACCGGCCACCTTACGACCACAGCTAGCAACAGCCGCCTCGACAATCGCAGAGTGGAACAAGGCCCACTCGGACTCATTGTCCCCCACTGCTCTCGGGACGTGGTCAAAGCTCTGCCGGAGGTGGGAGTTGAAGACCGTCTTGACAGGTTCTTCTGCCAGGCGTTCCCAGCAGACCCTCACTATGCGTTTGGGTCTGCCAGGTCTACGCGGCATGTTCCCTTGCCATCTGATCCAACTCACCACCAGGTGGTGATCAGTTGACAGCTCCGCCCCTCTCTTCACTCGGGTGTCCAAAACATACGGCCGCAGGTCAGATGATACGACTACAAAATCTATCATCGACCTGTGACCTAGGCTGCCCTGGTACCAAGTGTACCGGTGGGCATCCTTATGTTCGAACATGGTGTTCGTTATGGCCAAACTGCGGCTTGCACAGAAGTCCAATAACAAAACACCGCTCGAGTTCTGATCAGGTGGGCCGTTCCTCCCAATCACACCCCTCCAGGTCAAGCTGTCATTGCCCACGTGAGCATTGAAGTCCCCCAGCAGGACAATGGAGTCCCCTGATGGAGCACTATCTAGCACTCGTCCCAGGGACTCCAAAAAGGGTGGGTACTCTGAACTGATATTTGGCCCATAAGCACAAACAACAGTCAGGACCCGTTCCCCGACCCGAAGGCGCAAGGAAGCTACCCTCTTGTCCCCCGGGGTAAACCCCAACACACAGGCAGAGAGTCTCGGGGCTAACAAAAAGCCAACCCCAGCCCTCCGCCTCTCACCCGGATCAACTCCAGCAAAGTAGAGTGTCCAACCCCTCTCCAGGTCTCGGGTTCCAGAGCCAATGCAATGTGTCGAGGTGAGTCCGACTATATCTAGCCGGTACCGCTCAACCTCTGCCACAAGCTCCGGCTCCTTCCCCGCCAGCGAGGTGACGTTCCATGTCCCAAAAACTAGTTTTCTTGTCCGGGGATTGGACCGCCAAGGCTCCCGCCTTGGTCTGCCACCCGATTCACATTGCACCGGACCCTTCATGTTCCTCCTGCAGGTGGTGGGTCCACAGTTGGACGAGCCCATGTATCCGGTTCGGGCTGGGCCCGGCCGGGCCCCATGGGCGAAAGCCCGGCCACCAGGCGCTCGCTCACGGGCCCCAACCCCAGGCCTGGCTCCAGGGTGGGACCCCGGTAACCCTCCGGGCCGGGTACTCCGACTCTTCGTTTTCACCGCCATGAAAGATCCTTCGAACCGTTCTTTGTCTCACCCTTCACCTAAGACCAATTTGTCATGGGAGACCCTACCAGGGGCACTAAGTGCCCCAGACAACATAGCTCCTAGGATCATTAGGGCACTCAAACTCCTCCACCACGATAAGGTGACGGTTCAAGGAGGAGATGTGTTGAAGAATATCTAACAGGCCAGTTGTGACCCAGATAAATAGAAATAAAGTTATATAAATTTACATTGTTTCATTACCTTCACTTAAACTAAGCTGGTCCATCTGGAATTATTCAGACATTCCCAACAGGCCCCTGTGGGTCTGTGTGTGTGTTTTTATGGTCCCCTGTTTCACCAAGGGCCTCAAAGCCTCGTACAAACAAGTGCACGGATGTCCAACTGAAAAACAAACTGAAATTTGGCATTTGTGCAAAATAAAAATCCAGATGTATCAAACTATATGCACACAGTGATCCTTTTTCTTTCTTCTTCCTGATCAATGTGGATTTGAGCCACATTATGGAATACCAGACTACTCCCCTTGACACTCCTTGGTTTAAAGATGCCAATAGATCCTAACATGATTAAAAAAATGATTTAAACACGTTTCTTTTTTTTTATTTCCTTAATTGATCCAATGTGAAAGGAAGAAGGATCTGGATAATAATGGCTATGAATGAAATCACTGAGTTCTGTTTTTCAGATGATCACACACTTTCAGAGGGAGGGAATGTGTGTTGGGATTTTTGGTTTAGCTCGAAAGTTGTTTATGTCCCACCGTTCAAACAGAAGGTTTAATGTTGTGATTGACAAGGCTGCTTCCTCTTGGGTACCTCTGCTAGGTGATGCCTCAAGGATTTGAATCTGGACACTTGTTAGATCTCCTCCTTGAACCGTCACCTTATCGTGGTGGAGGAGTTTGAGTGCCCTAATTATCCTAGGAGCTATGTTGTCTGGGGCACTTAGTGCCCCTGGTAGGGTCTCCCATGACAAATTGGTCTTAGGTGAAGGGTGAGACAAAGAACGGTTCGAAGGATCTTTCATGGCGGTTAAAACGAAGAGTCGGAGTACCCGGCCCGGAGGGTTACCGGGATCCCACCCTGGAGCCAGGACTGGGGTTGGGGCCCATGAGCGAGCGCCTGGTGGCCGGGCTTTCGCCCATGGGGCCCGGCCGGGCCCAGCCCGAACCGGATACATGGGCTCGTCCAACTGTGGACCCACCACCCGCAGGAGGAACATGAAGGGTCCGGTGCAATGCGAATCGGGTGGCAGACCAAGGCGGGAGCCTTGGCGGTCCAATCCCCGGACAAGAAAACTAGTTTTTGGGACATGGAACGTCACCTCGCTGGCGGGGAAGGAGCCGGAGCTTGTGGCAGAGGTTGAGCGGTACCGGCTAGATATAGTCGGACTCACCTCGACACATTGCATTGGCTCTGGAACCTGAGACCTGGAGAGGGGTTGGACACTCTACTTTGCTGGAGTTGCTCCGGGTGAGAGGCGGAGGGCTGGGGTTGGCTTTTTGTTAGCCCCGAGACTCTCTGCCTGTGTGTTGGGGTTTACCCCGGGGGACAAGAGGGTAGCTTCCTTGCGCCTTCGGGTCGGGGAACGGGTCCTGACTGTTGTTTGTGCTTATGGGCCAAATATCAGTTCAGAGTACCCACCCTTTTTGGAGTCCCTGGGACGAGTGCTAGATAGTGGTCCATCAGGGGACTCCATTGTCCTGCTGGGGGACTTCAATGCTCACGTGGGCAATGACAGCTTGACCTGGAGGGGTGTGATTGGGAGGAACGGCCCACCTAATCTGAACTCGAGCGGTGTTTTGTTATTGGACTTCTGTGCAAGCCGCAGTTTGGCCATAACGAACACCATGTTCGAACATAAGGATGCCCACCGGTACACTTGGTACCAGGGCAGCCTAGGTCACAGGTCGATGATAGATTTTGTAGTCGTATCATCTGACCTGCGGCCGTATGTTTTGGACACCCGAGTGAAGAGAGGGGCGGAGCTGTCAACTGATCACCACCTGGTGGTGAGTTGGATCAGATGGCAAGGGAACATGCCGCGTAGACCTGGCAGACCCAAACGCATAGTGAGGGTCTGCTGGGAACGCCTGGCAGAAGAACCTGTCAAGACGGTCTTCAACTCCCACCTCCGGCAGAGCTTTGACCACGTCCCGAGAGCAGTGGGGGACATTGAGTCCGAGTGGGCCTTGTTCAACTCTGCGATTGTCGAGGCGGCTGTTGCTAGCTGTGGTCGTAAGGTGGCCGGTGCCAGTCGTGGTGGCAACCCCCGTACCCGCTGGTGGACACCAGAGGTTCGGGGAGCCGTCAGGCTGAAGAAGGAGGCCTACAGGGCGTGGCTGGTCTGTGGGTCTCCGGAGGCAGCAGACAGGTACCGGATAGCCAAGCGGGGTGCAGCAGTGGCAGTTGCCGAGGCAAAATCTCGGGCGTGGGAGGAGTTTGGTGAGGCCATGGAGAAAGACTATCGATCGGCTCCAAAGAGGTTCTGGCAAACTGTCCGGCGCCTCAGGAGAGGAAGGCAGCAACTCGCTCACACTGTTTACAGTGGGGATGGGGAGCTGCTGACGTCAACTGAGGCTATAGTCGGACGGTGGAAGGAATACTTTGAGGAGCTCCTCAATCCCACCAATGCGCATTCCGAGGAGGAACCAGAGCTGGGAGGCCTGGGGATGGACTGTCCGATCTCGGGGGCAGAAGTTGCTGAGGTAGTCAAACAACTACACAGCGGCGGAGCCCCGGGGGCGGATGAGGTTCGTCCTGGGTATCTCAAGGCTATGGATGTTGTAGGGCTGTCATGGTTGACACGTCTCTACAACATTGCGTGGTCATCGGGGGCAGTTCCTAGGGAGTGGCAGACCGGGTTGGGGTTCCCCATCTTTAAGAAGGGTGACCTGAGGGTGTGTTCCAACTATAGGGGGATCACACTCCTCAGCCTCCCTGGAAAGGTCTACTCCAAGGTACTGGAGAGGAGGGTCCGATCGATAGTTGAATCTCAGATAGAGGAGGAGCAATGTGGTTTTCGTCCTGGCCGTGGAACTGTGGACCAGCTCTATACCCTTGCAAGGGTGATGGAGGGGCCATGGGAGTTTGCCCAACCAATCCACATGTGCTTTGTGGATTTGGAGAAGGCTTATGACCGTGTCCCCAGGGGCACCCTGTGGGGGACGCTCCAGGAGTATGGGGTGGGTGGCTTTCTGTTAAGGGCCATTCAGTCCCTTTACCAGAGGAGTGTGAGTTTGGTCCGCATAGCCGGTAGTAAGTCGGACCTGTTCCCAGTGAGGGTTGGACTCCGCCAGGGCTGCCCTTTGTCACCGGTTCTGTTCATCACTTTTATGGACAGAATTTCTAGACGCAGCCGTGGTGTGGAGTGTGTCGAGTTTGGTGGCAGGAGAATCTCGTCTCTGCTTTTTGCGGATGATGTGGTCCTCCTAGCTTCATCCAGCTCTGACCTTCAGCTCTTGCTGAGTAGGTTCGCGGCCGAATGTGAAGCGGCTGGGATGAGGATCAGCACCTCCAAATCTGAGACCATGGTTCTCGACCGGAAAAGGGTGGCTTGCCACCTCCGGGTCGGGGGAGAGGTCCTACATCAAGTGGAGGAGTTTAAGTATCTCGGGGTCTTGTTCACGAGTGAGGGTAGGAGGGATCGGGAGATCGACAGGCGGATTGGTTCGGCGTCTGCAGTGATGCGGACGCTGAGCCGATCTGTCGTGGGGAAGAGGGAGCTGAGCCAGAAAGCCAGGCTCTCGATTTACCGGTCGATCTACGTCCCAATCCTCACCTATGGTCATGAGCTTTGGGTAATGACCGAAAGAACGAGATCGCGGATACAAGCGGCCGAAATGAGTTTCCTCCGTAGGGTGGCCGGGCTCAGCCTTAGAGATAGGGTGAGGAGCTCGGACATTCGGGAGGGACTCGGAGTAGAACCGCTGCTCCTCCGGAACGAAAGGAGCCAGTTGAGGTGGTTTGGGCATCTGGTCAGGATGCCTCCTGGACGCCTCCCCGGGGAGGTGTTTCGGGCATGTCCTGCCGGCAGAAGGCCCCCGGGTCGACCCAGGACACGTTGGAGAGGTTACATCTCCAATCTGGTCCGGGAACGCCTTGGGGTCCTGCCGGAGGAGCTGGTGGACAAGGCCGGGGAGAGGACGGCCTGGAGCTCCCTGGTTGGGATGCTGCCCCCGCGACCCGGACCCGGATAAGCGGAGGAAGACGACGACGACGACGACGACGACGACACTTGTTAGATGCTCTGCCTGAACCAGTATAGCCAGAAGTCCATACTTTTTCACCCCCTGTGTTGATTATATGCAGATTTACCTGTCCATGACACATGATGACTGTGTAAATAGTATTGCTTCTCGTGTGTTTGGCTGAGATTAGATCCTGGGTGGCATCAAACTTCCTTTAACAAAATCAGAGTACAACTGAAGTGAATATCTAGTCTCTTGATTATCTAAATGTTCAAAGTCTTCCTCCAGAGATCCTCTGACCAACAACTCAGACATGTTAAATCTCTAAGTCCAGTTACTTCCACCTGCTAAACAGTCAAAATAGGCCTTTTGCTAAAGAAACGACTAAGGTTCACTGTTTTGTGACACCATGCCTTCTGCAGTAACTCCTTTTCTCATCTACAATTAGTCCAAAATTTAGCTCTCTCACAGTTTCACTCTGGTAGCCTCACCATTCTCGCTGCTCCACTCTAGCTTTCTGTAAAATTTAGGATCCGGTATAAACTCGTCCTCCTCATCCATGAAGCTTTAATATATCTGATGATCTTTTAACACCTCACACTCCTTCTAGGCCAGTTAGTGTTTTCTGAACAAACCTTTATAGTCATTATTCGCTCTTATTTAAGAAAAAGACATGATCACTATTTTCTAGTAGTCCGAATGAGCTCTCTGATGCGCTCTGACTCACCAACAATAACCTTCCCCTTCATGCTTTTGTGTTTAACCATTTAAGTCCATTTTTTTAAATTCATCTGTTACTGTACATTATGCCTGTTCACATCTGTCATCTGATTCTGTTTACAGATAGGGGCCTCTCTAATGTCCAGTAATGTTGGCAGTGGATTGTTCATTGGTCTTGCGGGAACCGGAGCAGCAGGAGGCATTGCTGTTGGAGGATTTGAGTGGAATGTAAGAAAAACGACCAGAAAATACTTAAAAAGGAAAAAAACTTGACACAGACGAATTGATAAGTATAGCGGTCAGAATAATTCAAATGACACAGACACCCACATAACACACAGCCATTTATTAGAAATATTATTCTAAAAAGTAGGAAGTGACTGTCTCAGTTCAGAAGCTTCATGCTTGGAGAAATGGTCAGGTTCATCACAGCAGTGCAGCAAACAGAGACGTCTCCTGTTGCACCCGACTGAGTCATGGAGTTCCTTGATGTCACGTTGAGAGCAGGAGGTTAGGACCCAAGGTGCAGGAAATCCAGAACACACAGGCAGGAGCGGTTGAAAAGTAAAAATCCTTTATTTAGGAGAAGAACCAAAAATCCAAGGGGTGAAGGCAAAAACCAATAACTAAACTAAGACCAAAATCCAAAAGCTCACTTTCTGAACACAGACCTAGAGACTGAGACAGGAGACAGGAGACAAGAGACAAGAGACAGGAGACAGGAGACAGGAGACAGGAGACAGGAGACAGGAGACAAAACAACACTGACCAAGACAATGAACCAACAACCACAGAGTGACAAGACAAGGCTTATATACACATGGAGAACAATTAAGGAAACAGGAAGCAGGTGTGTGGAGTGAGGGCTGGAGGGAAGGCAGGTGACACAAATTATCTAAATGGGGAAAACAGAACCAGTGGAGGGCAGATAGACCTAAAACATAAAACTAAACCTAAGACTGAGGGAAGGATATACACACACACAAAAACACTGAGCAGGGGACAAAGAGGCTGGAGCTACAGAACGTGAAGGAAGACCTGGAGGGCTGGGGATGAATGAATGACACAGGGCCTGGGAGGAATTGACTTTAAAGGGCTACAAACATAAGACACAATATTGAGACGCAGACACAGGACATATGAGGGCGCTATGAGACACAGAAGGGAATCTAGAGAGGGATGGAGACGCATCAGGAGGCACATAAGGAAGGGGCAGACGCAGACCATGACACTTGAGGTTTATGGCTTGAATAAGAACAGAAGGTGGTGCTGAGAACCCACAGAGATCAGCCAGGAAAAATAAAAGTAGCAAATGTGTGCATTTTAACACAATTTCATTCCCATATTTGTGAAAGATAAGAAAAACTTTTTTTTTCACTAATCAAAGAAAAGTTTCACAAATCACAAACTTTGTTTACCAGATTCTACTATCAGAGTAATTTAGTCCGTGTGTGGAGAGTCTAGGTCAGCAGACCCCGACCTTTTTTCCGCAAGCAGCCCCTTACCTGTGTCCAAGACAAGCCAGTCCCCTTTTACAGACATGCAGAGGTATACATGTTTTGAGAGCTTTGAATATTATATTGGGTGTGTCGCTGGGATTTCATAATTGTAATTTATACAAATGTAATCTTGGTAACCCCCAACTTCACCACAGACCAAGTTGTGAGGACCCCCTTGGCAGGTCATGAACCCCACACTGGGGCCCACTGGTCCAGGTGTCGTAGTTTTATAATAGCATCAGATTAAAGATGCTCATGAGTGGACAAAAGGTTAGAATAGCCCTCCAGAAAACAGATAGGAACCAACTTCACCCCTGGATGACTGAGAACCTTTACCAGCATTTAGATTTATTTATTTTATTTACTTAATTTCCCACTAATATCAATTTCCAATATAAAAAAATCTCTCTTTTTGCAATTTATTTCTTATTAATGTTTAAACTTTATGTCATAAATAAAGAAGGGTCATAAGATAAAACCCAAGCCTTGTGAACCTTTTAGAGGTATTTTATTTGGTCAGCATTTAAAATACCACATCTCCTGGAAGGAGATGGGAGCACTTATAACAAAAGCCTGAGGATAACTAAGGGTACCTGTCCAAAAGGGAGAGGGGGGTTGAAATCTGAATAAAGGAAACAGGGTTGAGTGAGCCACACGAACCTCTAAAGGCAACTCAAAAACCCTAAAACAAAGAAGTCCAGGTAACTGGAGCTCCTGTCCTTAATACAAAAACAAGGCAATTACAGTTTTTTTCTCAGTTGGTTTGGTGCATTTCTCACAACAGAACTGATCTCTGCACCACTACTAAGGCTCTTCTCAAAACAATTAGTGCAAACTGCAAAACATGGTGGACGACTGAGTCACTTCATCAAAAAGAAAAGTCAGTTGCTCAAAATAAGTAGGCAATGCTTCAAAAGCAAGTCCCTTAATCTAAACAGATAATATCTTCATCAAAAGCAAGTACTTATGAGTCAGGGCTGTCACAATTACAAGTCATTCCACCAGCACCTGTGGTCACCAAATCAAATGGTTTGAACATGTTCTCATTGTGACGGATTTCTTTGTAGGTGCTTCCCAATGGCATGTCGTCTGGACAGCATGCATGGCATGTTGAAAACCATAAATTGTAAAGGAAAATCAGGACACTTCATATGCACTCTTGATAATATTTAATTGAAACTGTTCACAGCGTTGTGCAACTGGGGAAATACAGTAAAACAAACATTTTACAGCAAACATAAACTCACTTAGACAGTAAACCTTACTGCAGTAGTTATGAAACAGAATAAAACTGAACAGACACTGCTGCATGTCAATCATTGATATCTACACGCTCCCGTCTGTCTGCCCACATATTTTCATCAACATCACAGGGAATGTCAGCTCTATCGATGCATCGGGGAAAGTATCTTCTGGAGTGTCGAATCCACCCTCTGCAGGACTCTGCTGTGATGTCATCACAAGCTGCATCCATAGCTGCTAGCAGGGCCATTTGGGTATGTGGATGCTTGTCATATACCTTCCACCTCCAGGAAGAGAAAAACCTCAATTGGATTTAGGAATGGAGTGTAAGGAGGAAGAAACTCCATAAGCATCCTGGCGTGTGCTGCAAACCACTGCCTGACTACAGCAGAGTGATGGAAGTTAACATTATCCCAAACCACTACATACATTGTCCGATTGTCACCAGGACACACACCAGTTTTCATTAGTGAGATAAGGTTCACCTGAGAAAAGTAATGTATGGAGATTTCTATGGAAACTCTTTAAAAATAGGGTTTTCAAAATGGGTGTACAAAATGTTTGACAAGATGTTCAACAGTTTTGAGTGCAATGACACAAGCAATGAAATGAAGACTATTAGTTGTAAGGACAATGACAGTCAGCCGGTACACGTATCAATAATTGTGACATTCATGATAAAAGCAAGGAGATGGTGATGAATAGCAAGTCAAAAGTGACCATTCTTTAGACATTTGCACTTACTCAACTGCTTCATGTCCAATGGCATTTGCCTAGGTTGTGCCAAAACGACTACATGTTGTGGAGGTTGAACTAACTGTTGTGCAAAGTTTAATTCTGTTGTGAGAAATGCACCAAAGCAACTGAGAAACACTGTAAGCCAAGCAGTAAAAGAGGAGGATGAAGTCCCCTATGCAAAATACCAGTATCAAAGAGTTTATCTTTCTAATAACTAAGTCAATCATGGGAGAGCAAGTCAAGTCCCACCTCCATGTCACCAGCCTGGTCTCTCAACCAAACTCACCAGCTGCAGCCTTTTTCATAGGGAGCTGTCATTAACAGGATCAGCTGCAGCTCTTCAGGGAGAGTTTGGGTGATGGGTGCTGTCCGGGGTGCTGTAGAGTCTTTCAGCACCATCTAGGGGATGGTAACGGAGGCGTCTGTGACAATCTTAAATAAAAATAATGCTTTTTTTTTCAAAGCACACAACAAAGCTCTTTTATTAGATTTAGGGGAGAGGAAAATAGGGTCACTAACACCTCTGAAAAAAGTCTGACTTTATCAGAATAAATCATCAAGGCTTCAATTTAATGATTTCAGCTGGTTTTTGAAGGGTGTAGTGATCTGTAGTTTGTATATTTATACACTGTAATTAGATCTAAATATTATAATCAGAAGTGGTTGTTTTCATCATCAGGGAGTTTACTTAAACACTCTGTATTGACTGAGAGACAAGAAAAGAGAGAGTTGGGATCGTTTAAGAATCTTTAATTTCTATAATTATAAATTCTTACAATCTACTAGGACTAACTCCGTGATGGATGCATATGGATTTGGATGTTTCGTGTTGGTGTGTGTGTGTGTGTGTGTGTGTGTGTGTGTGTGTGTGTGTGTGTGTGTGTGTGTGTGTGTGTGTGTGTGTGTGTGTGTGTGTGTGTGTGTGTGTGTGTGTGTGTGTTCAGAATCTCTAGGCTGACATAGCGAATCTGGTTGTTATGACTAGGCTACCACGAGGCTTCAGAAGCTGATGACATGAGCACCATTTTGCCGCAACTACGTACCCTGTGGAGCCTCCCGTGTAGATCAGGAAATGCCAGGTCCTCGGACCTTCAGATGTGCTGGAGCTGGTGAAACAGCGGTCGCAGCACTACAAAGCCCGTCTGTGGGTCGACTCCCGATATCAGCGGCAGGCGTCAGCGAGTTAGCTCTTATTTTGAAGGAACGTCGTCTTGTTGTTCAAACGACGGAAATCTCCAGCTTGACAGTTCTCAGCTTAAAGTAGAAAGTACATCTGACCAGGCTGTACTTCTCTTTTGCGGTGATGGATCGAGAGCTGGTTGAAAACTACGTTGAGAGTATGATGTAACTCCTTTGGAGCTCAGATCGAACAGAGCTGATGTTAAAATGGAACTGAGTATAAAATGGCGTTGCCTTGTTTTATATCTCCTAGTTGTTTACAAATCTTAGTAAACCGGATTGGACAACTTCATTAAACAACCCAGATTCTGACCTACGGCAGACGAAAGTTCTGATTGGTTGAGAATAATGTGTCATGCGTTTCATGTCAATGTAGATCAGTCTGTCTGGTGCCGTCCTGTTTATTCATTAAACACATAACTCATGACATCTTTATTCCACAGATCATTCACCTGATTATTAATGATCAACATATGCTCTGATTAGCTTTATCACGAATAAAGTACTTTGATTAATTAATGGAAAGCATTCTTCTTCTCTTCTTCTGTCTCTTCTCCTGGAATGTAAACATACTGAAACCAGCATCCGACCTTGGCGATTCCAACACGTTGTTACTTTTTTAAGGGGCAGCTGTTAAGGGCAGACAATAGGATCTTAATAACGCTACAAGGGGATTGTCTTGTCTGATACAACAAAATCCCAACACCTAGTCTGTGATAGAAGGTTGTTCAGCACCAAACCTGTCCAGTTACTGGTGAACCTGATTGTGAGCAACAGTTGCGACACAGAGAGAGATGACTCTGAGGAGCATCACAGACTCTCAGAGTCACCCTGAACAGCTTTAACCCTCGAGTTTTAACCCTCGAGTTTTTATTGTTACAGCATTTTCTCAACAATAATGAAGAAAAGGCAACAGAAACTAGAACGTGCTACAATTCTTGTTTTTCAAATATTTGTGCAATTTTAGCGTTATTTGAGAAGTTTCCAACTTGATTTAGTTTATTACCTGTAACATAAAAATGAAATAATCAATGATAATGTGTGTGTGTGTGTGTGTGTGTGTGTGTGTGTGTGTGTGTGTGTGTGTGCGCGCGTGTGTGTGTGTGTGTGTTTGCAGGCTTCATGGGTTCTTGTGGCCCTGGGTTGGATTTTTATCCCTGTCTACATCTCTTCTGGTGTAGTGACCATGCCTGAATACCTGGCCAAGCGTTTTGGGGGCTCCAGGATACGAATTTACATGTCTGTTCTGTCCCTCATTCTCTACATCTTCACAAAAGTATCGGTAAGATGCACACACATGCAAAAACAATCTCCACGTGTACTTTCAAGGTATACATTTATCCAATTTTCCAAAAGTTTCACTTAAGGAGTAACCTTGTGCTTGTGTTTGTCAGACAGACATGTTTTCAGGAGCACTGTTCATCCAGGTGTCATTGGGTTGGGACCTTTATCTGTCTACGGGCATATTACTGCTGGTTACAGCTATTTACACGGTGGCAGGTACACACACATGCACGCACGCACACTCAAATTGCATGGAGTGAACTGTGAATGCATTGTGACCATAGCCGTAGTGTCCTGTAGATGCATATTTCTAAACACTCCGTCATCCTTAAGTGCACCACTGAGTCATAGGCTTTTTGTAGTAGGCGGTGTATCTGGTTTCACAGTCTCAGCAGGGATTCTGTCAACCAGCAGTTGGTGTTTGGCCCCTTTGGTGTTGCTGCTAACTCCCTTCAGTGCCCTGCTTATGTACCTGAATCCTCAGCTTTGCAACTAGAATGACAGGGGCTTCTGTACTGTACAGAGGCATGTGACTCCCTGGTTATAGGTTTTTCATAATCAGGACTGTTCACAATTGGGTTATCCATGGGTAGCCCCATAGTAGCTGGTACTCACTGTGCTGCCAGGCTTTCAACTGTTTTGACTTGTGGTCCAGTGACCCCAGCCTACTGGTTGTGCAGCGCACCATGCTTAAGACCAGAGGTGACCAGGTCATGATTTTTATCTTGCGAGACGCTTAATAAAAGATCATTTTCTTTTCTGCCTTCCTTTGTCTTAGTCCGATTTTCAAGGATAAACAAACATGCTGCCTGTTGAATGTGATGTTTAGTCAATCATGCTCGCTCCTCCTCTGCCGTGGTCATTTACTATAATGTTTGAGCTTGTGAGATTTTGCATCTGACCAGGGAATGTTTGTGTCTGAAATCGGTTTTTGTGTAGTTTTTAATTTCTGCAGTGTCATTAATAACACACACCAAACACAGTAGGACCAAAACTGGTACATCCATGATTTTGTATCTCCACATTCGGGGTCTCCATGTTATGAAAACTGGCCACCCAGTTACAAATCAGGCCGAGTGAACTGGGCATCAGTCAAACATAACGTGGGGAGTAAAGTTTTCATAGTTCCCACATCCTTGCCCCATTCATTTAAACACTGTCTTATTTAGAAGTCCTAAACCAAGGTACAGTTTGAGTCACTAAAACAGAGTGAAGTTATTTTTGTTAAAAACAATTTTTAGAAAGTTAAGTAAAAGCATATAAAAATCTTGCTGCTCTTACCTGAGCCAGCTCGGCTTTAGTGTTATTTCACCCCTGATGATTATATTTTTATTAACTCATGATTTTGTGTAACTCTGACCTTTTCCATGAATGGCTCCCATAATATGCATCTATGCTCTGAACATAAAACCCAAAGATGCTCAGTAACAAATTTATGTCTGCAGGTGGCTTGGCTGCAGTCATCTATACTGATGCACTCCAGACTTTAATCATGGTCGGTGGAGCGTTTTCACTAATGTTCATAGGTAGTTTACACACTTTCTTATCATATACACACACACATCTAATTGTACACAGTGAGATGATATGCATAGTAAAGTTTAAACGATCAGAGATGATTAAAAACGTGATTTATCTTGTGTGGTTTAGCAGAAAAATTCTTTACAAATCAGAATTTGCATTCACAATTGTTTTACACGTTAAGCCCAAGGTTAACTTAATATTACCTAACCAAAAAGGTTTTATCGTGTTTTATCGTATGTCATAGCTTTCTCCAAGGTTGGGTGGTATGAGGGCCTCGTGGACCATTACATGACAAGTGTTCCCATGGTGACGGTTGCTAACACTACCTGCCATATTCCTCGTCATGATGCGTTTCACATGTTCAGAGACCCCATATCAGGTGATTTACCCTGGCCAGGCTTGGTCTTTGGCCTCACTGTGCTGGCTACATGGGTCTGGTGCACAGATCAGGTAACGTCACTAATATTAATATACAGTGATCCCTCGTTTATCGCGGTAGATGCGTTCCAGACCTGGCCGCGATAGGTGAAAATCTGCGAAGTAGGGACACCATATTTACAGTATTTATTTTTATTGAATTATCGTATGATCACATTCTCTTTTTGTGGGTAAAACTGAAGAAAAAAAAATTTTACTTGTTTTTTTTATACTTTTATTGCAAAAAGTGCATTTTATGATGAAATTGATGAAAAAAATCAGGAATTTCTTGATATTTCACATAGAAAAATATCGCGAATCGGCGAATTTCCCTTGAATAAGGCTCCAAAGAAAAAATCCGCAAAGTTGTGAATCCGCGATAAATGAACCGCGAAGAAGCGAGGGATCACTGTATGCTTGTTCAGTTGGATTGTGATAGACACATTTCTGCCTTTTAGAACAAACCTGGAACAAAGCCAACCTAAAGATATGTTTATATTAGTGGATAAGATTTAAATGGTGTTCTTCAAGGGACCCAAAGCACTTTCCATTATTCATGCACTCACATTCACACACTGCTGGTGATGGTAAACTACCACATGGCCACAGCCGCCCTGGAGCGGTTTCACAGTGGCGAGACTGCCATTTTACACCATCTGCCACTCTGACCACCACCAGCATAGACAAGTTAGGTGAAGTGCCTTGCCCAAGAGCAGAACAGCAGAATTCCCCGGAGGAGGCTGGGATATTAGATAGAAAGCATCATGGATTTGTTCCTGACAAACATATTATATGGCCAGTCTAGAGGCCATACACGCACAAATGTCTACCTGTAACATCTAAACATGTTTTTCTTAGGCCCGCCCACAAATGAGTTTCTGGCTATGCTAATGGTGACATATGACAGACTTCTCTGAGCTCCGCAGCCACTTTTCACTTCGCGCACCCCCTAGCGGCAGCTCAAGCTCAAGATTATGTTTATCTGTGTGATGCAGCAGCAGGGAGATCTATAGCATCAGATACAGAAAGTCTGACCTAAATATTCAGTTGATTTACCACATTATTAATGGTGTTTAATGCTGCCCAAAAGAAGGTTACTAAAACTTGGCTTGGATCCAATAACTGAAGAAAGCAACAAATGTCAGAAGAACTGAGTCCTCTAGCTCCACCCACTAGTGGAGATAAAAACTGCTCAGTCACAAATACAGTTCATGAGTGTACTTGTGTGAATTCAGAAAA